TTTTGTACAATAGTTATTTTTTTTTCTGTTGCAATGTAAGAACGGAATTTCTATTCTGTCCAGCGCAACCATCACTGTAAAGAATAATTTCCTCCCCCTCAATTAAATTTGTCGACTCTTTTCGTATAAAGTTGCAAATTATTGTAGTGAATTCATTTGCCCCCACAGAACCCTCTGTTTCATTCCATATGAAGCAGAATGCTTCTTTGGTTTTTATGTTATAAATTGTGAAATTATGCACAATTAGTTTTTTCTTGTAATAAAGGCTCGACACATTTGAGTGTGGGGCCAGTAAAACTGATTGTAGATCCATAGTGTACACTTTATTCCTTTCGTCAGTTTTATCTTTGGCTTTCTCTTCTCGGGCTTCTTTCTTCTTTTCCTGGTGTACCCTATAGATAGCCTCTTCTAGATTTCCCATTTGGTTTGAAACACAGATGTTGCACTCGTCTTTCTTAGGGGTAAATAAAGCTAGGTTCATATCATCAAAAGTGTACGAAAACAATGTTTTTGACACCGGCTCTGTCCCATTTTCTTTGCACCAATTAGTGCTGTATTCACCGTACAGGTGCATTTTGGAACGCCAAATTGGTTCAAGATATAATTTTTGGGTAGTTGCGCGACAGTAGTGGGACTCCAACTTCGGTAAAGCCGCAAAGAAATTCTTGAGGCACAATTTCCTTTCCTCAAATACATTCTTTCTTAATTTTTCTTCTTTTCCTTGTTCCACTAACATTTCAGCTTGAGTTTCCTCGCTATTATTCATCAGATGTTCATGGTGCACTTCCTTCGTCTTCCAATCCCTCACTGTCCATTCACCGACACTTAAAGTATTTAAGAACATTTTTTTACACACTTTATATTTTACGTCGTCTTTTTTCAAGTAATAATTGAAACTATTTTTCCTTCTTGATTCGTGGTCATTTTTTCTATGCCTCTGCCGTTTAGTGTCGTCAACACTCATAAGCATCGCAACAAAAACTTTCTTTGCACTTTTTTCAAGTTTCCAGAAGCGGTTAAATATTTTCAGTCTGTCGTCTTCCGAAAAAATTGTACAAAAAAACGATGACTTAGATTTCATACCTTTGGTAGAAATTTGGCAATTACAACGCTCTTGTAGATTTTTTTTTGGTTTGGATATCTTGTAATTCCATTTATTTTCAATTTTTTTCTTTCCATAGTATTCTAAGCCCTTTTGTCGTTTTATTTTATTATCATTATCAAACCATTCATTTTGATTCACGTGCCTAGTTTTCTTTCTTTTCCGTTTTTCCTCATTTGGCTGTTTTTCCCTACTGACAGATGGGGTGTCTTCCTTTTCATCAATAGCATCTGTAGGCGTGGATTTAGATGAACTTTCTGATAACTCGTCTGATGACTCTCCTGTCAAGTAATCAGGATCTGTGGTTTCCGCGACGGAAGGTCCAGGGTGTGAATGTTGTTCAATTTCTACTCCTTCATTTAAGGAGGAGATTTCCAACGGCTCATTGATAGCTTCTAAGAAGTTACTATCAATTGAAATATTCTGCACATTTTCTGGCAAAAGATTTGTGATTTCAGACAATTCAGGTTCAATTGAAATATTATTCTGCACATTTTCTGGCAAAAGATTTGTGATTTCAGACAATTCAGGTTCAGTTACTTCAGTATCATGCGTAAGGTCCAAATCAAAAACGTTATTAAGAGTAGTATAGACTGGTTGGTTGGTGGCGATTTCAGTTACGTTACTTGGAGCTAGGAAACTAATGTCCTCTTGTAAGGCCAATTGCAGAATCTTTTTGCTGCGCGACATCTGCAAAAATTTCCATTTGTACACTCACATAATTCTTTAGTATAAACTGTATAAACGCCTTTAAAACAGGAAGTATGTATGATGAAAACATTGTTTACATTTAGGTACATAATATTCTCACAATACTCGAAAAATGTTACTGGTCCTATTGGTTCTTATTTTGACTGCTGATCATCCTAAAGATACTATTCACTCGTTCCATACATTTTTAAATTGAAATTAAACGACACCAACGTCTCGTGAGTCATCAAAAGTATTCCATATAACTGGCATTCTGAACACATTAACATTTTCCACATAACCATTGCACAAATCCTACATTTATAGTAAAATAATTCAGTATAGATTGCTTACCTCTTAATATTTACTTTAAGCAACGCACATCACTTATTTACTGAAAATGCAGCTGATTACCGTTGACATTCAAAATATGGAGTTACGCGGTTTTCGTGTTGGTGTATGACAAGTATGGAGTTACGAGGTATTCTATTTATTGAATTACAGGAAACATTTTTAAAATAGAAATTTGACGGTTGTACCACATGTTGAATTAATTATTTATCAACAGATGACGCTTAAATCTCAATTTTGCCCTAAAATGGACTTACGAGGTTTTCGTATGAGGGCGACGATATATTCTATACATTTTGTGCAGTACGAGAAAGATGTAAATGAGTCTAAAAAATACCTATAAAAGCTACTAAATTTCAAAAATGTCCCAAGGGTTGGCCCCCCCCCCCCCGCTCTCCAGGGAGATTCCATACCCCCCGATATAACACGGCGGTGGGCCATAGAGATAAATACCATTCACAAGTAGGCCACCAGTAAAAACAAGTATAAATTGTGCACAACTCTTGTACCTACAGATAAAGCCTAGGATAAAGCGCATTTTGTTAACCGAAATAGCTTTTGTTTTGCCATCACCAATGGATATATTTCTTGCCAACGTGTCAATCACTCTTTGTGAGTACCCTCTTACGACAATCCGTTCTTGAGGTACAAGGGAATATACCCGATCACGATAAAGAGGTCGAAGAGGAGGGGTATGGTTAGTAGAAATTAATTCCTTTCATTAGAACAGGTGTTTAACCCCCCCCCCCTTTTTATGGCACTACTAAAGGCATGCGTATGCAAAATCTGAGACCAATTGGTTATCGTATGTAAAAGTTATCCACGTTTTACTTTCAAAAACAGCATCTCAGGAAATAATTCGTGGGGAGGGGGGCCCTTTTAGACAGCGAAATTTAATGGCCGTCTGGCACACCTTCAAGGATACCTACTGCAAAAAAATTCCAGGACTCTAGGACTAATCTCCTGGAAGTAGTTCGAAACGTCAGAAGTGGGTCCGGACGGACGGACAAAACGCAAACAATAGCACATTTTTTTAATTCTTAAAAATGCGCTAAAAAAGGTTAAGAAACACTGTCTTAGATGACCCTCTTTGAAAACGTCCTGGAAAGGTTGCGCAATAATTACTCCATTGTCTTTTTTCCGTATGCTCTGAGACGGTGACTTTACCTTTAAGTCTTATTGACGTGATCTGTGCGTATGAACGGAATGAAACCGGCGTAGTTTGAAGAGGAGGTCAAATTTTTCGAAATCGGTTTCTGAAAGCAGAGGCCATCAAAATCCTTGAGAGTTAATTCCCCCCTAAAATGTTCATCTTTGCTTGCTGCCCCCGCCACGTTGAAGAGGATGGTACCTAATCTTCATATCCCCATATCTTACATCTTCTGTCCTCTTTCTCCTTAATTTATTTTTCTCACTTTCTCGTTTGTTCTTCGTCTACTTTTTCCAATGTTTTCCTCTCTCTTCATTATACCTCAATCAGCATATCTTTCATCTTTTCTATCTCTTCTTTTGTCTTTTCTATACTATTTATTTTCTTCTTTACGCCATCGCCGGCCGTAACTTTTTCTATATATAGGTACCTAGTGGTTTTTTTTCCGTTCTTTTTCATTGTCTGGCCCCATGTAGTTCTCCCTCTTTCACATTACAAACCTGCCAATTTTATTGATTTCCTTGGTCCAGAATTTCAAAATATGTAACAATACGCAAGTTTCATTGTTAATAAGTAGCAGGCTGAATGTTTTTTTTATTTAACCGAGAAAAATCATGTCGTTAAAGTCACGTGGCATCGTGGTATCACTGGCTCTCCCAACTTTTCAAAAAATCGATTCATTTTCACTGTAGGTACCTACCACTGTCAAAAGCTGTTGTCAATTACATACTTCTCCCTCATACAACCGCAGTTTACCTTGGCATTCAATACTCTAAAATTGCATCGCAAAAGGTAAACCTTTTCGTGTAACACTTTCTCTAGGTACCGAGGGTGTTTATCGAACGATATCGCTAGCCACTTCCGAGGAAAAAATTGCATTTCATATCATATCAATTTGACTTACTTCTTACGAGAATTGAAACGTTGATAATTTTCAAACTAGAAATACTCAATAAGTGAAACAAATGGATGATAGCAAAAGATAGCATTTTGGAATTCGGAAAGAAGAGGCTTGGATCTTGACAAAAAGAATGATTTTCCATACCCTTCCACTCAGATCTTCTAATCAAGGCGTTCTAGGTGGGGTACTCACAAAGGGAAGTGGGAGGTCTGGATGTTGCAATTTATCCGTGCCAAAACCTTAAGTACAAGTCGATGGTGGAGGTGGGTGGTATTCATAAAGAGGAAACGGGGAATGCCATTGGGGCAAAAACGTCAAGATTTAAAGGATTTTAAGGACTTTCTTTTAATGGTTTGAAAGGCTAAATAACGTCTTTAAATGCTACTAGAAAACCACTGGAGCTTGAGGACATTGAGACCCACTTTTAGAGACTTACCGTCTCAGGGCCCGATAAGAAGGCCGGTCCTCTTTCACCATTATAAGGTCTACTGGTCCACAATGGTACCATACGCCAGCCGAGGGAATCTAGACTGAGGCTCAGTGATGTCCATCTCCCCCCCATGTAGATTCGTCGTGCACCCACAACTTTAGGGCTTTTTCTTAGGCCGCCCTCGATTTCCTCCCTCCGATCTGACGTCGGGTTGCTCCCCTAAGCCAACGACCGACTTATTGGCGAGAGTGATGGAAACATGGCAACGTTGGTACGCTACCATTGTACTTTAGATTTACTTCGTGAAAACTCGTAATCGGAGTGCGAGTTGTTCCGAATCGTATTTGAATCATCTCGATCTCGAGTCTCGAGTGAGCGGTAATCACTTAATCAGTGTATAGGCGTTGGTGCATGCATAGGAGGTCATATTTGTTGTTATCTTCACTTAATGTTATTTATAACCTTCAATCGATAATTTGATTGCATTGTTTGTTTGACGAATTTGTATCTAGCAACAAAAGGGTAAGTGTTTAAATGCCTGCTTCCTTTGCTTTGAAAAAAAAGAATCAACTGATTAAGTTGCAAGCGCAGCTTTCGTTAATGCTGCAAATACCCATGTTTATTGTAAAATGCAAGGTCAACAGGAAAATTGTTTATATACGCGGGCAATTACTGGGACTACATAAGCCTTGCAACAATAATGGTTTCATTTGTGGGAGAGGGTAAGGGGTTAACATATTACCCTCTCTATACGTCACCACCAATAAGTAAATTATTTGTTATCTTTAGAATTTTTAATGTCTTCCTCCTCTCCTATAAGTTTGTTTATATCCGATCTGGGTATCGCCCGCGTTATCGCCTTCTCGTCCCTCACAATCGAATACTTTGTTGTCTCAAGAAATCCTCGGGTAAACAGAATTTTAAATTAAAGTAGTTTTAGGCTCATTCTTTTAGTTTACATAAGAATTTAATTTTACATTGTTGCAGTTTTTTATTTGACATTATTGGAGTGTTGTGAAATTGCATTGTTGTACTTTTTCTATTCATTTTCCAGTGCCGTATTGTTAAACTAGTCCAGTCAAATCTATCATTCTATCCCTTTTCCCCATCGCCTTCAAATTAAATTTCCCAGATGTTCTTGCACTGAACCTTGATGCACCTATGTACAGTAGGTATGTTCAATATAAGAATGAACAGATCCATGGGGAAAACCTAAACCAAAAGGATAAACTTTCGGAAATTCCGATCAATTTCGAAGATATTCGAAAACATCAGAAAAAATAAAAACGAATATCGTTAATTTCGGTTTTTTCGAATATCTTCGGAACTGATCGGAATTTTCGAATTTTTAAAACACCTTTTTACTCAGCCCTAATATACGCTACAATTTTCTAGTTTAATTGACTGTGTATTTCTTATGGTTTCCGACTTCTACATGCTGTTCATTAACTTATCTTGGACACACTGTACGTATACTCGCCTCTATACATAATTAGTGAGTACTAACGAGCTCAAACATTATTTAATGATCATCTGCAAATGATGTGGTACAAAAGCAAGCAATTCATATTGATGTAATTAACGCATATAGTCATCTGTCTCTCCGATAAGATAAATTGTAATGGAGCCTTGAAAGAAGACTGGGAACATTCTTTAAGGTTCAAAGGTATATTGTTGTATAGTCATTGTCTGTTTGATATGAAAAGGCCCTTTCATTACCAGTTTTTTTTATACATTACGGTGACGTAATAATACCTTAATTATGTTGTTCGATTATGGAGAACGATTTTTAAAAACAACTTTTAATTTTTTACAACGTTACAATGAGAATCCGGACTGAGCATGACTGACTACTATAATGAAAAGTAAATATAATTATAAGTTTCCTTATCGAAGGAATGTGCTGATGTCGTGTAAAGGCCACCATATAACTCCCTTGAACCAAATTAATAAAACCATTGGGACTTTTAATCGATTTACCAATGGATATCCTTTACATAGGCCGGGATTTGCCTTCCAACATTCGGACTAAAAACAATTCCCTACTATACCATCAACCAGACGTCCCAGGGTCTGTGAAGTTAGCAGAACATTGAAGGCACAAATGTCGAGACTAGGTGGGTTGGTTAGTGCTTCGTTTGTGCCGTAAAAAGTTTGCCAGCAAAACATATACCGTTTGAAAATTATTTCGATTTTTAGAGGTTCTGCTAATAGGCCAGTCATTGAGGATTTTTACCTGGAAATAACTCGGGAAGTACAGAAATTTTGTATGTTTGAGTGCGTAGACCTAAAATTCATAAAATGTACAATTCTAAACTTGCCGCCGGGGCCGCCATCCTTAATCCAGCAAGCTAAATCTCTTGAGCACCATAATAATTTTACTGTACGGTTCTGAATTTAATTTAGCAAATTTGTCCTATATATTTTATTTCTCTGATTTGCCCCACGTTTCGGGCGCCAAATAAATAATGCTGTGTGCACTGTGGCTGGCCCTAGGCAGGTCAAATGGGGGCAAAGCTGCTCTTTTTTGCTACTAAACAAATTTTATTAAAATCTTTTAAAATAACCCAGATATCGCCGAAAAACGGAAATTGTCAAATTTCATTTTGATTTTCTCTAGCTTAAACGGTCGGAAATGGACGATTCTCGTTAGCACCTTTTGTGGGCAGTTTTTTTCGGAAAATCTTAATCTGTTACCAGAATTTTCGTAGCACGCTAGATGTAGAAGCTACAGGCTACTATCTTGTTATGGGCGCCATATTCGATTTTTACGGAATGAGAGTCTAGTGTGACAGACAGGTATTTATTTTTCTTTTTTTTTCATTCCGTAAAAATCCAATACGGCGCCCATAAGAAATAAGAAGGTAATAATAGCCTGTAGCCATCTAGCGTTCTATGTAAATTGTGATCACAAAGAGTCGTTAAATCCCAACAAGTTAAAAAGTAATCGTAAACGATTTAAAAAAAAGCGCATTTCCACTTACATTCCTTTCCCATTTGTAAGATGCAACTTCTGTTAAAATCGTAAAAATCCGGCCACAATAATGAAAGATTCAATCCATTTTTGACGTACTTACTACTTCAATTTCAGTTTATAAGAAGAATTTCATTTCAATGCTTTTCTAAATAAGAAAGTTGGAACTGCGCATGCGCAAATCTAAATTTTGAAACTAACGTTAGATTTTCCTTTGTTCCAAGCGCCTATGTATCAAATTTCATTTAAATGCTTCCATAAATAAAAAAGTTGACAGCGCATGCGCAAAACCAAATTTTGAAACTGGCGTTTGATTTTCCTTTATTCCAAGTGCCTATGTATCAATTTTCGTTTAAATTCTTCCATAAATAAAAAAAGTTGGCACTGCGCATGCGCAAAACCAAATTTTGAAACTGGAGTTAGATTTTCATTTATTCCAAGTGCCTATATATCAAATTTCATTCAAATACTTTTATAAATAAAAAAGTTTGCAATTCGATTTATAAATGGTCGAGATGCGAAAAGGGCAGTGTGAATTTTGAATCTATTCGACTCAACTTTTGGCATTGCGCATTATATGACTAAAGCATGCTCATATTGAATTTCATGCAATTCAGTTCATAACTAACGGAGATGTCAAAGCGATCGGACATATCGTTCATACGGACAGATAGCGGGACAGACCAACAGGGGGACGACAGACAGCAATACAAAATTATAAGGATCGTTAATAAACGGCAAAAGTGTAAAATTATGGAACATGTAAAAAACGGTTTGTTGGTTTTTTTACAATAACTTTTTTAGCAATAAGCGCAGAAAAAATTCCTTCCTTGGTGCAAGCCTCGACACCATAACGAACCAAATAGCGAAAAAAGTAGAACAATAGCTCTTAAGATAAAGAACTAGTAGCATCTCAACGAACGAGCGGATGGACGGACGGACAAAGTGGTCACAATAGCGCATTTATTTTTTATTTTTGTAGAAACGCGGTAAAAAGACACAAAACCTTCCTTGTCTTTTTGGGATTTAGCGACTCCAATATACCTACACAACCCCATTTTGAGTTTCATCACACCATGGATATCTGCGATTCTGATTACAAATTAAGATTCTCCGAAAAAAAGTGCCCATAGAAAGGATAAGGTGCTAACGGAAACCGTCCATTTCTCACCGTTTAAGCTAGGGAAAATAAAAACAAAATTTGATGTTTTTAGTTTTTCACAAAAACTGGCAACTTCGCATCCATTTAACCTACGCTGTACCTCTCACCGTTCCGGAGATCCCAATGGTGCGCCACGAATCTGAACCACCCTGTTCAGACTTGCAAATATATTTCTAATCCAATTAATTAATCTAAATTGAAAGGAATTTACCTTGTAGTGCAGTATTCCGGTGGCGAGGTCGCACTTTGTGTAAATTTTTAGCCATTATACAAACAAATTGCACATTTCCTTTACTAAGTAAGTTGCACGCTTCTACATCTTTCCTCATATCTTTGACTACCTCACAAACGCTTTCTTTATAAGTTAAATATCGATTCCTTAAGAACAGCATCAAATAATTCGGCATGCTAGAAACGTAACTTTTTCTCACTCTTAAAAATTGAGGAATTTATTGATAGCTATTGTCCAACATTGTTTTCGTTCTCAGATTCAGCTTTAAATTTAGCAGTTTAATCAATATCTTATCTGAAGTCTCATTGTGAAAATTGGCTGTATACGTATTGAGTTAGGTGACTAAGAATGTATTTTGGAATCATCTTTTTTAATTTCATGCGTATTTATATTGCACCATTGACTAATGGGGGTATTAGTCAATGATTGTACTGTACGATCAAAAATGAGTTGCTGTCGAGTCACCTTTGGAACTTTTGTTTACATGGGAAATTGTATTTAACTTGAACTTCCAAAGGCGACTCGACAGCAACTCATTTTTGATCGCCCGTTACCTATACTGTACCTACATTTAAATTGAGGGAATGTGGTACACCGCAAACTGCACTGTAATTACAGTTTAGTTTGGGTTTGATTCAGGGCCGGACTGGGTGTGTAAGGGCCCCGGGCGCTCCATGACCAAAAGGCCCCCAAACTCATGGACCCCCCCCCCCCAAGAAGACAAGGGATTTTCACATTTTTTTAATTGTGTTTCATACAACTTGCTGAACAGTATTGAACATTAAATTAAAGGAGAAGGCGCTGTAATTCCAATGACGTATTGGCAAATTTATCAATTAATTTATTTTAGCGGGGCCCCGCGACGGAGGCTCCGCTTCGCGGTTCCACGAGGGCCCCGGCCGCTCGAGCGGCCTGGGCCAGTCCGGCCCTGGTTTGATTCCGATTTTTAGTACAACTTTAAAACACACCTCGATAGCTTTGTGTCCATGAACCACTATCTGTCGAAAATTGATAAGCGATAAGGATTGTTTATATAAAGTTGAATAATGGCGTATTGAGTCACACCTGTTCTGACTCAAAAAATAGATCAGTACATTGATAAATAATTATACCTTTGCCATACTTTAATTTTGTATCAAGTCATGATCGTTGAAAAAATGTACCTGACGTGGCAAAAGGCAACATGGCAGTTGTCAATATCTCTTATTTATTTACTATCACTCTCATAGCAACACATGGATCATGGATCACTGACTTGTACGTGGAAAGTATCATTCAGCACGGCAATACATTGTTGGATCATCCCTCCTAGGTCATTATTATTATTATTATTATTATCCCTCTCTTGTTTTGGGCCCTCAACAGGCATGCGCCCAATTACAGAGTGACCCGCATAATGCTATTTTATCTATGTGAAGCGTCATCATCAACGTTGTCTTGAAGCTCAGCGAAGAAACTGGGATCATTTTCACTTTGATTAAGGTCGCATTTACTCAAAAAATTGGTGAAGGTCTGTTTCCAGCATCTACGCCCTACGGCAATGATGGAAATTAATACGGTATTTAAAACAAGCAAACATACAAAAGCAAAAGATCTCGATACGTTACGGTGGTAAAAGCAAATTCAAAATTTCGGTACTTACAACACTTGACGGTGAAAAAATGCGGCAATTATAAACTGCAAAAGATCCTTCCAAAATTGAGCGTTTACCTTATAAAGAAAGCCCAATTTGGTGGAATTGGAAAATTCCAACTCGTCACGATTCACTCGAAAGCGATGCAAATTAATTCGGTTTTTAATTTATTACTTGGCCTGCAATTATCGGAAAAATATAAGATGGACACCGTACTTCTCGTTTTTTAAGCGCGCTCATTTTGATATATAACTCTGGACGCCGTCTGCCGATTTTTTTCTACAACTCATTAAAACGTCAATTAGGCGCGGTTATATACTTTAATACTCATCAATCCAATTAATACCTACTGTTAATTGGAATTTTCCGGCGCAACAGCTGTTGCCCCGGAATGATAAATTCATTACAAAACATAGCGGCGGTAAAATTAACAATTCCACAAAAATGTAAACACAGACAACTCACTCCTCGAGCAAATAATAAATACGGAATTCTTTCGTAACGAAGCGCTTCTCGATACCGAGTATTCAGCAAAGCTGGTCGACTTCACATGCTCATAACTTAGGGGAGGAAAACGGGTGCTTCGTTACATCTGAGCTGTAAATTCAAGTTTTTTTGAAGGCTCCTTCTCCTTATCATACGATCCGCTATTTTGACTTGAAATTTCCAATCAACCCATAGTTGGAATGGTCCCTAAAATGTATCTATCTTGTGAAACTTCCATGATAAATAGCCTAGATGATAGGACTTCAGTAAACCTACGCACACGACACGTTCTAACAAAAATAAATTCGCGCAATACCGGGCCCATAACCTGATGTGTAATTAATGATAAAAAGAAATGTAATTTATAACTATAACATATTAGCATATAACGCATACATCTAGTTACAGATTTAGAATGAGTCGCAGAAGAAAGAGCGAAGTGGACAGCGAGAGTGAAAGCGATGTTGAGTATCTATCCAAAAAGTTGCAAACGTTGAAAGTGGCTACTGAGAAACGCGACATTAACGTATTGCTGTTGGGAGAAACCGGAGTGGGAAAATCCACTTTTATAAACGCCTTCTTTAACTATCTCACTTATCCCACCCTAAAGCAAGCAAGAAAGGGCAATCTTGTTACACTAATTCCAGCAAAATTCACAATCGCCGACGAGAATTACGAAGAACGCATCATTCAAGTTGGAGAAGACAACAATGAGCTGATCGAAGTTGGAGTTTCCGCCACCCAGTCTTGTAGATCTTACGTCTACCCGATTCAAGGCGGCAAGTTTAGGATACGATTAATTGACACGCCCGGCATTGGAGACACTCGTGGAATAAATCAGGATAATATCAATTTCGAAAATATTCTCTCGTTCATAGGCGAAATGCAGCAGCTGAACGCAATCTGCATTTTGTTGAAACCGAACAATTCACGGTTGACTGTCATGTTCGAATTTTGTATCAAACAGCTTCTGTCGAGATTAGAAAAGAGCGCAAGTAGGAATCTAATTTTTATATTCACTAATACGAGAAGCACGTTTTATCGGCCCGGAGAAACATTGCCGGCACTTAAAAAACTGCTTGGTGCCATCGACGGAGTGCACATTCCTCTGCACAAAGAAAATATCTTCTGCACTGATAATGAAGCTTTTCGGTTTTTAGCAGCCGTCAATAATGGCGTTCGTTTCTCTTCAATTGATGTGGATAACTTTGCCCAGAGCTGGAAGAAATCCGTTCAAGAATGTTGGAGGTAATTGCAGTATTACCTTTATTGGTGTAAATTATTTATTGTAATTTCAGAATGCTTACGTATATCACTGGAGATTCAAATAACGTTGCCTTGGTACCTCATGAAGTTAAAAATACAATTTCTGTCAATGAGGCTCGCCGTTTAATCGTTCAGTTGTCACAACCTCTAGCCGATATCGCGCAACTGATTCTGGACAACATTCAATGCTTGGAAAGACACAAACAAAACTTGCATCAAAGCAATAACTCGCTAACCGAACTTAAAACAAAACTGTATATACCGACGATCAACTTACGGGTTATAGAGATGGCCGAACCTACTACAGTGTGCACAAGTCCCAAGTGTAGCACCTTGTATAAGGTAAGATTACTTGATTACTTGCCGCTTCTCCAGGAATTTAGTCAACTGTCGTGGGGATATGTCCCTGGTTAGGGATGGGCGATTACAGGTTTGAATAATCGATTATTAAAAATAATAATAATCGATTATTTTTAATAATTGATTACTTATACTGATTAATCAAATAATCGATTAAATCAAGCACTTGATTAATCAAATAATCGTTTAATCAAATAATCGAATAATCAAAAAATCAATTAATCAAATGATCTGTTAATTAAATAATCGATTAATCAAATTGCCAAGGGATTAAGATTAACTGTATAATCAATTGTCACATACAAGGAGTAATGCTAATGAAATATCTGTTTGTTCTCTTTAATACGTTTGTTACCTAATAACTCTCTTCATCAAATCATCCGAATAGGCAAATCGGTTAATCAATAATCACCTAGCAGTAAATCATTAGGCAGCTCACTGTATGTTTAGGTGTGGGATAGTTTTGATGAATAGGTCTTAATTAAATTATTTGAAAGTTTGATTTATTTGTCAAAACTTATGTTAGTTTGGGTAGTATCTGTACCTTGAGTTCAATACACTTCTAGTTCTTTAAATAATTTTTTATTTATTCATTGTGATTAAACAGTCAATTGTCTACATTTGTCACTGTTTGTAATGATGATGATTTATTATTTGTTTTTAGTTAATTTTTTTTATTATTATGCACTTATTGCATTCGTCTCGACATTCATGTCTTAAGACTACGATTTGGTAAAATAAAAAGCTCATTTTGTTGTAATGTACCACAAAAATATATTAATTATTGAATAACATATACACTTATTATTAGGCAATCTATGTAATTACTAATAAGTTCAAAAGTAATCGTAAACGATTTACAAAAAGCGCATTTCCACTTGTATTCATTTCCCATTTGTAAGATGCAACTTCTGTTAAAATCGTAAAAATCCGGCCACAAATATGAAGGATAGCGTTGCACATGTGCAATCCATTTTTAACGTGCTACTTTAATTTCTGTTTATAAGAAGAATTTCATTTCAATGCTTTTCTAAATAAGAAAGTTCGAACTGCGCATGTGCAAATCTAAATTTTGAAACTAACGTTAGATTTTCCTTTGTTCCAAGCGCCTATGAATCAAATTTCATTTAAATGCTCCCATAAATAAAAAAGTTGGCCCTGCGCATGCGCAAAACCAAATTTTGAAACTGACGTTTGATTTTCCTTTATTCCAAAGGCGCTTTCTTTCGGCTACTTCGCAATCATGATTTCGAGATCGTGATTCGTAGGATCACGTTTTACGAAAGAACGCGCGAATTTAAATCAAAGTATGGTTAAGTTTACGTAGTGCACATTTGCATTCGAATTACGTATTTTTTGTTTGGATTATGAAAATAATTTAAATACAAGTGGAAGTACTTGCACGATTATGCTCCTATTCAGAATTCAGTTACAAATATTGACTAATTTAACATTTGAGCAAAAATATCCTTGCATATATAGGTTAGGAATTCGTGTCAAAAAACTTTTATGTTCAGTTTGTTCACGATTTTAGCAATCATGATTATAAGATCACACTTCGAAAGAACGTGATTTGACAATCCAAACGCGTTTGGATCACCGAAAGAAAGTGCCTCAAGTGCCTATGTATCAAATTTCATTCAAATACTTTATAAATAAAAAAGTTTCCAATTCGGTTTATAAATGGTCGAGATGCGAAAAGGGCACTGTGAATTTTTAATTGATTCGACTCAACTTTTGGCACTGCGTATTATATGCCCATATTGAATTTCATGCAATTCAACGGAGATCTAAAAGCGATCGAACATTTCTAAACAAAATTATCGTTCACACGGACAGATAGAGGGACAGACAGACAAAGGAACGGATGGACAGACCAACAGACAGACGACAGACAGCAATACAAAATTATAAACGATCTCTAGGATCGTTAATAAACGGTAAAAGTGTAAAATTATGAAACATGTAAAAAAGGGTTTTTTGGTTTTTTTACAATAACTTAGCAATAAACGCAGAAAAAATTACTTCCTTGGTGCAAGCCTCGACACCATAACCAAAGAGGTTACTCTTTGCCATAACGAAACAAATAGCGAAAAAAGTAGAACAATAGCTCTTAAGATAAAGAACTAGTAGCGTCTCAACGAACGAGCGGACGGACGAACGGACAAAGTGGTCACAATAGCGCGTTTTTTTATTTTTGTGGAAATGCGCTAAAATCACGTGCTGACGATTAGGGGTGGGCCATTACAGGTTTGAATAATCGATTATATACCGATTAATCACCCAACCTGAAAGGGTACGGCCGCAGCTTCGCCACTGGAATATCGACATTAGAGGCAACTGCTTCCTGGTGATGGCCTCTCCCTCGGGCGTTCCATTAATTTCCGATGCCTCCATCCTTCTTGTTTCTCCCTTTCTTATTGTTGCCTCTCTTTCTAATCTCTTCTTCCTCCTCCTCTGGGCTGCTTGTGCTTATGTCTGAGTCTTCCTCCACCCCCAGTACTCTTCTGCTTTCTTTCTTCATTTTGTGTTTTTGTCTCCACTCTTCCCATGTTTCTATGGGAATCCCTGAGGCCGTCACCGTTTGGTGGTGTTCCATGTGAAGCAGGGAGGGCCTACTTTTCATTCCGAGGCGCGTAGATTTTCGACCACCTGCAATATATGATCTTTGTTTATATGTCCCCAGTATCTCAGCTGCCTCATCTTCAGTCTCCTGGTGATCGTCTTCTCTTCTGGTAATTCCCTTTATTGTGAGGTTGCCGTTTTTCATTCTTCCGTTCCGCCCTCCACAATGTTTTGTCTGTTGCTTTTTGTAAGGTGTTCACTCTGTATAAGACTGTCGGAGCTATGATCGTGTTGTGTAGCAGCATTTTCAAGCGGTCCGGTATTTCCTTCTCTTGTATGAAGTTCCGGATTCCCTGTATAACTCTGAATGATGGTGGATAGTAACTAATAAAATGGCGCTTGATCCAAAATGGCGGACCTCACCGCTCATTGTGATGTCGTATTCCATTGGCCAAGGGGAGGGGCATAGAGGGGCGTGGTCGTGTCTGATTGGCTGTGACGTCTCGAGCTCGTCTCTGATTGGTGTGACGTCACTTCCTGATCCAGAAGATACATAGGTCTTCTACTTATCTCCATCATTTCTTCCATTGTGGAGGGTGGCGGGAGTGGCCAGTAATCGTTCTCCTCCATGAGCTGGAGCTGTGCTTCTTGTTCCTCCTTCAGGAGTTTTTCCCATGCCGTCATTAGTACATATTTTTTGTTTCCTCCTTCTGTTTTTAGCGCATTTTTTAAGAATTAAAAAAAAATGTGCTATTGTTTGCGTTTTGTCCGTCCGGACCCACTTCTACCGTTTCGAACTACTTCTAGGGGAATGGTCCTAGAGTCCTGGAATTTTTTGCAGCCTATACCCTGAAGGTGTGCCAGATGGCCATCAAATTTCGCTCTCTAAAAGGGCCCCCCCCCCACGAATTATTTCTTGAGATGCTGTTTTTGAAAGTAAAACGTGCATAGTTTTTACATACGACAACCAATTGGTCGCAGATTTTGCATACGCATGCCTTTATAGGTGCTAAGTTAAACTTTAGGAAATGGGGGGGTAAACACATGTTCTACCCTTCATGGTATTGTAATGAAAGGTCTCATCGAAATAAATTGGTTTGTACAAACGATAACCTTCCCTTGCGACTCTTGTTCGAGATCAGTGAGGGGGGGGGGGGTAAAAATTAATTTTATCTCTCATTGTATTCTACCCTAATTAAAGGTCTCAACTAATTAAAGGTCTCAACGAACGGAACCGTTTTCTACCAACTACTGCTCTTCTTTCTGTCTTCTTATCAAAGTACGGGGTGGAGAGGGGAGGGGAGTGCAACTAGTTTTATCCTTCATGGTACTATAATGAAAGGTCTCAACGAAAGGAATTACTTTCTACCAACCATAGCCCTCCTTCTCGACCTCTTATCGTGATCGGGTATATTCCCTTGTACCTCAAGAACGGATTGTCGGACGAGGGTACTCACAAAGGGCGATTGAGACGTTTGCTATTTCGGTAAAAAAATGCGCTTTATCTGCACAAGAGTTGTGCACAATTTATACTTGTTTTAAATGTGCTTATACATTTGCGCATTCCTCTCCATTGGGCTCAGCGTGGCGATGTTCTCTGTAAACTCGAATTCCTTGATCTCATCAGAGGCTCTGTTTTTCTCCTCTTTGCCTTCCCTTAGCTCGTTGCATCTTGCTCCTTTCTATACTCCTCCCTTTTCTTCTCCCCTGTCAGAAGTCTCACATCCCACCATTCAGTTCTCCCGCGTTGCTCCCTGTCCTTTTTTTCTTCTTCTCTTCTCCCTCCCCTTACTTTCTTCCTTACCATTTTGTGGTCAGGTCCATACTCCTGCTGTGTTTGTGATGCTTATTTTCGTTGAATTAACCAACAAAAACACAAAACCTTGCCCTTGTTTTTGTTGGTTAATTTAACGACTTCATTCTACACAACCCCATTTTGGGTTTCATCACACCATGTATACCTCCGATTCGTGCTTATTGTCTTTGATTTGGTCCTTACTATATGTGGTCGATCTGTGGTTCAGTGTCCTCTCCTCCATGTTGTCAGCACCGTTTTGTATTTGCCGAATGTGTCCCCCCTTCCCTCAGTCCATGCGGAGTCCAATTTGTTCCGCCCCCTCGAGATGGGTAGGTATATTTGCGCTACCTTTCGCAATTCCCCTCGTTAATTACCCCTCTATTCTATCGTTTCCCCTTTATTTCAATTTCAATTTAATTTTGGCCTTAATTCTAAGTAACGAGTATCAATTCATGCACTTATCTTTTATCTTTACGCCCCGTGTTGTCCTGTTGGTTGGAGATTCCTACACAATTTAGTTAGTTCCACGCGCTTTATTTGTGTCTTGATAAAGACAACTATCGGTTGCCCTTCGAATATATAAGTTTGAATTATGACCCGCCCCCCGTGTCAAATTTACAAGACTTTACATAAACAGCGCTCACTAATACGCACGTCTGCACTCAGTCGACTCCCAAAGAGTTAATTATTTGGTCACTTTTGAAAAATTAATTTCTCATAGATTTTTGGAAAGAATTCTAGATTCCACTGATGTTCATGATTTTAGATTGGCGATAAGCAGAAGTGGCATTACCACCAAAAGTGCCACTGTCCATGTTATTTGACGAACGTGCCAAAGGAAATTATTGGTGCGCCTGAACTTTCAAGCTGTGCCGCTATGAATTCTATTGGAGTTTGTAAGAAGTGTACTTGCAGATTTCAGGTGCACATGCATATTTACTACGAGACGGAAATGTACGAAGATCGTATTGAAGATAAATCGATTAAAACTGTTATCATGGACAAAGAACTAGCTTTGATACAGGCGAAAAATTTAATTAAAAAAATTTCCGCCCGTATTAATGAGTACGACGAAGAAAGGGAAACAATCATAAAAATAACTGCAAAATTCGCTTGTTTTCTTAAGGCAAATGCCATTACGCCATATAATGATGCCTACCAAGCTTATCTGGAATATTTAATTGATCGGTGAGTATTCGACTACCCAAGTTTTTGTGCTATGCAATGTAATTGTAGGGAAAGATCTTTGGGTGACTCTGCCGACTATCAAATGATAAGGCAATTTCAAAAAATGCTGGCCGAGTATACGGAGGAGAAGAATGTCTTGTGTCACGCACTAAATCAGAACGTGTCTAATATGAGGTCGATTACGGCGGATGATATTATAAGAAGTGTGGAAACTTTATACAATCTAAAGCATAACGGGCAGAAAATCAAGCAATTATTTTTAATGCAAAAACGTGCTCGTAAGGATGAAAACCAAAGTGAAGTTCGCGAATTTATCTACAAAACATTGGATATGAATGTGGTAGCACCGAAAAACAAGGACAAAGTTAAGGAACCAAAAGAAGAGAAAAATACCAAAGTACCAGGTAAAACCTTTAATAAATACAACAAAGGACCCAATAGAAACCAAAATCGAAGTTCGTCAACACATCGAGTCTACGAGCAACACGCTCCAATACCCGCCCAACAATTCAGCAACAACATGGGCAGAGATTTTCATTCACCAGAACCAAATCCGAGACAATACTTCCACATTAAGCAGCATAGTGCTGGAAATTTTGATATTCGAATTAGTCAAACCGATAATGGATCAGGTTATCCCCCTACTCATCAACCGGCGAGATACGATGGCCCGAGTGGATCTCATTATCCGCAAAACCGTAATTTTAATAGGTTCCCACGCGATAACCCCCCACCTTATCATAATCCATCTCCTCCTGCTTATTATCAAGATCATCAGCCTCCGCCACTTCTTTCGTATGATCAACGAGGTGAAAATTTCCATTCGTATCCTAATCGACCGCCACCAAATAATGTACCGTTCCAAAGACATCAGAATCCACAGCATTACAACGCGCGAGGTCACAATCACCAACAGTATCAACAGAATAAGCCACGAAATCAAAACCAACCGTCACGTTTTCTGAAGAATAACGAAGTGCCTAACCAACAGTATAGGTCTGGACCAAAACCGACGGGTCGAGACTACCACTCCGAGCCTGAACATGTACAGCACTTCAAGAACAGACGTATTAATAAAAATCAGCGAGAAGGTACGCACTCTAGCAACAGGCGTCATAATCTCGACGCCAGCAGCTCTAGTTCCGATTCTGAGGTTGATAAATACTACAGTGCTGCTGAGAATCGTCGTCATAAATAAATAATAAAAAGTTTGAATTTTTCCATTTCTATTTTTCTATGTTTATATAAGTAATATTAACTTCGTCATTTTTTACATTGTTTAATAGTGTTGTTTCTTTTAGAGTAGTAAAAGTTGTATCAATTTAAATTTTGAATTTCATTTGTCCAAACCAGAAAAGGTTAATTTAAAAGATAAATTGTAATTAATATAAGTTTATTACCAAAATAATAATAATCATGAAGTCTATTTTGACGAACTGAAAGCTAACGTGGTCTAAGAGAATGATGTAAGAAAAAAACAAAATTCAGTTTCTTTCTTCAACATTCCCACTGGAACTGCATTTTGTGACACCCAAAAACATCTCTGCACATTTTCGTTACTAACTTTATCAGAAGTGGAAATTGGTCTGCTGATTTGTGCTCTTATAACATTGAATATTTCTGGTATTCAAAAATGTACAAATATAGGTACCTGGAATATCTTACGTGCCTTCTAAGATATACTAGGGATATATGGGTCGTACTCTGTAATTGGGCGTAAGCCTGTTGAGGGCCTAGAACAAGAGGGACAATAAATAAGTATACGAATGGGAATGTCTCGGATATTCTGAAAATAAACTTAAAAGATATTCACCATTCTGAAAATTCTAAGAACATATGCATTGAACCCCCAGGTTCTATGCTAACTTCACACTACAAGAACACGGAAATAAAATAAACCCGGCAACGTTTAAAAATGGCCACCCGAATGACTATTCCCTCTAAAACTAAACAAGATCCCGCTTAAATTTGAAAAGTGGCACGTGATAAAACATCTAAGGCAGGGCCCCCTTACGTTAGTTGTAGACAAATGCTTTGACCTGAACACAGTAGGGAAGGAACGTTAAATAAAACACTGAAATGGTGAAAAGTTTGTTTAATAATGATCTTAATTATTATGATTGCGAAAACCCGGAAATTTAGTTGATGTACGTTAATGTAAGCAAAGCCAGAAAGGGTGTCGTACTCTCGCAAAAGTCACTGCCAAGGATAAAAAGAGTACGGCGAAGAAAAACCTTGCAGTTTGGTTAAAACAGTACAAAAGTTAATTAACAAAATATTTTCTAAAAATTTAAGCAGTAATTAACAAAGATAATAAATGCATATACACAAGGATGGTTACACTCAAGGTTAAAACCAAGTTTTTGGGGACAATGGGTCAGGTAGGAACAGGTACCAAGATTCTGAGGAAGGGTGAAATACACTCATCTTTGGTGCAATAAAGTCCTTTTGTTGAAAGCAAGATAGAAAATTACATGGCCTTGTAGGCAAATTTGACTAAAAACAAGATATGTGGAAATTATTGAATCGCCACTCATTTATCGCACATAGATTCTAAACTGAAGAGCTTTGATTAGCGTAATCTCGCTCCTGCAAGATGGGTAGTCCGCCCCTGGTTTCGGGGTTTCGAACCTACAGTTGGATGTCGAAGACAGTGCACGGAATTAGGTGCCCTAACACATAATTATAGACTACAGTTTCTTTTTCCACCTCCCATGACTGCTTCATTCACGGAGAAAATTGTTAGTAACATACAACAAGTCAGTACATACATTAAACGAATCGGTAATTTCCACATATTACAATAAAATGAACCAAACTTATATGAACTTCAGGGACAAGACCAAGTAATCAACATCAATAAATTAATAAAATTACATCAAACATGATGTGCCCATTATGGGAAAGAAGTTAGGCAAAACATAAAAGCATAATAAAATATGAGCAAAAAGCACACACAAAATAAAACTAATGTGAAAACTCCAAACATAGGAATTAAAGAGAAGTTGCATGAAATTGCACAGGGTTACATTAAGTTCATTAAAAGAAAAGCATGAGATTCAGGTACGTTATGACTCAATTAAGCAATTTTACGGTTACAAATACATTCGCGTAAATAAACAAAAAAGTTCAATGTGAGACTGGAAAAAAGAAACATTAACAGTGGGGTCTATAAAACAAAAGCAATATAAAAATATGATAAATACCTGTAGACAAAACCACAAAATTTAACAGAAGTAAACGTTTATACTAAGCAAAAATTTGACCTGCTACCACGAAGGACGAAAACAAGATGATCTTTTGGCAACAAATAATTCGCCTTGTCCTCAACTATAACGGGGCTTCTTTTTTTGCCATCTTCGTCTTCCCATGTGCTTAACTCTTTTCCCTCCTTTTCGTCTGGCTTGAAAAAACAGGATTACCACATCTTGTACCGCTTCTAAATGTGGAATTAACACATACCTACAGGGTACTCGCGGTATATACAGGGTGGAACCTCTCAGCAGCATCATGATGCACTTGGGATATTCTGAGAATTAACTTCGGAAAATTCTCAGTTTATTTTGAATATTCTTTGTGTATGAGGTATATGCAGTGATATTCATGTAGAAGTAGACATCCGAATTTCTACTTTTACATGATGATCTTCTATAAAGGGCGCCTAACTTTATGCAACCAAAATAACTACCTACAACAAATGAGGATTTGCCTGTCATTAATTAAGTTGATTATTATCGCTTTGACTTTCGTATTTTAATCAGAAATCAACGTACGAGCTCATTTTTAACAGAGAAGTCAATACATTTTTACCATCTATAATACAAACCGGAAAATCAAAGCAAACTACAATTCATCAATTGAATATACAAAGAGGGAAATACAAAATAAACAAGCAAACAAAACGAAAACAAAGCCATATACTTTTACATTAGGAGATAAAGTTTTATGTAGACAAAGTAAACACAACTCCCTAACACCGTTTTATGGAAAATAACCAAGATCACTGTAACGGTCCTAGTGATTACAGGCTACCCTTAGCCTCTTGGTAACTTAAGGACCTCAAAAATCTCCCTTTCCTAAACCTCCTCCTGTTCACCCATACAAAACTGTATGGTTGGTTGCCTATGGTTCAGGATCACCGGGAGTTATGCTGAGTAGCTCTACAGCCGGAGATAACAGGTCACCACTATTTTAATAAACTACACCTTGTTATACTACAAGAAATATAATTAAACAAATTTATGTACACACTAAATATTTACAAAATAAAGAAACTAAATAAACTGGTTGAATGCGTTATGCGACCCAAGTAGAATGTGTCAAACGGGTCCTTTGACATTCCTTGGTCGTTTTGTTTATCTAACTATTTTAATTTATTTTAACTACCATTTTCAGTTTATTTTTGCAATGTAATTTATTTTAACTTAAATTTCCGAGCTTTTACAATCAATAATAATTGCAATCATTATTAAACAAACTTTTCACAATTTGAGTGTTTTACTGTGTTCAGGTCAAAGCATTTGTCTACAACTAAGGTAAGGGGGCCCTGCCCTTTGATCTAAGGCCCTGCTTTAGATGTTTGATCACGTGCCACTTTTCAAATTTAAGCGGGATTTTGTTTAGTTTTGGAGGCCATTTTTAAACGTTGCCGGGTTGACTTTATTTCCGTGTTCTTGTAGTGTGAAGTTAGCGTAGAACCTGGGGGTCGATTTTTGAAACCAGTCGCATCTATTCGTATACGCTTAGATGCGAAGATTTAAAAACGTATACGTTTTCCAAATGCAATTTTTGACTACTGTTCGTAACTGCCTGGAACCGAAACGTACAGTGCATATGACAACGTCGCCTTTATTGATTGATTAGAACTAAAACGGACTATTTGGCGTTCATTGACGTTTGGGTTTGAGCTTAGGTGGGGAGGTGAAGATATTGCTCAGTCATTTCAAATTATAGAATAATAATGTTTTAGGCACTGATTAGCATGAATACTGAAAACACGATGGACACGCCAAAGCGAGGGTGCAATACCACGCAAAACCAAAAAAAGTGTGGCTAGTAGAGTTTGCTAAAAACCACCCCGATATAATAGCAGGGAAACAAACTACGACTTTGACGTGCAAGAAAATGCAAGACTCATGGAAAGAAGTAGCTGATACATTTTGATAAAATGTGCTTCATTTAACACTACTATGGGGTTGCAAGGATTACGGTTCCTATTCGGGCGATAATTGCGTTCGGCATTCTCTAAATTGTCTATTACAAACACATTCACAGCTTCATCCATTATTGTAAGTAGACAGCTCTCAAGAGTCAAAACTTCAACACTAACCAATACATAACCCACAAAACGTCAGTTGCGAGCGTTTGCGAACGCCATTTACCCGCTCGCAGAAAAACGAACACAATTGAACGTATACGCAATATAAACGTATGGTCAAAAATTGCAAATATACGTTTCTTTACGAATACGTATACGTTTTAAGGAAACGTACGGTCAAAAATCGACCCCCTGGGGATTAAGTACACTACATGCTCTCTAATATGTGCCTTTCTAGTACGTACTGTCATAGAGTAAATAATATACAGGGTGACAATTTGAAAACTTACCACCCCTCATATCTTAGTAAATAAACGAGATATTTAAAAAAATCAAAATCCGTTTCGGTAATTCGGAGGGGGAATCACAATGACATAGTTGGCGACGCACCCCCTGCGCCCCAGCCACCCCAACTTTTAAATCTTAAATAGTGACCCCCCATGTGTGATACGTCGTTGGAAAGCTCTGAAAAAATGCTTTCCAACCATACCAAATAGCATTACATTTAGGTTAGTAATTATCGTGCAAATCAAAAAATAAACATGGAAAATCGTATTTAACTTGAACTTCCAAAGCCGACTCGATAGCAACTCATTTTTGATCGCCAGTTATAATCTATTCTCAAACTCTTGTCGAACCTTTTCAAATGTTGGTTTTGCAATATTTCGACATTCTTGAATTATTCTCCGTCTTAGTTCGTCTATGTTCGCCGGTTGCGTTTTAAATACGACAGATTTCAAATGTATCATATTAGTTTATTTTTTGATTTGCACGATAATTACTAAACTAAATGTAATGCTATTTGGTATGGTTGGAAAGCATTTTTTCAGAGCTTTCCAACGACGTATCACACATGGGGGGTCACTATTTAAGATTTAAAAGTTGGGGTGGCTGGGGCGCAGGGGGTTGGAGGGGGGTGCGTCGCCAACTATGTTATTGTGATTCCCCCTCCGAATTACCGAAACGGATTTTGATTTTTTTAAATATCTCGTTTATTTACTAAGATATGAGGGGTGGTAAGTTTTCAAATTGTCACCCTGTATATTTACTCTATGGTACTGTCTAGACTATTTCTACAGCTTTCCAGGTCTTTTACAGAAGGTTTTAGGATTATTCCAGAACTTTCAAGTCCTTTCCCATAGAGAACAGTTTTTTGATTGTGCTTCCGGTTTTGCAAAAGCGTAAGAACGCTCTATACTACACTAAAATAATTTTATTTTCTTTCGCTGTTTTGCTCTGTACAAATATTCTCTGTTTTGTCATGGTGTAGATGGAAGAGCAGCGTTTTGCTGAATCTATGCCATGAGGTTCTAAAAAAAAATTTTTTTTTTGGAATAAATATGATTATTATTATTATTATTATTATATGCAATTTTCAAAAAGACGGGGACTATCCATAGTTTACAAGTGCTTCCCAGCATCGTATATGCCCTTTCCAAAGCTTCTGGATTACAAAGGAATAGAAGGTGCTGCTAAACGTTTAGTAAGCTCCTTTAGCTGTGGAAAGGAAGCAGTTCTGGCCAAGTGCCACAAATTTTCTCTAGAACTCTACAAAGCAAGCAATGGGGACTTTTGAAAGCTTTTAATATTTTAATGAAACTTTCTAATGTTCTGGAAAGCGCTTTTAAGATACTGGAACCCTTGATCAAAGTAGCTTAGAAGGATTTAGAGAGGGACCTATTATTTTGTTAAAATACGCACCATTCTTTTCTAAAGCGCAACACCTGCGAACATTTGTTTAAAAATGAATTAACTTTTATAGCGATAAACTACGTAAATTTACACAACATATTGCTGTGCGTATGGTATGCGGTCAAAATACGACTCAACAGACACTTAGCTACACCATTATTTTGGGTTTATTTTTAAATTTCTTTTAGGGCACAACTGGGTTCTGACACAAACAGAAAAATTCCATTAATTAAAAACTATATACAACTATAAACTATACTATAAACGCTACCAATTAGCGAAAGCCCTCTAGGTGACGAGGTCACGAAGGAACAAACGGAGAGACTACGGAAAATTGAGTATATAAACGTTCCGCTAAAAAAGTATAGTGCAATGGTGACATACACTTTTACAATCGATCCGCAAACAGCATCGTTTGTATCCCGTTTTTCGTACATAAAAGGTAAAACCACCTCCAAAGTTCCATAGCGTCGTCGCTCGTTATTTCCACAGCCATCGCCCGAATTCCAAACACCTGCATTCGTTATCTTGCACGTAGCATTGTTAGTAAATAGGCTTTAGGGTTCTCGGTTTCCACCGCTTTTTACGGTCCATATTAGGCTAAAATCCTTCAAAAGGGAAAACGTTTTTTTTCTAGGAAAAGTGTGTATCAGGAAAGCGCGATAAGGTGTTTGATCTCCCCACGTTTCTAAGATTGCCCCCCCCCTCCCCCACGATGCTATTTAGAAAATCACATTTATGTCTATGATCCTCCTATTTTGCACCTAAAGCTCTTCTGACTTTCCGCACCTTTTTAGATTTACATCCACCTACACGTACCCCATATAAGGACTAACCTACTATGTGTCGCAAGTCTTCAATTTGGGCAACACAAAAATGTTGATTCCATACGAATCGATAACATTGTTTACAATTTTTATGAGTAGAACCACAATATACTCCACATATATGGTAATGGTCATGCACCCTGAATTACGTGCAGGTAATACGTTAGACACCTTTCAAGTAGTTTTAAGAATGTTTTTTAATTAATTTGTAAGTAGACTCCAACACTAAGAAAAATTAACATCTCTTGTAAACCACATGGCATTGCAACGCATTCTTCGATCTGGATCTACCACATACGGGTTTGTTATTGAGTTCGTCTTCTGTTAGTACGGGCGGTTAAGCGACTGGGCTGGTTTGGTTCACCAAATGGGGCGATGACGTGAATTGGTACACTTCTTGAAACAAAAGTGCATTATTCTTTACACAATTATGTTTGAGTAATTAACGAAGGTAGTTAATAATTTATTTTATAGCACAATAAATCACAATAAGGTCACCCCATAAGTTCTTAGCCTAACATTGATTATAAACTGAAAGTGTTCGCCAGCAGCGTAATAAAATAGGTTTCGGTTACACGTGGTTATACTAAAATATCTGTGCCTCGTTTGAAAATAAAGGATTTCATCACAATACAATTATTACAGTAACATTAAAATCATAAGGGTTCGACGTGCGCGGTATCAATATCGCTTATACTTCGCACCCGCCTGTGCTTGTTGCGATGCAGGCTTCCGCCGAGAAAGTTCGCCTTCTTGTCTTTCGAGCTTGGTGATATGTAAACGGTGGGTTGCGCCTTGAATTCGTGAATGTTGTGCAATTTCGACTGGTACGAGTTCGCGTGGGGGTAGTGGAAGGGTACGGCGTAATCGGGGGATTCGCCACCTGAGTGTGAGGATCGGCACGGTATCGGCGGCGGGCTGATCTGGCTAATCACCGATGAACTTCCGGAGCTCGACGTTGGCGATAGCTTCTCCTGGTCGCGTTCCGTCTTGCTTCGAACCAATCCAAAGGCGCGGCTGATCGATCCCTGCAATTGCACGAGGTAATTTCGTCCAGATCACGGTAGACGGCACACTTTGAGTACTCACCCGAAGACTCTGCCTGCGCGCTTCCATGCTTTGGTCCGCGGATGACGTAATAAGTCCGGCGCACGAACGGGAAAATGAACGTCCTAGCGATCCTCCCGGAATCCGAGATTTTGTCTTGACACGCACATAATGTTCTAATGTGGATCTAGCATAACAGTGCAAAATCAAAAATGTGTAAACAGGCAGTGCAGGAAACATTTACACTAGCATTCTATGTAGGCACTAAGATTTTGCTCGGAAAAAAAACATGCCAAGATTCGTACATATGTACAGGGTGTCTGGGGGTGAACACATAATGCATGCCAGCTAACATTGAAATAACGGCTGCGGCAGAGCGGTGCAAAAGCGAAGCGGCAAATGAACATAGAATGTTGTGTTAAGTGTTTCCGCAGCGAATTTCAATACACAAAGATTCTTTTATACACAGATTTATTTGTACCTTTATAAATTAAAAATAAACTGATATGTCCATACCTCTACTAATAAATTATGTATAAAGTATTTTTAAATTAGTGTAAATCTTGTCCGTCTGAAAATAAGAAGTAGCCGAACTTATCCGCTAACTTGGCTGCTCACAATACTACTTACTTTTAATAGATTTAATCTTCGCAATTATTATCACAACCCTTAGTTTATACATATAGATATAGTGACTATTAATTACAAATTCTACTACCTATACAACATTTTTTAAAAATCTTTTTCTTCGTCTTTATTAAAGGCAGCGTTAGGTAGTTTATCATTAAATTATTTATCGGGATGTCCGTAATGAAACACCCTTCTTGCATCAAACTTTAACCGGCACAAGGATTTTTTTACGTTTGAAATTTGTATACATGCCTGTTGAATTTATGACATATTTAAAGAAGCATTTTGCTGCTTCCTGGATTTTAAAACAACCCTCGTTTAACCCTCCACCTTGCGCATAGATGGCATTCAGACTTTTGTAGGTTTCTACGGCGTCAACGTATTTTTTCGTTTGCTCTCTGGCCAGTAGAATGCGCTGTTGAATTAGTGTTAAGCAATGGGGTTGATGAAATGCAAGCGATTGGTGCAAATGTCGCCATGCGGAAAATAATGATGTGAAAATGCGCGTGGAAGGCTAAGTGAAATGTTCTCCGGTCAAAGAAAGTCGAAGGAGGACCGTAATCTCGCCCCTTAAACTTTTGTCTACGGGCCCGAGGGCTTTTCCCTATGAACATTCGATACAAAATACTTGAGCTCGAGGAGAACTCTCCGTCATAGTAAGTATATAATTCTGCCCTACGGAATGTCTCCTGTAGATCCTGGAGATATACACCCCTAAAACTTGGACTGAAAGAAAATTTTGCATTCGCCGAAATATGCACCCATGAAAAATTCTCTTCCGGAATGTCCCGACTCCGAAAATTCGACCAAAAGGTATTCTTGCGCTTGACCCTGAAAATTCTCTAACCAAAGCTTACTTTTGGAATTTTTGCAATCGGAAAACATGTACCTCCTGCCCCTTCCCGAAAATTTAGCCCCGGAAACTCTGTCCTCCGAAAACTCGCCCAAAAGAAACTCGCTTCTGAAAATTCAATTGTAAAAATTCGTCCTTCTCGAAGAAAAATTTGCCGCCGCTAGAATGCTCGCTCCTGAAAATTTCCTAGCGAAAACTCGATCTCGAACAAAATTTGTCACTGGTGGTGTACTTGTCCGTGTACGCTACAGGGACGTTCCTGCCCCTCTACAATCTCGGTCTTAAGAAAACTTCGATTCCACCGGAATGTTTTTGCAAAATCTCGCTCTCTGAATATTCGCCCTGGGACAAAATTGGTCTCTTCAATTCTAGAATGCTTTACTCCTGGAAAATTTGTGGTAATGATGATTGTAGGGAAATGGTAATTGAATTTTCCTTTTACTGGGGGTGCTACCAACACCTCTAAAACTTTCACCCCTTAAAACTCTCTGTGTGAAATATTTCTCAGAAAAGGAAATTTAACCGCACTCCATAGAAAATAATTATACATTTTGGGAGAGGGGGTAGCACCGGAGGGTGTGGACGGAATACCCCCCAATAAACCAAATTTATGAGTGCAGGTCTTACCAGAACATACGGCCCTGTAAAATTCACGTCTGGAAAATTCTATTGCAAAATATCCGAAAATTTGGGAAATATTAGCCTATAAAAGGTACCCGTTTCTGAACATTCATTCGCGAAATCTTGCTCTCGGAAGGAAACTGTATGGTGGAAATTTTACCTTTGCCGCAATGTACGAATCTGAAAAATTCGGCCCAGGAAAATTCTTTCCCGAAATATTCCTTCGCACAAGAAATCTTTTTAAAAAAAGTCTTAGAGTACTTTCGGAATTTCCGCTTCTGGATATTTCATCACTGGAAAATCCTCCCCGAAACATCCTAAAACTGATTATCGCCCTTGCGGAAATTTGCTCACGGAATCTTCTTTCGTAAGGAAAATCCTCTCATGAAAATTTATTCACGAAATCACTCTCTTCTCCCAGATCCTGAAAATTCATTTATGAAAATTTGCTTTCCGAGAATTCTTCCTACTTTGAAATTCAATTTTGGAAAATTTCCGCTCAAAATATTCTCTCAAGGAACATTGATCCCGTTTTCTGAATATTGCTCCCCAAAAAAACCGGCACGCGCTGGTGTATTCGTCCCCTGTAATAATTCGACCCTAAAAAATTCTTCCGGAAATTCGCCCAAGGAATATTCATTCACAGAAGAAGCTAACGAAGCTCTCCCCCACAATAAAATCAAGAAAAATTTGGTTTCGCCCGAGGAAAATTCTCCAAAGGAAAATTCATTCACGAAAGACCGCTACCTATCTGAATATTATCCCCAAAAAGAATCACTGTCGGAGTAGAAGACCTATGTATGTTCTGGACCAGGAAGTGACGTCACACCAATCAGAGACGAGCACGTGACGTCACAGCCAATCAGAGGCGAGCACGCTCCCCATGCCCCTTCCCTTGATCAACGGAATACGGTAGGCGTGGCGTTTAGAGGCCGCCCCCCTGTGGCGTCACAGCCAATGAGCGGTGTGGTTCGCCATTTTGTTGGGCGCCATTTTGGATCGAGCACCACTTTATTAGTCACCAAATTCGCCATCTTGGATTGGTCGCCATTTTATTAGTTTCTAATTCCGCCATCTTGTGGGACGCCCTCTTGGATCGGTCGCCATTTTATTAGTCGCATCCGCCATCTTGAATCGGCCGCCATTTAGTTGCTAAATCTGCCATTTTGTTAGGTGCCAATTTATTAGTCTCTAATCCCGCCATTTTATTGGGCGCGATTTTGTTAATCACTAGATCCACCATCTTGGATTGGTCGCCAATTTATTAGTTTCTACTTCAGCTATTTTGTTGGGTGCCATCTTGGATTGGTCGCCATTTTGTTAGTTACTAAATCCGCCATTTTGTTGGGCGCCATTTTGGACCGTCTGTCTGTCTGCCTCTTAAGATGGCGCTCAACAAGATGGCGGAATTAGAAACTAATAAAATGGCGACCAATCCAAGATGGCAAATTTGGTGACTAATAAAATGGTGCTCGATCCAAAATGGCGCCGAACAAAATGGCGAACCACACCGCTCATTGTCAGTGACGCCACAGGGGAGTGACCTCTAAAGGCCACGTACCGTATCCCATTGGCCAAGGGGAGGGGCATAGGGGAGCGGGCTCATCTCTGATTGGTGTGACGTCACTTCCTGGTCTAGAACATGCATAGGTCTTCTACTTGTCGAAATGCTCTCCGAAAATTTGCCCAAGTGATATACTCCCACAAAACAAGCTCGCTTCCAAAAATTCATTCGGGAAAGCTAGCTCTAGGAATAGCATCCCCTGCCCTACAATCTCGATATCAGTCTACCCTGGAAAATTCTCCACCGAAATATCCGCCTTCCGAGAATTCACCAAAGGGCTAGTAAAATAGCTTGATTCTGTAATTTTATCTATGGAGAACAATATTCGTCCTCGTAAAATTCGACGCTGTTGTGTCTGAATATCCTTCCGGAAAATAAGTCCGCGCTCTCTCCTGAAAATTCATTCACGAATTCGCACTCTAGGAACATCCTCCCACAATTTCCCCCTTAGGAAAATTGGTTCAACCGGAATGTTCGCTGCTGGAAAATTTTCATCCGAAATATTCTTAGACAACAGCTCGCTTTTTGAATATTCTCCTCTCCAAAAAAACGGGGCTACCCGCTGGAATACGGCCCTGTAAAAGCTTACAAAGTAATTTTCTTCTAAAAATTTATTCTCGGAAATTCTTATTTGGTATCTTCACCAGGCTATTTGTCCCTGGAAAATTGATTGCGAACGATTTTCCCCTTTCGCCATCTTAAAAAAAACTCATTCGCGAAAACGCACTTTTGAAATATTAGAAAACTCTTCTTCAATAATGAAACATTCTTACTTAATAATTTTACTCCAGGAATATTCTTTCTCGTAACATTCTTCCCGACCTCCTTAAGAATTCGTTCACGAACACCCGGGGTCGGATTATTATTTCCAAAGATTCAACTTGCTCATAAAAGTTCGTTTCCGAAGGTTCTCCCCAAAGGAAACTTGGTCCCAAGGAAACTCTGAGCCCGCATAAACATTCGTCCGTGTGAGAAATTCTCTCCTGGAATGGTTTTCTTTCGGCCCCAAGAAACTTGTTCCCGAAACCCAACTCAAAAAATTTCGCCTTTAGCATTTTTGCGCGGGAAACGTTCTCTTTCGGTGTATTCTTTCTAAACCGCAAATTTTCCTTTGGCACGGATATTTTTGACACACATTTTAGAGCAGTGTAACTTATTGAACTAACGAGAATATACTCCATCTCAGAATGAGAAGGAGCTTTTTTATCTGATTTTGCCATAGATAGTGTAGGATAGGTATTGAGAAGGTTACTTCAGTTGTAGTACAGCTGCGACTTGCAAGGATTTCGCCAATATGGCAAGGACCAAGCAATTTAATTGAGTTTTAAATACGATCTGTGTCAAATTTCAGCAAAAAGTTTCAAAATTGAATCTGCCGGTTAAAATATTATGTAGAGATCGGTGTTACATTAGAGACACGCCGTAGATTGCGTTTTGTACATATAAATACTTTAACTTTAAACTAGCATTTACAGTTTCGACTTTTGCAATTAATTTGGTTGCTTAGTAAAGCTTTTGAATACCACACAAAACTGACCCAAAGCGATGCTGTCGTTTGTATACAATTTCCATAAAAAAGAATTGGTCAAAAAATTGTTTGGTCCTCTTGTCCTTCGAGTCGTTACGTTTAAATCCTGCGATAGAAACAATGGGGAATTAGAAACAAGGCCTAACTAGTCCTGTTATTATAGTCTATCCAGCACCCTCAACGCTTTTTCATGGAATTTACATACACCCAGCTTTTTGGTGGTTTGTGAGTACAACACGCATTACAATGTTTCGAACAAGTACTTTTGATTTGAAAGCTTTATCTGTGTTTTGATAAGACTCGAGCAGCTTCCGCTTGTAGTTCTTCCATTTGACAGAAAATGACGTACCTCGCTGGTAGCACTAGCGCCTCCAACTCGGCGGTTAGATGTCGCCGTATTATGTTCTTACTCGCGGGTATTCCCAGGGCGGTTGCCATTGTGTCGCCATTGAAGGATGGTTCTAAAACCACGAGACCGCCGTGCACTCCGCTATCCTTCAAGTTATCGGCGTACTCCCCCAGGTCAATATTGCGGGCCCAGCGTATAAACCTCTGGTTCGTCCACACCAAGGGATCAGCGTCTACGTTCTCGCATTGGTGTCTACGTACCGCCAGAACCTAAACAGGAGCGTCACTTTCATCGCGATTATCAAACCGAAACTGACCTGGCGATCATATTTCATAATCCGCAACAGATGGATTCCATGCACGACGGACGCCTGGTGGAACTTTCTCGTCACCCCCAAGAACTTTTCCAGCTCCTTCTTGCTCAGGTGCTCGAGCATTCGTGCGTCTACGAGATTCGTCGCGAAGCTCTCGGAGTACTGGAAAACCACTCGCTCACACTCATCCGCGGGACGAGTCGGAATGCTCACCTGTGACAAACCGAGGTCCGGTAACCACTCGCTCGAGACCCACGTGTGTCCCAGCTGCGCTATGCACGGGTACCTAACGAGCGCCGGATGCCGGTGCTCCTCGATCGCGAGCCGCAACTTCTTCCTGTGCATCGGATGCGTGATTCCCAATCCGCACTCCAATTCGATATCGTTGAGCTCTAGTAGCACCTGGCCATGTAAATCACCAATCTATAAGATTCATTTTTAATCACTCCTACCAGATTTTCATGAAGCCAATCATGCAGTTTGTGAGGTTTGCTGGGAAAACTATTTGTGATTTGGCAACACCATAGAATATTGCAGGGTATAAGCACAGATTTAGATCTGTGGTATAAGTAAACGATAATAAATACCGCACTGGGATCTACGATCAGTCTCGAATTATTCATCGTGAAAACAATTGGTATAGTATCGGGCGGTGAAAATAAAAATCCCGAAGTGCAATCAGTGTTGCGAAATAAATTTAAATTGCATTTATTACATGATGCACAACTATATTATCCAGTTAAATGATAATGGTCTCTCTATTTATAACAATTATCAAAATTCATAGTTATCTACATTAAAATGGTAAATGGTACCTAGAGAATTTTAGAATTTTATCATGATCCTTTCGTCCTCCATCCACCCCACTTCGAGATGTAAAATGACACCCCCTACCTTGTGATACATCGTTTGGAAATGAAATCGATCGATTGGTTCTTAAGATTACACAGAAGGTGGAAGGTATTTTTTATTATACCGTGGAAGGTATGAAATCAATTTTAAATTTCGAAGTGTGGGGGGGGGGAGGGTCTGGGAGGCGAAGGGATGAAACCTATGATTCTTTAGGTGCCATTTTTGAACCTCGATATCTAAATCGACGTGTTTCCACTCAAAGCAATAATCTCATCAAATCATCGGATCAAGAGTTCGTAAGAGTGGATACTTTTGAAATACAGTGTATATTACAATTCGAATAAAAACTAGAACTATTTGGGATACGTGAATAAGACCACTTATTTTTTAGAAGTTCATTAAAAATCAACAGAAAAGGATGAATTTGTTCCTCTTCATTAGACACAACTCTCAATATGTTCATTTAATTTGTTTTCTGTATGGAATTTTGTAACGTTCCGTTGTTGCGTTGAATGTAGTCTTAGTTTGAGTGAATACACCTTTAGTGCGTTAGGTGAGTGTACCGGGTGACCCAATAAGACTGTTCCTCGGCCATATCTCGAGAACTGTTCGTCATATGACTTGGGGGTAAAAAAATTATATGGGTAAATCGGTCATGAAAAATCGCTGGAAAATGTTCTAAACATGACCAACAGAGGGCGTAACCGCCATCTTAAATTTTAAAATTGAATTTTCTTTAAATTTCGCATAATAAACTAAACATTCTTTTTTCACATTTTTAAAGAGAAAGAACCTGTTTATGTATCATTTTCGTAAAAACAAAAACTCAGTTATTTCAAAAACAAAGATGGCGTAGGACGTTCAATTGTTTTTGCAATAACCTGCTTTAACTTCTTAACCGTTTTACCGATTTTAACAAATTTGGCATGGTTGAAAAGAGCATTCCTTGGGCAATGAGTATCAACCAAAATATAGCTAATTTAGTTGAATTCTTCTCCGCCATTTAATATGCTGGCGGTGATGGTTCGTGGTCGATTCGGATAACACAAATAGAAGATGTGGGTAGCGATGGTCGCATTTTGAAAATACTCAAAATGTACCTATGCTTCTTGGTTAGAAATCGGCATTTTAGAAAAGATTAAAATTCAAAAAACTGCACTTTCTGAATGTAAACACAGCAGAATAATTTACAAATTACGGCTGTTATTATTTTATAATGCGGCGTGTTTCATTTGTTTAATTTTCCAAGGCCTACCTAAAAGTGTAGGGTCCTTTTCCAAACAATCATTCGCGCCATCGACAAATACCGGAAATACGTCAAATAAGATACAATTTAAGCATTTTTATTAATTAATTATTTAATCTCATATTCCCAATATTTGAGGTAAGGAACGAGATTTTGAAAAACGGTTTTCACTGGCCTCTGGGTGTTATTTGGCTACTTTTTCATAAAGAAAAAGTCATATCATTCCATTTGACTTTTTGATTTTTTTAGGATTTTGAATCAGTGTCAAAACTAGCCCACTGGCGGGGAAAGATTCAACTAAATTAACTATATTTGATTCTTGTTGCCCAAAGAATGGTCTTTTCAATGATACCAAATTTGTTACGATCGGTCAAACGGTTAAGAAGTTAAAGTAGGTTATTGCAAAAACAATTGAACGCCCCACGCCATCTTTGTTTTTGAAATAACTGAGTTTTTGTTTTTACGAAAATGATAGATAAACTGGTTTAGTTTATTATGCGAAATTTAAAGCAAATGCAATTTTAAAATTTAAGATGGCAGTTACGCCCTCTGGTGGTTATTTTTAGAACTTGAAAATATTTTCCAGCGATTCTTCATAACCGATTTACCCAATAATTTTTTTTTACCCCTAAGTCATATGACAAACGGTTCCCGAGATATTGCCAAGGAACAGTCTTATTGGGTCACCCGGTACGTTGGTTCGAGTGGGGATTGAGGATATCATTTTGGCCGTTGTTGAATGAAAGGTGAAGCTGAAGTGGAAAAGCCATCCTGTTAAAATTGCCAAAATTAATATATCTAAACGTATTTACGTGAATGAGGAAGTTTGTTCTGAGGTAGTTATTTTTCATAGGATTCCTTACCTATCTTTCTTTTTACCTACGTCGCAATCAAGTACTCGCATTTATTAATGGAATACGTAAGTTTGAATTAATTTGATTTTAGTCTGATATTGGCATTGTAGTTTTTTGGATGTATCTTTTTGTGTACCTAACGCGCATCATCATTTCTAGAATTCCTTCGATACGGCGCGGACGCCTCTGGATATTTTTTTTTGCGTGAACTTCTAACTCGAATAAATCTCGCGACACGTCACCGGGGACTTTCCCATGCTATTCATCTCTACGGTGGTAACGACGGTGTCGAAGATTTAAAAAAAACTTGCAGGACACACAACTCAAACGGAAGGGTTAGGAGAGCCATCGTTACACTGCTATTGTCGCATTAGGGAAATACAAATCGAAGGTAGGAAAAATATGAATCAATTATCATAATTTAGGGCTCCATTCTTTTGCTCAGGATATTGCGCAACACTAATTTGCCAATTCCCCTAATTCGGTTTACTTTATTAAACATTTGGGCCTTTGTTCGTCAACTGTCATCAAATAAAGTCGGGATTTAGCCAATTGCCACGCGCTTATTATCCAATTCGGCCGACACGGGCGGTACCTCCTCGATTCAATTACTTTTGAATGTGAATCTTTTAAGAACAGGCGTGCTGGACCGGCCCAAATGGCAGTACCGACTTCAGGAGCCGCTTATAAGACACGGACAATCACGGTACCCAGGTACATAGGAAAGCAACCCTGAGTTCTCAAATTTGACTGAGAATTAGCCCTGATCGAGGGAACATTTAGCGTTATGAAACTCATCAACACAGCTGCTTTGAATTTCTCGGCATCGTTACATTGGTGGTCCTTTCCAACGTCTTGTGCATCTTCATCCTTCTTGGTTTCTTTGGTCTTGGTTTATGGAAAATCTAGGCTTTTTTGCTCCACATCTTTCTTTGGTTTTTTGACATTTTACACTTCTTTCACACTTTCACCTTCTACGACCTGTTTCAATGTCTGAGAATCGGCTCCATTCTTCGAAACCGTCCCTTTCTTCAGATCTATTTTCTATTTCGCCGGCTTAGGTTTCTTCGACTTTTCCTACAGGACCAGCGAACTTCTCCAAAGAAAAACGTGCCATACCCTCACACTTGGGGTCAATATTTCGCCAACGGGGCCGATGGGAGGCACATGAGATTAGAGGAAGAAAGGAACCACCCAGGTGAATAAGCATACTGTACTGAGAGTAGGTTTGGACCGGCCCTGTGCACGTGGTTTAGTTCTACCCTCAATTGCAAATTCCGACCGACATTCTGTTGCGGTGTGTCGCATTTGCCTTTCGGACCTTGCAATGCACCAGCAACATGTGGAGTGGACTGAGAGACAACGCAACATTTACACTACAAGAACTATACCTTCCCACTTTTTATATTTTCGGCGCACCGTGCGCCATACTGCGGCATACCAAGGGCGACCTCGAGCCATGCCAGCACGGTGGGCGCCCGCCACCTTTCCATCGGTATGGAGGAAGCCTCCCTGAGCAGCCTCAATTTTTCCGCGTACCCCTCCTCGGTCAGTGGGGACCAGCTCCGATACGGATCGTAATTATTGTCGCCTAAAACATGTCGAATAATTAAATCGAAATCGGGGTCCGGCGACAGGCGCACTTTCTTGCAGGGAGCTGGCCTTGTTCCGATGTCGCGATCGTGCGAAGACTCTCGAAATACTACCCCAGGTCCCGCCGCGGCCGCTCGGTCTGCTTTGCAAATGCTTGGAGCGTCGCCCTATCGCAGGAGGCTCGGTTTCCACGGGGGAGCTTAGCTGCTCTACGGACCTGGACAGAGCGCCCGAGTCGATCGACCGCGAGAACGAGTTGGCGTTCAGCGGGGACAACGTCGGACTGCAATCCTTTGGCGTAGACACTGCTACGGTTAGTGCATTAGCAATTATTTCCACGAACAGGCGACTTACATTGGTACATGTGAGGGGGCGGTATCGAGGAGACTACCGATACCGAGTCAATTTCATTGCTACCTTCGACTGTAATTGTGGGCGTTCCGTCCGTGGTCGAATCGGACAAATTGCCACCGATTGACGTGGTACCACTCTCTCTATCGGAACTGACGCGCACACCGGAATCGGCACTACAACTACCCCTATCACCCGCCAGCAGGCCAAGTCCATGGTGCCCCGACAAAATTCCACCAGATCCAGGCGTCAACGCGCCCCCATTGCCCGTATGCCTAGAGATTGAGATTAAAGACTCTTGGTCCGAAATGCAAGTGCCCGAAGTTAACTGTCGGCGAGCCTACAACATAAAATCACCAACATCGCTTGCGCCACCAATTTACCTCCTGCAAGTGCTCCTGAGCCTGCTGCAATTGTAACTCTTTGGCGTTGAGTTGCGCCGCCAACGACAGACTTCGCTCCGCTTCGTCGCGCGCGTGCCTCAACAGGCTCCACCTTTCCCGCTCCCTTTCCTCACGCTCATTGGAGAGCTGCTGCAGTGAAGTCTCATTTTCCCGCACCCGCTTCAAATTCACTCAAAATGTTAACGTCCCGCCAAGCTCAACTTACCTGCTCGTAATTGCGGATGAAATCTCTGAGCTCCTTCTCCTTATCCTCGAGCGTGGCGTAAAGCTGTTTCATTTGGTGCAAGAGGTCGAACTTCTCCGCCTTGAGCCGCTTTCTGTCCGATTTCAAAGCGGATATCGCCTCCTTGGCCAACTGCAGCTCCAGCTCAAGCGCCTGCAGCTTGGTGGGATTATTAATATCCTCCTCGGAGATCTTCGTTCGCTCAGCCAACGCCGTCGACGCCCCCGAGACGACCAGACGGCGCAGGCGCGTGTTTTCGGCCTGCAGCCGGTCGTTCTCCTGCTTCATCTTCTTAAGCGCTGAAGTCGAGGAGGCCGTGATCGGCGTGTACGGTTCTTCCTTGGTCCCATCGGAACTGCGAGGGGAGCGTGGCGGGGTGGATTCCACGGCTGCAAAAAATAGGGCGTTAGTGGGTTGTGATTGTGAGGTAAAGTACCAAAATCCTGCTCGGTGCTGCAACCAGGTTTTGGAGACTCCGCCCGACTTTCCCTTATCGGCGCGTCTTCCACGGCCATGCTTGGTTTCTCATCCGCGGACGCCTCCAGACTTTCCGACTTAGACGGCGCCGACTTGCATTTCTTAATCACCTCCTTCTTGCTCTTGCTCTCGTCGGCTGTTTCCAAAGTAATCGCGCTGTTCAGCGACTGACTTCGTCTCGCCTCCGTTACGGCCGAGTCCCTCGCGTCGGCCTCGGTCTTTTCGTTTTCTTCGCTCGGCGCGTGTTCGCTAAAATCTAAGATGTTCGTCGCGGCATCGGAATGTTTCGAGCCGAGCGATTCTCGCGATGGTGTCGGCGTTGACGATGGATATTCGGAATCTATCCGAGTCGCTAGATTTACGGTGTGTTCTTCTACCATTCTGCGAAGCTTACCCTGAAAAATGGACTTAATTAAGATTCACTAGGCTAAATTGGAACTCAAATTTCTTTCCTCGTGGAAAGGGAGAAAAGACGTAGAGAGTGTATCAAGTACCAAGGATATTATAGGCAAAGGGTACGCATCGTCAAAGCTCGGTACCGTATCAAAGGAAAACGTTGACATAAAATGAAGACATAAGTGAGGTTTCTACTCTTGGATATAATCAAGCTTTGGGTTATCAATTAACCAAATTGCAAATAATTTCTACTAAAGGTGTTACATCCCTTTGATGGAGTTCTGCAGAACTAAGGCTAATGTGATCCAGATGATGGAGGTCTTTTCTGTTTAGCTATATATCTTAAAGCATCGAACAGATAGTTGTCTACGGTGGCAGAGGTATCAGGATCACAAAAGTTTGGGAATCATTTATTTGGCAAATGCAGTTGTTATAATCATCTGATGCCAGTTCTTTGCCTTTAAGTACCAAAGATGTAAAAAATGTACAGGGTGGCCAAATAAGAATGCGAGGTACTGTATCTGGGAACCTGTCCATCGTAGAGTCTTGCGGTAAAAAAAGTTATTAAAAACCTGGAAAATATTTTTAAGTTTCTGAAATGGCCGCTAGGGGGCGTAACTGCAATCTGGAATCTAAAAAAGTGATGTTTCTGTGAATTCCGCTATATTAACCTAACAAAAAAAATGTCCGGTCTTTGAAGACGACGATAATCTGAACCTTTTTTGTTTGACAATTTTTTTCTGTATCTCTAAATACGAAGTGGTGGGGGGTATTCAAAGGTTTCCGTAAAGAACACCCTGTATCTTAGAAACGACTAAGCCGATTTAAACAAACTCGGGTTAATTGAAAAGAGTTATTCTTCGGCTACAAATATTACAATATTTGAAGTTTTGTTAGTTTCACATATAGCCGCTTGAGGGCTTTTTTCGACATTCCGACAGAAATGGTTAATTTTATTTAAAAAAATTTTCATGAAAAAGTAGCTAATTGATGCCTAAACAAGCTCGCGAAAACCGTATCTCGATATCTTGTTTCTAACCTAAAATTTAGGCCAAAGAATTATTTGTACAATTTGTGGCGCTAAGGTGGATCAATTTAAAACAAGTTAAAAAGTAATCGTAAACGATTTACATAAAGCGCATTTCCACTTGCATTCATTTCCCATTTGTAAGATGCAACTTCTGTTAAAATCGTAAAAATCCGCCCACAAATATGAAAGATAGCGTTGCACATGGGCAATCCATTGTTGACGTGCTACTACAATTTCAGTTTATGCGAAGAATTTCATTTCAATGCTTTTCTAAATAAGAAAGTTGGAACTGCGCATGCGCAAACCTAAATTTTAAAACTAATGTTAGATTTTCCTTTGTTCCAAGCGCCTTAGTATCAAATTTCACTTAAATAGTTCCATAGATAAAAAAGTTGGCACTGCGCATTCGCAAAATAAAATTTTGAAACTAGCGCTAGATTTTCCTTTATTGTGCCTATGTATCACATTTCATTTAAATTCTTCCATAAATAAAAAAGTTGGCACTGCGCATGCGCAAAGCCAAATTTTTAAACTGGCGTTTGATTTTCCTTTATCCCAAGTGCCTATGTATCAAATTTCGTTTAAATTCTTCCATAAATAAAAAAGTTGGCACTGCGCATGCGCAAAACCAAATTTTGAAATTTGCGTTTGATTTTCCTTTATTCCAAGTGCCTATGTATCAAATTTCGTTTAAATTCTTCCATAAATAAAAAAGTTGGCACTGCGCATGCGCAAAACCAAATTTTGAAATTGGCGTTTGATTTTCCTTTATCCCAAGTGCCTCTGTATCAAATTTCGTTTAAATTCTTCCATAAATAAAAAAGTTGGCACTGCGCATGCGCAAAACCAAATTTTGAAATTGGCGTTTGATTTTCCTTTATTCCAAGTGCCTATGTATCAAATTTCATTCAAATACTTTTATAAGTAAAAAAGTTTGCAATTCGGCTTATAAATGGTCGAGATGCGAAAAGGGCACTGTGAATTTTGAATCGATTCGATTCAACTTTTGGCATTGCGTATTATATGGCTAAATCTATGCCCATATTGAATTTCATGCAATTCAGTTCATAACTAACGGAGATGTAAAAGCGATCGAACATTTCTAAACAAAGTTATCGTTCACACGGACAGATAGATGGACAGACAGACAAAGGAACAGACGGAGAGACCAACCGGCAGGCGACAGATAGCAATGCAAAATTATAAACGATCTCTAGGATCGTTAATAAACGGCAAAAGTGTAAAATTATGGAACATGTAAAAAACGGTTTTTTGTTTTTTTTACAATAACTTTTTTTGTAAGCGGTACAGAAAAAATTCCTTCCTTGGTACAAGACTCGACACCATAACGAACCAAATAGCGAAAAAAGTAGAACAATAGCTCTTAAGATAAAAAACTAGTAGCGTCGCAAAGTTAGCGGACGGACGGACGGACGGACGGACGGACAAAGTGGCCACAATAGCGCATTTTTTTTTTATTTTTGTGGAAATGCGCTAAAAAGGAAGCTTTTAATGCCGCCGTAAATGCTCGAAATGCTGACCATCACGATATACGATATATCTATCTATCTATGTCAGGATCTATGTCATATAATATATCTCAAGATATCGAGATGCTGTTTTCGTGAGCTTGTTTAGGAATCATTTAGCTACTTTTTCATGAAAAAAAATCGAACCAATGCATTTAATTTTTTTGAGAAAGTTAACCATTTCTGTCGGAATGTCGAAAATATCCCTCAAGCGGTGATATGTGAAACTAACGAAACTTCAAATATTATAGTAGGTATTTGTAGCTGAAGAATAACTCTTTTCAATTAACCCGAGTTTGACAAAATCGGCTCAGTCGTTTCGAAGATACAGGGTGTTCTTTACGGAAACCTTTGAATACCCCCCACCACTTCATTTTTAGAGATATAGGAAAAATTGTCAAACAAAAAAGGTTCAGATTATCCTCGACTTCAAAGACCGGGCATTTTTTGGTAGGTAGTTTAATATAGCGGAATTCACAGAAACACCACTTTTTTAGATTCCAGATTGCAGTTACGCCCCTAGCGGCCATTTCAGAAACTTAAAAATATTTTCCAGGTTTTTCTCGTGGACGTTTTAGTAATACCTTTTTTTACCGCAAGCCTCTACGATGGATAGGTTCTCAGATACAGTACCTCCCATTCTTAGTTGGCCACCTTGTACAAGTGGGCACTAATTACACCTGACAAACTGTCACACGCATTATGCTCTCCTAATACCACTACCACAGTGACTCAGTGGGTAATTATTGTACAAATAATTCAAGACACCTTCAGATATTACGTTCCCCTGATACGAATTTCGGCCTTTAAGGCCAGAGAAACGCAACAAGCTGTGAAGTGAGCAATAATATACGTCGATATCTTTTAAAATAGGGTATACCAGGATCACAGAAACACACAAATAATTACTTGACCAGCACAGTACCACTTTCCCTGTACCATTCACTTTCTAACCTCCTTCCCCCTCATGTCAATTTCATTTGGGCTTTCCTTACACCTTCTTGGCTTCACCACCCACATGAAAAAGATGCTTTCTTCACATCCCCTTCATTAACAGCTCGTTCACGTTTTTTAGGTTTTCTTTCTTCACTTTCTTTGACGTTTTATTCACATTCCCATTTATTATACCTTCTTCTTCACTTTCTTGTTTCCCATTTTCACATTTTTCTTCTACACCGCCCGCGTTAACACCTCTTCCGCGCTTTTTTTGGGTTTGATTTCTTCACGCGTTCTCCTTTCACACTCCGTTTACGCTTTGTTCACAAACTATTTAAGTTTCCTACAGGTCTCTTCCTTTCAAACTCATAAATCTCATGTTCCGGCTTCTTCACTCAAACTTTATAAACCCTCTTAACACCTTCTTCCTTGGTGCTTCCTCTGTTTACACTTTTGTCTTCATTGCCTTTATCCCATTTGGACCTATATTACGCCTTCTGTACGCTTCCTTTTTTTATTGAGATTTGGGAAACCTTTTATAGGCTCTTCCGCTTGGGTCTATAGCGGAGAGTGTTTGGGACTCACTACCATCCAGGTGAAATTAAGCCACTGTGGTAATCCATCCTTATGGTTTGGCAACACACCTTTACTTGTTTAATTGCATTTGATTTGATTATCTAATTTTTATCATACAATTTGAGATGTTTTATTTATGTGTATCTTCTCTTGCATTTTATTGCTGTAGGTGATTTATTTCATGTATTTGTGTGGCTTATGCCGGGGTTTTTGTCCCGTAGAAGGTTTCCCTAGTATGGTCTTGTTGTGTGCGTAATATATTTATTTGTCCTTGTCATTTCTTACGCACAAAAGTTCTGTCTTTTATTTAATTCCTTTTTCCCTTCCCGATTATGTCTCACGTCTCAACACATACAATATCCGATTACACAACGTAGGAGTTCATTCGTGCCACCCATATCGAGCCGACTGCCATCCAAATTCATTTATTTTTTATGCCTGCTTCAAGATTTCGTTGCGCTCTATCCGTCCACAGCTTTTGACTGTACATCTCGTCTTTGACACCTGATTTATGCCTTTTTTGCTGTACGTAATTTATCGGCTTATTCGTACTTCATTTCGCTACTTACCACATTGCTTCATGCGTTTCTTTCAAGCATTCATGACCACTTTTCCGCCCTCTAGCTTCACACCTGCTTCCTTCCCGCCCTCTTCTCAGAAATGATTTTCCTCCTCTCCTTGCCTCTTCATTTCACACCCCTCTTTTCTCACACATGTGTCATTGACGCACTGATTACACTCCATGCCTTCATCGCGCCTTCTTCAAGATGCCTCCTTCGTTAGGACGTCCTTTCTTCACACTTCTTTCACGCATGCATCACGATCTTCTTTTTTTTCCTCTTTTCCACTCCCTTATTCCCACGCTTCTTTCTTTCACATTTGTTCTAACCCCATTATCTCGTTCTATTCACCTCTTCTCGCTTCTTTCACACCACCACCACGCCGAACAAAGTTCTCTGTTCTAGAAGAGATATTTGTGAATACATTTGTAGCCTCTCCATGAGGTTTTTAAAGGCTCTTACAATGACTGCACTTAGAGATTCCTAAAGCACGTACTCGTATTGGATATTTAAAGTCTGCATCAAATAATTTTTATATATAAAATTTTTTTGTACGCGTGTTTGTGACTGAACACCTCCTAAGCTCTGTGTGTCCCCGAATGGTTTAGATTCATAAATGGGTCTAATCGGATTATAAGATTTTTTTTCAACTTTTTTTTTCGTTGATGTCGCACTCCGCTATTTCACGTTCCGTATGTTAGAAGCTGTAGAGACAACTAGAAGAAACATTATTGACTCACAAATGCTTTTAACCTGCAATAAACCTTCTTCTTTAAAGGTGAGAGGTTCCACCCTGTATATAGAACTTACGACGATGCACACATTTTTGAGAGTTGGCAACCACGCAATTTTTAGGAGGGGAAAGCGATTTGCGCCATCTGGAGAGGACGAACGTGGGTTACGTTTGGCATCTTGTCTTGAATGGCGATCGTGAACGCGTCGCTCCATAAATGTTTGTTGTTATTTTGTGTTATTTAATGCAGGTAGTAATTTTTGCATTTCCTTATATCGTATTTGTGTTTTGTATGCCGCATTTTATACTTTTTGTGTGTTTCAATCTTTTTGTGTTTGAAATTTACTTGGTTTAACCGCAATCCAGAATGACATGTTTAATACCGTTATCCTTTTGTTTGTAATTGTTTACGTTTTTGGTGTAATGCTTGCTTAATTTATATTTATTGATGTTGATTACTTGGTCTTGTCCCTGAAGTAACATTCATATAAGTTTTGATCATGTTATATTAATTTGTGGAAATTACCGAGTTTGATGTATGTACCGACTTGTTGTTTGTAACTAACATTTTCTCCGTGAATGAAGCAGTCACGGGGGTGGTAAAAACTGTAATCAAATTGAGTTACGACGCCTAATTCCGTGATTGTCTTCGACATTCCACTGTAGGCTCGAAACCCCGAACGAGGAGCGATGTTACCTACCTTGCGGGGGCGAGATTATGCTAATCAAAACTCTCAGCTTAGAATCTATGTGTCATAACTGAGTTATTTACAATTTCCACATAATTATCTTGTTTTTAGTTAAATTTGCCTACAAGGCCATGGAATTTTCCATCTTGCTTTTAACAAAAGGCACCAAAGATGAGTCACATCCTGTGTATTTCACCCTTTCTTAGAATCTTGGTACCTGCTTACTTGACCCATAATTCCCAAAACTTGGTTTTAACCTATATAATGTAACCTCTTGAAGTCTACATGCTACTTTTTGTTATAATTTTATGTTACGTCCACATCATTACAAATAATTAATTTTACTACACAATTTAATATTAATTTGACGGCTGGTTTTTTTATTGGTAAGTTCTTTTTTTCCTAGCCTATTTCTATTTTTATTGGCTGAACTACCATTTTTCAAAGTTTATTTTTGCAATGTAATTTATTTCGACTTAAATTTCCTACCTTTTACAATCATAATAATTACGATCATTATTAAACAAACTTTTCACAATTTCAGTGTTTTATTTTACGTTCCTTCCCTACTGTGCTTCAGGCCAAAGCGTTGTTTACAACTAACGTAAGGGGGCCCTGCCTTAGATGTTTGATCACGTGCTACTTTTCGAATTTAAGCGGGATCTTGTTTAGTTTTGGAAGGAATAGTCACTAGGGTGGCCATTTTTAAACGTTGCCGGGTTGACTTTATTTCTGTGTTCTTGTAGTGTGAAGTTCGCGTAGAACCTGGGGGTTAAATACACTACAAAGGTTTTAAAAATTCCTAGATCTTTTCAAGGCCTCAAAAAGGCCCCTCTTGAAGAGACTTGAAAACGCTTCAAATAGCTTTTAAATATTTTAAGGCGCTTAGTACACTAAAGTTCGTACAGATTTGCATACCAAATACAGTTTAGAGAATATTTCAAAAACTGTTGATTTTTTCTTCTTCTTTTCTTATAAACTATTAAATACACTTAAAGATTCTAGAAAAAGGCTCCTTAGACTGTATGACGCTGTACATTGCGACATGCCCTTACGGTTAGGCAACACACCTTACAGCAATAAACAAGATGCGTAACAAAAGGTGACCTTGTTTTGTGGTTCAAGCTCGTGGTCTGAGATTTCCCCGACGAAAAAGTCGTCGCTTTGGTGAAAGGGATTTCCCGGTTGCGTAACTATGACGTGACCTTGATTTCAATGGGTAGAGAAAAGAGATGTCATTATTGAAGCTATTTTTAGAAAATGACAAATTATGCATTTCAAATTCTACAAACAAGAAAAGCAAAGTGTTCAAGCAAAACAAAACATTCGAAATGGGTTGCACTTGCAATTGAGTGGTTCGTGTCTTGGCTAAATCAAAATCGGTTCTTGTCTTGGCCGTAGTAAAATGAGTTCTTGTGTGGGATTCCATCGGCGAAAAGGAAGATATTTGAAATACGTTTCAGAATTTAATTTTAATTTCGTTTTGTGTATTTTTGAGAACCTGCACTGTATACATATATTAAACTCGAAAACCGTTTTTTAAACCATTCGGAATGACGCCTAACCAGGGATTTTCTTCAAGGTCACATCTTCACCAAGACCATGATTTTTTTCGTCGGGAAAATGCCAGGGCACCATTGGTTAATCTTCTGACCATGCTAGGGGGAAGGAATTGCCTGACTATTTCCGGGGCGACTTCCTGTACACCAACTTCAGAAGACGCTTGACTGGGGGGGGAACCATTTACCCATAATTTGGAAGTTTGGGAAATATTCCGCTGTAGAATTCAGTGAGACTTACGTGAGCGTCTACGAGTAGACGGCGCATTAACACCGCCATGGCGGGGTCGCGGCGGCAAGGTCGATGGTCAGCGTATCTTCTGCCATCTTATTTTCTTGTCGCATTTCCTGCAAGTAAAGCCACAATTAAATCCAGATTCGAGTATTAAAGATTACAATCACGCACGCACGTTTTTTCGCGCGCGAGGTACCGTACTTCCGCTTGCCGCTAGTGAATATTAATTTAGTGCGCCGGAATCTAGCCGTCTCGACTCAGTTATTGACGGAACCGTCCAAAATTTTCGCGTGTAATGGAATCTAACGATAATTCCGAAACAAAAATTGCAAATAAACGCATCACTGGCGAGGTCGTAACGCAGTCTATTTTGGCGATGCTGCAGGACAAAAACAAGTTCATATCCATGCTCAAAGAACAGATCCAAAACCAAAAGTCGCAGCTGCAATTCTACCTGCACAGAGGACTATCGAGTCCGCAAATCATGAGTTTCGCCGGTAACGTAAGTGCTAACCATCCGTTACCAAAACTAACCTCGATAACCGCAGTGCATTCCGGTCATGGCCGAAGAAAATCTCCACCTCAATTTGGCTCTAAATCAGTTTTGCAGGAAGAACGGGGTGAAGAGCAAAATCATGAGTCTGCACGAGCGCATGACGAGCGTCGAAAGGCGCATAGTAAGGGTTGCGAACAGTCAGGAAGAAATGGTAGAGACCCTTCGCAAATTTCCGAGGGAAACGGAATGGTTGCCCAAAATCTTGGAGTCGAACGACGTTCTACGCACCGAGTTGGAAGCCTTCCGCACCTGCTGTAATCGATTGATCTTGATCGAAGACGAACGCAACTGCTTAGGTTTGTTCTCCTTTGCTCGTCCACGGCTACGTAAGTGCTCTCAACGCCTATTTAGTGCAGCGTTTTTCAAACTGTCTTTTCCTAGACATTCCGAGTTGTTATTATTTTGTAGGTACGCTTTAAAAGCACTTAGAAAGCTTTCTGGGCGCATAAAGGACATTGGAAAGGCTCTAGAGCGCTATGAAAGAGTCTTAAAAGCGTTCTCTGAACCCTACTAGTTATTCGTAGGCCCTCCATCCATTACTTTCTAGAGCTTTCGCGACCTTTCTAGAGCTGTATGTAACAGCTTCACTAGAGCTCTCTAGAGTCTTAAATGTTCCTTCTTAAATCTCTTTTAGCGCTTTCAAGACTCTGTCCAAAGATAGATGAGCCTAAATGCACGTTCCAATTAAAAATCTATCAAAAACGACATAGACCCTCAAGAGCTGACCGACTTTATTGGCTCTAACATCACTTACAGGTTTTGAAAGCTCTTGAAAATCATCAAATTCTCTATGATTAAAGTTTCTAAAAGATCCCTCTTCCTCCCTTAAAAACTCTTGGTGATACCGTTGAGTGAATCGTTATTCATTGGTGATACTTAAAAACATAGTAGCTTTCAAGGTTCTCAAGTATTTATTTATTTATTATTGCGCCAATTACAGAGTCGGGTCACAATGACTTATGAAAACCTTTAAAAGCTCCTACAGCCCTTACTGATTACTAAAGGCTCCAAATCAATCTAGAATGCTAAGCGTATTAGGGACCATTACAAACTCTTAAAAGCTCTTTTAAGATTCATGAGATTTGTGATACATGATCAGTTTTGAGGAGATCACTAAAAGCCTTATGAAGACTCTTAAGGACTAGGGATATTAAAGGCCTTGAGGGTTAAGTATCTATTAAAGGTTCTTAAAGACCTTCGCAAAACTCTTAGACTTTTACATCTAAAATCAGTACATAATAAACCTACATTTTGTGTATTTCTATCCTTTTACCTGTTATTCACCCCCATTCTAGGATCTTACTCTTGCCTTCCCTTGAACTTTCCACCTCCTTATACTCCCCTGCCATGTGCTCTATGGCCTCTTCCTCTCTACAGATTTTGCACTTTCTTTCCTCTTCTTGTCTTCATTCTTGTTTCCTCTTACTACCAAACATAATTTGGTGTCCTTCAGTTTAGACGTCTTTGGTATTCCTTCGAGTTCATCTGATTCCTTCTTCCCCCATATCTCCCTTCCATACACTTCTCTCACCATTGCATCAAACAGGCATTTTCCTATTCTGAAATCAATCATTTTCGAACTTAAAGTAGCAGTCCTGTAGGGTATGGAATACCTCCTCAGGAGAGTAAGATTCCACTGTCATTTTCCACAAATATTAAAATTCCCCTATAATTTTCCACGCAGCCTTTCTCATGCTTTCTTTAACCCTATCAGTGGCGAAAATCCAAGCCTTATATTTTCTATTTCATCTCTCTCCGCCGCTTGCCCGTTCTTCAGTATATTTAACATCTGCTCAATCTCTTATCCTTCTACCTCTTCTGCTCCATCACCTCTTTCGCCTCTTTTCCTTGTAGCACCTTAATAAAATGTTGTTTCCATTCCTCTAAATGTATTTCTCTTCATTTTCCTCTTCTTTCCTCTTTATCCCTTCCCTTTAGTTATGTGTTTCCACGATTGCTTCATATTATTCCACCTCTCCTCTGTGCTCCCTGGTCCCTGCTATTTCTTCTTCTTGTTCCTTTAGTCTCTTTGTATAAACCTCCACAGTGTTTCCTGTCCATAACTGTATCTCTCTCCGTCCTTGTCTCTTTCTCTTTCTTTCTATTCAAGCTCATTTCTATCGCTTGGTGATCCGATTCGATCCTTGTTACTATCTTAAATTCGTCTATTTCTTTCAGTGTAATAAATTAACGACGTTTCTCTTCCTCCCATGTATGTAAATTGCCCGTCCCAATCTCCCTCCATATTTCCGTTTAAAATTCTCCATCCTCTCTTTTCTGATAATTCCAGTAACACTTCTCCTTCTTTCTCTCGTTCTTGTGTTCCTCATCCCATCGGAACCCATCCTCCCTTATTCCCTGTCCTAGCATTAAAATACCCTCCACCTAGTATTAGCCCCTCCTCCTCTCTTTCCGCTACCATATTTTCTGTTATTGTTCAAGTCTTTCATTCCTTCTCTGTTGTATATAGTTATCACTCCCATTTTCTTTTCCTCCACTTCAATTTCTGTTCCCCATATTCATTCCTCCATCCTTCCTCAATTCCCTAATCCTTATTTGATCTCTGTTAAAGTACCTCTACCGTCTTCCCAAACTGGTTCTTTCATAAATGTACTCACTCGAATTCCTATTCTTTATTTTTTCCCAATTCTTTTCTTCTATCCATCACCAACCCCACGACATTATATCCTCTTATGACTTCCCAGAATTGAGTATCTTTACTTGCAACCCCCGCCACTGTCCAGAATATCATTTTCATGCTACTTCTCTCCATCTTTACTGTGCGTCCTTTTTTCTCCTTTTGTTCGTTTCAGACTACCTCCCTTCTTGCCCCCCTCACCCCTCTTCCGCTGTCTTTTCGTTTACTATTACTTTCTCCGCGCAAACCCCACCGTTTTCTTCCTCTTTGTTCTTACTAGCCCTTTTACTTTGTTGCTCCATCTATCTATCTATCTAGAGGATCTTCAGAGATCTCTTTTTCGGAGATGTACCGGGTGACCCAATAAGACTCTTCTTCGGCCATATCTCGAGAGCGTTCGTCCATATGACTTAGGGGTAAAAAAATTATTGCGTAAATCGGTCCTGAAGAATCGCTGGAAAACATTTTCGAGTTCTAAAATTGACCATCAGAGGGCGTAACTGCCATCTCAAATTTTAAAATGGCATTTTCTTTAAATTTCGCATAATAAACTAGAAATTTTTTTTCACAGTTTTAAAGAGAACCAGTTTGTCTATCATTTTCGTAAAAACAAAAACTCAGTTATTTCAAAAACAAAGATGGTGTGGGCTGTTCAATTGTTTTTGAAATAACCTGCTTTAACTTCTTAACCGTTTGACCGATTTTAACAAATTTGTTATTGTTGAAAAGAGCATTCCTTGGGCAATGAGAATCAACCAAAATATAGTTAATTTCTAGGTGACCCAAAATCCTAAAAAAATCAAATGGAATGATATGACTTTTTCTTTATGAAAAGTAGCCAAATAACATCCAAAGAGGCCAATGAAAACCGTTTTTCAAAATCTCGTTCCTAACCTCAAATATTGTGAAAATGAGATTCATTAATTAATTAATAAAAATGCTTAAATTGTATCTTAAATTTACTTTTTACCTATTTCCGGTACCTATTTGTCGATGGCGCGAAAGAAAAACCCCCTACACTACAAAAGATTGTTTGGAAAAGGACCCTACACTTTTAGGTAGGCCTTGGAAAATTAAACAAATGAAACAAGAATATGCTGGCGATATATTTTGAGCATTTTGAAAATGCGACCATCCGTCTCTCTCTCGCTTCCTTTATTTCTTTCTCTCTTTCTTTCTTTCTCTACCTTCTCCTTTCTCAAAAGCTGCCCACATCTTCTATATGCGTTATCCGAATCGACCACGAACCATTGCCGCAAGCATTTTAAATGCTTCTTGGTTAAATCGGCATTTTAGAAAAGATTACAAATTCAAAAAACTGCACTTTCTGAATGTAAACACAGCAGAATAATTTACAAATTACGGCTGTTATTATTTTATAATGCATCTTGTTTCATTTGTTTAATTTTCCAAGGCCTACCTAAAAGTGTAGGGTCCTTTTCCAAACAATCTTTTGCGCCATCGACAAATACCGGAAAGACGTCTAATAAGATGCAATTTAATCATTTGATTAATGAATTAATTAATCTCATTTTCCCAATATTTGAGATTAGGAACGAGATTTTGAAAAACGGTTTTCACTGGCCTCTTTGGGTATTATTTGGCTACTTTTCCATAAAGAAAAAGTCATATCATTCCATTTGATTTTTTAAATTTTTTTTAGGATTTTGGATCATAGTATCAAAACTAGCGCCCTGGCGGAGAAGGATTCAACTAAATTAACTATATTTTAGTTGATTCTTATTGCCCAAGGAATGCTTTTTTCAACGATACCTACCAAATTTGTAACAATCGGTCAAACAGTTAAGAAGTTAGTGCAAAAACACTGAACGCCCCACACCATCTTTGTTTTTGAAATAACTGAGTTTTTGTTTTTACGAAAATGATAGATAAACTGGTTCTCTTTAAAAATGTGAAAAAAGAATGTTATAGTTTAATATGCGAAATTTAAAAATTTGAGATGGTAGTTACGCCCTCTGGTGGTCATTTTTAGAACTTTAAAGCTATCTAGAGACCTCTTCTACAGCTTTCAGAGGTCTTTCTAGGGCTAGGGGAGCCTAAGTTACGATGGAAACTATTAGAAAGCTCTCGGAACGCACAAAGAGCTCTGGATAGGCACGAGTCACTAGAATACAATGTAGAAAACCTCTAATATTGTTATAAAAAAAGATTCCACTAGCGATTTCTAGAGTTTTAAGTTTTTCTTGAACACTTCTTTAACTTCTTTCTACAGCTATTTAAAACAACGGTACTGTAGAATATGGAATACTCCTCAGGCAAGAAAGATGCTTAGACCCTTAGTGCCTTCATGGGCCTAAATAGCACTAGAATATCTCTAGAACAGCATAATGAGCGCTAGAGGGACTGGTCGTTCTCTCCTTCCGTTGCCTTTTCAAAATCTATCAAGATTTTGGCCTATATCGCAGAACTAGTTTTCAGTATTTGACTCTTTGCTTTTGCTCTGAAATCATTCAAAGTCTCAATCTTTAAAAGCTTTAAAGATCCTCTTGAAAACTCTTCGATAGACTTGACAACATAGATTAATTATTGGCGACCATTTCCTATAATTAAAGATCCATTAGAGCCCTTCTATTTAATTGGCATTAAACACCCCTAGTGGAACAGGTCTACTCCGTACCTGCGCCGCAACGCATCAACTACAACACGCTCCTGGTGGCGCTCAACGAAAAGACAAGCCTCGAGAAGGAGCTCGCCGAGATCAAAAAGGAACAGAGGGGTCTAATCCTGCGGCTGAATACGATTAAGTCACCCGACCAATCAGGTACGCGCAACCCGACCACGTTACTTAACTTAAATCTAAAGTACTAGGAGATTCTTCGAATTACTTTCCGAAGCTGGCCCGTTTGAAGGAGGTGAACGGCTTGCTCGCGGCGAAAGTAAGCGAGTTGGAGCAGGACGCCCGATGCAAGCAGATGCTGGAGAACAAAATGGAGACGCTAATTTGCGACTACCAGACATATAGAGATAAGACCTCCAAGCAGCTGAGCGAGCTGAACACTAAGCTGGGTTTCACGCTCACTGAAAACGAGCGCTTAACTCAAACGCTCAAGAAGTACCAAACGTACCACGCGGAGATCAACTCGCTACGCGCTTCAATCGCCAAGATGGAGGTGATACGTAACGAGAGGGATTACTTCAAATCCAAAGTGGAGGACCTGAAGTCGATACGCGATACCTACACGCAGCTTATCGAGCAACCTTTCGCCGCTCTGCGCGATCAGGAAATGGTAGTCAAGGACCAAGAGCGGCACATTGCGGCGTTGGAGAAGGAGAGGGCCGTGTATAGGGTTGAGATCGCGAATTTGAAGATGTTGTTGGAAGAGAGCGATGCCCAGATTAGGAAAATGATGGACGTGATAAAGTTACCCGGACAGAACCAGGAGGTAAGCTACTTTTTTTTGGATCCCTTCCGCCACCAACGCACAAATAATGTTTTCAGACCTGCACGGAGTTCTCCGCCAAAAGCTATCGAGATTTCGGCTGCAATTCGGAGGCGGACTATCCTGAGGCGCTCAATCCGGCGAAACGACCTCCAAATCCAGACGAGGATAACGGCCCGTCCAACGTACAGAAGGCGGCGATCCCGGTGACGTCGTTGAACGTCCAAACTCTGAATAGTCAGGGCATCGTGGAAACGCTAAAGGCGATCGTCGAGAGTACGTCGCCCGTCGACGGCGTCATCCAGTTGAGTAATTCGTCCGCCTTCACCGTGCGCTTAACTTGCGGTTCGCAAAACGCCCCCGCCGCCGTTGCGGGCAATCAAGAAATCGTCCGACAATCGAATAATAGGATCAAGTGCTCGACAATTGTCATGGACGAATTCGAATTGATGAAGGACTCGTCTAATGAAGCCCTTGTCGGCCGACTGCCTTCGATTCACAATCGCGACGTTGAGGAGCAGACGTCGGAGGTGGAGGAGAAGCCTCCCTCGAATCGGTCGTTTGGATGCATGTTTCGGGAACGGGGAGTTCGGGATGAGACCTGTAATACGATCAGCAGCGTGGACGAATTAGATTTTGACGATCTTTCCGATGAGTGCAACTTGAGGGAGCGCTTCAAGCACTTGGTGGGAAATAATATCGCCGTGCAGATGTTTGATCTCTTTACTGATCCTTGTGAAAGATATGCTTTAGAATAAATATTTGCTACTTGTTTTTAATAGATCGATCGTACAAAACACGCCCAGTATTCGGCTCTTTTTGTAAAGGGTACCAAGTGCAAGAATTATAGAGCCATCCTTTACTGGGTAATCGAACCCCTCCTCCTACCTCCGGTGCTACATCTTCCCCGAAAAGGCACTCACACGATAATTTTTGGGTCATTGAACTTTGAACCACTGTCGAGTATGAAATATTCAGGAGAGCAAGATTCCACTGTCCTTTCTCATAAACTATCACGAGAGTCTTGAACGCTCGACTTTTTTTGTGTGAGAACGTAGTACCGGGGGGGTCTAGGGGGTATGGAATACCTTTGGGAAAAGGTATGGAATACCCCCCCCCCTCCCAGTATACGAAGACTTGGTAAAGTTTTCCCAAAAGTTGCCATGAAACTACTAGGGGTAATATACACGGTGTCCATTTTTCGAGTGCCACTATGGGGATCTCACTTATCTTAAGAGATAGAAAGTTGGTTAAATGGGAGCAATGTTGCAAATTTTCGTGCTGAATAAGAAATTTGAAATATCTTCAATAGTTTTGAAGATATCGGAAAAAAACGAAAATTTCTGATTTTCGTTTTTAATTTTTTTTTTATAAACTAATCCTAGTAGACATTTCTAATTGACACATTATTCGGACACATTTTAATGGAGATTTCAAATATGGCATCTTGTTTTTAATTACTTTCAAGATGACGGAGAAACACGTGGCAACTTTAGTTTTTCTTATGGGCGCCATATTGAATTTTGACATTTTGGGATTACGTCTTTTTTCTTTTTACAACGATATAACACACATGGTGGTTCAGTATCACATTTTTCCTGAAAATAAAGTTTTAAATTTTTTGAGAAGAGTGCTTTGGAAAAACAAAACGTTCTTTTGTTCTAAACAAAAGTTTGACAGTTTGATCCATCTGTCTGGTTGTAGCATTGTCAGAGAAGCACTCTTCTCAAAAAATTAAAAATTGTATTTTTAGGAAAAATGAACTACTATGTGTGAAATATCGTTGTAAAGAGAAAAAAGACGTAATCTCAAAATGTGAAAATTGAAAATGGCGCCCATAAGAAAAACTAAAGTTGCCACGTGTTTCTCCGTTATATTGAAAGTTATTAAAAACAGGATGCCATATTTGAAATCTCCATTAAAAAGTGTCCGAATAATGTGTCAATTAGACATGTCTACTGCGATTAGTTTATCCAAAAGAAATTAAAAACGAAAATCAGAAATTATCGTTTTTTTTGCGATATCTTCAAAACTATTGAAGATATTTAAAATTTCTTTTCAGATTCTTATTCAGCACGAACATTGGCAACTTTGCCCCCATTTAACCAAGTTTCTATCTCTTAAGATAAGTGAGATCCCCATAGTGGCACTCGAAAAATGGACACCGTGTATAGAAATAGAATTATAGAACATCCTTTATACTCTTCGTATACTGGGGGGGTATGGACTGGGAGAGAGTCCTCCGGTCCCCGGTGCGACACTCTTTCCCCACTGTGTTTAACAACTGTTTTTCTTTGTTTAATATAAAAAGTTCGTCATAAACAAACTGGCTTTCACTTTTAGTGCGGGAGCTACCTCATATGTCACGTGTGCAGTTGTATGTCCCCTAAGTTTTTGAGCGGATTCTGATTAAACACCTATAGGAGCTTAAAAAACATCGGTCACGTGATCATGGTCGCTTGGTCGCCATATTTAAAAATGGCCGGCACCTTGCTAGGTTTTTTGTTTAAGTATATCATCCCACACAATGCCTCGATTCTAATTATTTAAAGAGAGTTTTACTGATTTTTTGAAGACAAACAACATGAAAATGTATTATTACTTATCTATAAGAGTTCTCACATTGGTCCAAAACACTGCCTTTACGTTTACAATAATTATTGTCACAACACATTATTTCCAACTTTTTATAGAGACATACAATTTCTCTGAAGCACGTCTGGCAATTACATGTGTAAAATCTTCAAGGTTCTTTGGACCTGTCACTTGTAGAATGAAAATACCGTCATTTCTATATGTAATCAATCATAGTCCAACGGATTAAGTTTTTTACACGGTTCTAGAGCATAAATCAATTTATCGCATTGCAAATAGCTTCATTTTATGTGAACATTGTGTTATAATTTACTATTCTCGCTCTTATTTAGATCCTTACGCTATCTAGGCATCTTCTTTGTAATACACTAGTTTAGATGTAAATTGTTCCTGTAGTAAATTTGTTATTATCTTAGTAAACGTTTCTTTCACATAGTTCTTGGTTTTGCCGACGGAGGTCGTGCAGAGTTTTCTTTAATTTCTTTCGGTGCACGCACTTCTTTTTACAAAGACGAGATTCGTTCATTTACTTGCAACATTGTGTTATAATTTAGTATTCTTGCTCTTATTTAGATCCTTACGCAATCTAGGTATCTTCTTTGTAAACGCATTAACTTAAGCTTTGCGGTTAGTAAAAATCCTCGAGGATGCTTTTTACCGCCAAGTATAGGTATAGCAACATACGACCTAAGTATATTATCGAGGTTTAACGCCAATTTTATCCTTAATACGTATAGAGTTGCCCTTCATATATGCATAAAGTATACCTAAAACACACACAACCCTTTTTTGCACACCAATGTCGAGCGAGCCGAAGGCGAGTTCGGCGTAGCTCGAACCCTTATACCGGCCTCTCTACGTCCACATCAGTGGCAAACGACGTTTACTAACGGCCAAATACACATTACACTTTTTTGACACATCACTGCGTTGGACTCGCCCTTCTAGGTCCACGGTGCCAAACGATGTTTACCAACGGCGAAATACACACATACACTTCTTTGAACACCAAAGCCGATCGAGCCGATCGAAGGCAAGTTCGGCATAGCTCGGACCCCCCCCCCCCTCCCCCCGACTCGCCTCCCTACGTCCACGGTGCCAAACGACGTTTACCAACGACCAAATACACACTACACTTTTTCAGTCATAGATCCAACTTAATAAAAAACGGCGATCTCCACCCGAAATAGGGTCTACGATATTTTTTAGCGTAACCCAATGAAGTTGAGGTAACGCTACTTATGTGCTCGATTTTCCGTTGTGTGTCTATCTGTCTGTTCCGTCGAGATCTCGGTCTCTGGGCCACCTAGAGACTTCGACTTTTCGCGAATTGATAGATGGTGTGGTCTATATATTTGCCAATGATTTATAATTTGCAGTTGTGTTACGTGGCAACAACACCCACGAGTGGGTTTTCACATTTTTTTTAACTTTTTTGAAATACAACATCATACAAACTTTCTTAATGAAGCTAAACAGTGTGACATCAGGTTACTCTAGGTTTTTTAACTGAATGCAAAGTTATCTAAAAATTTCTATAGAAAGTAAACGTTAAATTTTTTTTTTTTAATATATATTTTTATTAGCAATCAGAATTGACATTCTATGGGCTAATATGATAACATGGGACCTTAAAGCTAGACAGTCCTGGATGGCGGGATGGGAACTCTTCCAGCGAGGAGTTCACCTACTTCTTATTTGAGATCAATTGGCCAACGTCGTTGTAGTCTCCTGGAGTCGTGTTGTAGTAAAAGTGGTTGTGTTAGTGGGTTGGCATGTGCTTCTAGCCGGGTATGATGACTTGCACTACGCTCTTGTATGATAGTCGAAACGAAAGGGATAAAGAGATCGTATCGTCGTGTAACATTTTGTTGGTTACGTACCAAGGTGCGTCAGTAATAGCTCGAAGAATTTTGGACTGAGAGCGTTGAATAATTGCAGTATGTGATTTGCTGGCACATCCCCATAACTCAATACCATAAGTCCAAATAGGTCTTATTATTGTCTTGTAAACCAAGATTTTGTTTTCTAGGGGTAATCGGGATTTTCTTCCTATCAACCAGTTTAGATCATTTAGTCGTAGGTCGATTTGTTTTTTCTTTTTTAAGATGTGTATCTTCCAGGTAAGTTTTTCGTCGAGGTGTAGACCTAGGTAACGTGCTGATGGAGATACAGGTATAATTGAATTGTTGACAGTAACTGGTGGACAGCGGCCCTTTTTAAGTGTAAATGTGACCTGAGTTGACTTACTTTCATTAATTTTGATGTTCCATTTGTTAGTCCAATCTTGTATAAGGTTTAGCTGACTTTGCACATAAGAAGATGCTATTGTTGGATCTTCATGACTTGCAAGAATGATTGTGTCATCCGCGAAAGTACCGATTGTAGTATTGGGTGTAGTAGGTATATCAGATGTGTGTAGTAGATAAAGCAAAGGGCCCACCACAGTACACACTGCCCTGCGGTACCCCAGCCTGGATTGGATAAGTGTTCGAGTATTCTCCATTTACTTTAGTCCGGAATTGTCGATCAGTCAAGTAAGATTTAAGGAGTAGAAAGTAGGATGGGAGGATTTGCTTAACTTTGTAGAGAAGACCAGTGTGCCACACCTTATCAAACGCCTGGCTTATATCAAGAAGTACAGATGTGCAATATTTTTTGTTTTCCAGGGATGTGTTTATTGTTTGTACGACGCGATGGCACTGTTGAACTGTCGAATGAGATTGTCGAAATCCAAACTGATGATCTGGGATAACATTTAGGAGGGGACTAATTCGATGGAGTATGAGTTTTTCTAGGAGCTTGGAGATAGTAGATAACAGACTTATTGAAACGTTAAATGAAACTGAACTACTTTGGAGACTAGGTTTACAGTTCAAGACAGTACAAGATTTTTCTTTAAATAACAAAAACACGTTAGACTCACACTGTGTATGACATATATTGTGAGGTTATATTATAAATTGAACTAAGCGACATCTGATATACAAACGCGGTTGAATGGAAATGGCGGTTGACTCAAAACGACTGCCCTTCCCCTAACGAAGTAAGGTGATATAGAACTTTCGATTCTTCATACACGCAATTTATATACCAATGCCAAGCGAGCCGAAGGCGAGATCGGTATAAATCAACCGCCGACCCGAATTTCGGGGTTGATAAACGATTCCGGTTACAAGATGCGAAAGGCGAGCTCGGCATAGCTCGGGCTTGCCCTTCTCACAAGGAAGATGACCCGTATTTTTCGTACACCAATGCCGAGCGAGCCGAAGGCGAGTTCGGCATCGCTAGGGCTCTCCCGTAGACCCGCCCCTCTACGCCCACGGCGGCAAACGACGTTTGCCAGCAGCCATAAACACACACTACACTTTTTCAATCGTACATCCAACCTAATAAAAAACGGCGATATTTGCGAAAACGTAAAACTGCTTAAAATAGTGATTCACTACCATTATATTCCACCCGAAATACTTGTAATTACAACAAAATCAACAAGCAAGTGCATTTTAATGTTAATGTTAATGTATTTTAAAAGCTTGGATTTACCAAATAATTTCTAATTACAAAACTTGCTTGCCTTCAAAAAATCAGTAAAACTTTCTTGAAAAAATTAAAATTAAACAATTGTGTGATGATATACAGGGTGGTGCCTAGCGCAACGCAGTATAGGGATTTCAATGGTAATTTCTTTATAGTCAATTACTAGCTCCCCTAATTATTTTAGAGCGAAAGTCTAAATATACGTTTTTTTAGAGCAAAATACCACATCTGTTCATACTTTTAGTTATAATTTTCCATTTTCAAAACCGTAGAAATCGACAAAATAAAAAATTACATTTTCAGTGATGCTTTGGAATCTTTTAACAAACTACAAGCGCATCATATCTAAAGGGCCCCATACACGGAACGATCTGTCGTCACGATCGATCTGAAGCGATATCGTGACAATAGATCGCCCAAAGCTTACCACTCACACACGAAAAGATTGGTCGTTACGATCGATCGCTTACAACCGAACCATCGTGATTAAATAATTTAAGAAGTCATACGTGCCCTGTCGAATCGTTGATCGCAATGAGCCATACACTGTCGATTCATCGTTACGATATTCACGATTGCATGCGTTTTTGTTGCGATGTCCGATATCCAATTCGATGAAGTAAATCGTTAAGGATCTTGACATACACTATCGATTCGTGGTTTCGATCGGTTTCAAACGACGGATCGAACAGATCGATCGTACCGTGTATGGGGCCTTTAAGTTATCGTTGTTTGACGTCGAACGATTTTCATATTTAATTCTGTTTCAACTAACCGAGGCAATAAAAGGCATCTTAGGGTAATGTTTTTTTTAGAGAATGTATGCTGCATCTGTATCAGATACTATTTGTTTATCATTTTCCGGAATCAGAGTACCTACATTTACACATAATCGAAGAAAAAAACTGATTTGAAGAAGATTTGTTCCTAAACTGCATATTCGGATTTTCCGCTACTGCAGCCAAAACGTTGAATATATTGTAGTTTTCCTGATGACGGACATTTCGAACGTTACCTATTGCACTTGCAGTTCTTTAAATAATTTATAAACAAGTATAAATTTAATATACGTCAAAGGCAAATAATATCGCGTGATCGCTGTTTTTTTTTGGTAATTCCAAGGCATATCTGATTTATTGTAAAATGAACCTTTTTATTTTGTCGATTTCTACGGTTTTGAAAAACGGAAAATTATAAGTAATCATATGAACAGATGCAGTATTTTTTTCTCTAAAAAAAACGTATTTAGACTTTTGCTCTAAAATAATTAGGGGAGCTAGTAATTGACTATAAAGAAATTACCATTGAAATCCCTATGCTGCGTCGCGCTAGGCACCACCCGGTATACTTAAACAACAAATCTAGCTACGTGGAGCCTCCACGGTGGAGGCCATTTTTAAATATGGCGACCAAACGATCATGATTTGGACTATGTGACCAAATTTTGTTCATACTCCCATAGATACTTAACAAATTCCCGCAACCAAACTTAGGGGACGTACAACGGCACACGTGATATGGGCTAGCTCCTACACTATTTGCAGATGCGAGTATTTTTATTTATATTTAGGTACAGTGTGTTCGCTTATGGAGGTATTCAAAAGTAATGCATCATGCATATGCAGAATTAATTTTGTAGCTGCGTTCCTTGGTTGCTGCAGTTTGGACATCGACAAATTGTTTATTTATAATTGAATTTCTTGTGGCATTTGATTGCTTTTGCAGGTCCGATGTGTCAACGTTTATTAATGCTTTGTTTACAGGGTGTTTCAGCAAAGAAACAACTGACGCAGCTGAAGATGCAAAGTGTCGTCTCTTGCTGACGAATGCAAGATAGGGGAAAGTTAAGTAACGTAAGGGCTGGTCATCAGGGTTCTAAATCAACAGAAGGTGGTGTTCATTTAGCTCAAAGTCAGTAAAGAAACTGGAAATTGGGAAATTGTTTTAGTTAACATGGTGGTCACGCTCGATTGCAAAAGGAAGATGAAATGTGCATGCCTACTGGATCCTACCCATCTCAAGACTTTCCATGGGTTCGGGAACCCAGCAGAGTGGATCATTGAGGAACAATTGTCACAAATTTTGGCAAAGCGCTTCCGGCACTCGCAAGGGAAAATGCCTATACGCATTGGCCTCGCATTCCGCGTTTATGGTTTTCAGTTCAGGGACCTGTGAAATCAGTCAAAACGCTTTTGTGTATTACATCATTTTCGCTTCCTTTTGGTTCACTCATCCGTGCGCATCATTGAAAAATCGCAATCCTTCCGCGAGTGGGATTAAATTCCGTGAGCGTTTTAAAGTGCGCTAAATTGTACGTGGAGAGATTTTTCTATTAAATAATTGCACGCGAGACGTGCACGAAATCATTTTTCGCATATCAAATCTGGGTAGTCGGAGAGGGCAGAAAAAGCGACGCTCACTTACCCTGATCGCGCGGCAATATTTAGGTCAACGTAAGGCCGGACGGGGCAGACACACCCTCCATATTGACTCTTTGGCACTCAAAATAACATTTGCACTGAATTCGTCGATTAAAGGGGCGCACTAAACATTTTTCTTTAACGAACTTGTTGGTATGCGGGGCTTAATTAAAACACGTTGCGTTAATTAGGGTCACCGGCGAATTGTTAAATTGAATCGCCCTATACGCTTTTGGGCCAGAAAGACGAGCGGAAAAATTCAAAAAAAACCAGCGGGCAGATTGCGCGGGTTAATTAATTATTATTTTATCACTGATTGTTGCGCTTAATATGGTCCGACTGTGGTCCTGCCTTTTTTATTAATCGAATTTGCGACGTACAGACAATCGTGCCGAGTGTAATTGAATATTATTACTCATCCATTTGGTGCCCGACGCCGAAAGCAACTAAACCCATCCGTCCATTCATTGACTAAATTATGACGCAAGCGCAAAAATTTCGGCGCGAGCGAGACCGTGATAAAACCGTGATAATATTAGAGGGGGACGGCGAAATGCCATATTAGATGCGTTAGAAAACAAAGATGCATTCGTGATATGCGAAACGAGAAAATCGGTTCCCCAATTTTCTTTATGTATACACGAGGGGTGGTGATAACGTGTACGAATCGAATTGAATTTTTGTATGTGTTTCCTTTATGTAAATTGGTTCGGAGCAAGTGCGTGTTTTGTAGGTGATTGTGACTAGTACGTACCTGCACCCTAATAAGAGCACATTGGCGCATCTGTACTTTGCAGAATTATTGATCAAAGAATTGACGGGGATGGAGATGTAATAAATGCATGCATGTGTAGGCGATTACGCATTGAGGTCACCATATGAATTTCTTACCCAGTTCCGCAGATGCGCTTGCAAGAGAAATACTTTTACGACCAAGATATTGTTAATTTTTTCAGAAAAATAGATCAGTAGGGACCTTAATATTTACATAAAGAAAACATTTCAACTTTTGCATAATTCCGGAAGTCATCTCTAAAGCAGCAATCTTGTACAGAAACAGAATTTACCACATCAATTTTTTTAAATTACCCACGCTTTCGTTGGAATTCAAGTGGAATGCTAAGCTATCTCGTCAATATCTTATTTGGAAGTCAATATTGTACGAAACTGATGCCGTAAGAGCGCAAACGGGTAATTGTTTGTAGCTTTAGGTAGGTATAAACAATCTCAATCATCAGGGACTGGAACCGGAACCGAAAAGAACCGGAATACGAAACGATTGCGTTTATAGGTCCCTCACACGGAACCGGAACCGGAGCCGTTATTCAAGAAGTTATCATAACGGGAACCGATAGTGGTACCGTTATTATTTGTACCAAAGAACCGGTATTTTTCGTGTCTGGTGCAGTGTAGCCTTGTTGTCGCTTTATGACAGGGAAATCTGTTTTATATTGTTGCTCTTAAAATTGATTCTATTTTTTATTTATTTATGCCGAAAATAACTGGAACGGAAACCGAAAGTTATGAAAGTGACAGAACCGGTACCGATGCCGAAACCGTTAAAAAATAATTCTACATAAGTATGGTGTGAAACCGGAACCTACATTTCATATGGGAACACGGTACCATTCTGACTAAGGGGGAAGCTGGTCGATCGATCACTATATATACCTACCCATGTCCCCCACCCGTTACCTGTCTGGAAAAATATATCTAATGGTAGAGTTAAAACATTAAGCGCAATTAATATATCGAGAACGGAGTGTCTGGAGAGGTGACTCACAAAGAGCGATTAGAACGTTTGTACGAGACACACGTAGGAGAGTCAAAAATTATCTTCACTTTCCTCATACACATCTTTACGACTCCGTTTGGTGTATGCACCCAGATTTAACTAAAAACGGTGGTCTCATTTCTGTGGCCAGGGGTCTGAGAGGTTCCACCCTGTATATACAACTTACGACGATGAATACATTTTTGAGAGTTGGCAACCATGCAATTTCTAGGTGGGCCTTTTAAAGTATACCTTAGGAAAAAGTTGCCTGCACCATCTAAAAAGCACGGACGGGTGTTACGCATATATAATAGAATATATATATGGGGTTACGTTGGGTATCTAGTCTTGAATGGCGGTCGTGAACGCGTCGCTCCATAAATGTTTGTTGTTATTTTGTTTTTTTTTTAATGCAGGTAGTAATCTTCGCATTTCTATATATCGTATTTGTGTTTTGTATGCCACATTTTATATTTTTTGTGTGTTTGAATCTTTGTTTTTAAAATTTACTTGGTTTAACCGCATTGCATAATCACATATGTGATACCGTTATACTATTGTTTGTAATCGTTTACGTTTTTGGTGTAATGTTTGCTTAATTTATGTTTATTGATGTTCATTACTTGGTCTTGTCCCAGAAGTTACATTCATATAAGCATAATTCTGTAGTATGCTATGATATAAGTTTTGATCATTTTATTTTAATATGTGGAAAGTACCAATTCGTTTGATGTATGTGCTGACTTGTTGTACTTTGTTAATAACGTTTTTCTCCGTGAATGAAGCAGTCACTGGGGTGGTAAAAAAACTGTAGTCAAAATTTAATTACGACACCTAATTCCGTGATTGTCTTCGACATTCAACTGTAGGCTCGAAACCCCGAAACCAGGAGCGGGTTACCTATCTTGCAGGAGCGGGATTAAAAGATCTTCAGTTTAGAATCTATGTGCGATAAATGAATATTACGATTCGTAATTTCCACATATCTTGTTTTAGTTAAATTTGCCTACAAGGCCATGTCAATCTTGTTTTTAACAATGGACATTATTGCACCAAAGATGAGTCACATCCTGTGTATTTTACCCTTTCTTAGAATCTTGGTACCTGCTTACCTGACCCATGATATGATTCCCAAAACTTGTTTTTAACCTATATGTTACCTCTTGAAGTTTACCTGCTACTTTTTGTGATGTTATAATTTTATGTTACGCATTCACATCATTACAAACAATTAATTTTACTACACAACTTAATATTATTTTGATGGCTGGTTTTTTATTGATAAGTTCCTTTTTTTCAGCCTATTTGTATTTTTATTCGGTGAACTACAATTTTCAAAGTTTATTTTTGCAATGTAATTTATTTCGACTTAAATTTCCGAGCTTATACAATCAATAATAATTGCGATCATTATTAAATTATTCAGTGTTTTATTTTACGTTCCTTCCCTACTGTGCTTCAGGTCATAGCGTTGTTTACAACTAATGTAAGGGGGCCCTGCCTTAGATGTCTTATCACGTGCCACTTTTCAAATTTAAACCGGATCTTGTTTAGTTTTGAAGGGAATAGTCCATCGGGTGGCCATTTTTAAACGTTGCCGGGTTGACTTTATTTCCATGTTCTTGTAGTGTGAAGTTAGCGTAGAACCTGGGGGTTATAAGTACCTACACTACAGGTCAAAATTTTCCGTAGGCATTGCACACAATATGGGGAAGTGTATACGAATGGATTGAGAAATGTAAAGGTGGCCAGACAAGCCTAAAGCATAAAAAGGGAGCAGGACGCCACTGATGAGAAGATTTTGAGTGCTTGAACACCCTTCCTTCAGCTCGGACCTCGCTCAATAGATTTTCATCTCTTTGGATCACTCAAAGATGCCAGATGCTATGTAGAAAAGTGATGCAGGTACTTGGTTAAACCTTACATTGTGACACAGATTTAATGATGTGAATAAAATTTAAAAAAAAGTGCGGCTAATTTTTGACTCTCCCTCGTATTTATGGGTGATGTGAAAACTTGGAAAGCATTTACAATCCTAAACCACGGAACTTCCGGCTCTGCGACCCAAATCTCTCCAATAACGATACCGGCAGTTCAATTTCAATCCCAATTCCATAATTTAAACCTTTAGGTAAAGGAAAATATAAATAACATTAATTTTATTTATTGAAAAAGTAAGCAAAAATTTGAGGTTAAATTTCCACAAATACAGAAACAGACTTTCCTTCAACATAAATATGAATTGCAAAATTTTGAAAATTATAACCTTCTTGAGGATTATGTTCTCCTAGTATTCCGGATAGCGTTTGTCATGTTCTATGTATAAAAAGACACGGCCGGTTTTCTGAAAAACGAGTATGCCGGGTTGCCTACATATTATGGTACCTATACATACTTAAGACATTGAATTCTTTTTGATTGAATCTAAGATGCAACCTAAAAGTCTAAAAACACTTATATTATACGATTATATGCGTTAGGTACGCGTTAAAATTTACGTAAGTTTCGTGCGCCAACAGAAATCAATTTTTAATATGCAAAATTGGCACAAGAAACGCTAATAACCAGTTGTATTTGTATGTATGAATCTACGCACTGCATAAATGAAGCAAAATATAAGAAAAGAACAGCAGTCAGCAGTACGTTTTTTAAAAAATAGAAATTATTCGAACATTGTTCCGTTCTGACATCTAACGTTGGTTTAATAAACTATTTTTGTCACCGATCCGTCTCCGTGTAGGACCGATGTAAACAACACCTAAAGTACAGGGGGTGTTGCAGATGTCCGAATTTACAGAGTGTCCTCTGTGAAATAAATGTTCAACTAACAAAGTATAATTAATTCATTATAAGAAGGATGGCGCTGTGTTTGAAGATAAACAGACAGGAAAATGATAAAACTACGTAAAGTAGAAATATCCAGCACCGCGAACAAAAATAAATCTTTGACATTAACAGCTAATGACACTTTGACAGTTTAGTTGGCGAAATAAACTACCAGCTTACAAAATTCGCCAGGGGTTTTACCATTGAATTTATAACTATAAATACAATGGTTTTACGTTCCAGCGTAATACTGACTCGTGTTTTAACCAATCACAGTGAAGGTCAAAGCTTCCCTGTGCTTTCTACCATACAGTAGTTTTCGGCGAGGCAAATAGTTCAGTATACCAACATTAGATGTCAAAACGATATAATTTTTTTAATTTCTATTTGTTTAAACACAGTGAGTAGATTTATACACAACTTGCAACAAATACAACCTGTTATATTAGCGTTTCAGTTGCTAATTTTGCATATTAAAGTAATTTCTGTTTAATCGCGGAACTTACGAGAAGTTTAAGAATTCAATGGTTTAAGTAACGCATATAGTTCTATAATATAATCGTTTTCGGAATTTTAAGAAAACCTACCTTTGATATGTAGGCAACTCGGCATTCTCGAATTTCAGAAAAACCGGTCATGTTTTTTATATATAGAACATGAGAAAGAAGTACGGGGATACCAGGAGAACATAATTCTCAAGAAGATTGTGCATACGTTTTTCGTCTATGTTATGATGGTAAAGACGGTTTCTGTATTTGTGGATGTGGAGGCGCTTCAAGATTGTGGCCGTTTCTCCCGCCTCTATAACACAGCCATCTCTTTGGTTACCCTATAACTCTGAGCCTGGACTAAGAAAAGGGGAGGGTCCTCTTCACCCAGTCCAAGCTCTACTGGTCCTCGCATTCGACCACAATGGCACCCTGTGGATTCCAGCGAAACCCTGCCAACCGATGAAAGTGCGTTTAAAGCCCACCACACAATGAAAAAAATAAGGAATAACAATTTTCAATCTATTGACCTTTATGGATTAGCACACAACACTGAAATATGACATAAGCCTAGGAAATAAGAAATAATAATTTCGTTCAGTCGAATTTTTATTCCTTATTTCATATTGCGAACCAATGACATTAGAAGAGGCGCGTACGCGTATTCTATATTCATTATTTTACCTTGTTAACCCAAAATAAAACAAGTATGACTGTATGAGGTGTTGTTTTTGTGAAGTTATGAACTTTGAAGTTGGAATTATATTTGATGTCATGTCGGTGCAATTAGCCTGCTATAATTTCCTTACATTTAGCTGCCATTATAATGACGTAATTCAAACGGCACGAGTGTTTTGATTGGCTTATAGTCTGTTGCTATTTGTTTGTTGTGTTTGGCGTGTACGGCGTCACTATTTCTTATTGCTTATTTTTTTCATTGTGTGATGGGCTTAAACTGTTCGTGTTTTCTGTCCAACATCCTAAAACACGTTTAGGTACGCTGATTTAAAACAGTTGAATGGTCACTGGTTGTGGCAGACGTTTGTAGAGCGTGCGCAGCAATGTCAAGGCAAAAGAAATTAGTTTTGAGTCACAACTGGTTTTGGATAAAGAGTTGTGTTGCTTGTGTTCAGCACAGCTCCTTATTTTCCAAATTTTTTAATCAAATTTAATAAATTGCGAAAATGGTGAAACGTAAGACACAGGCATTAATCGATTCCGACTCGAGTAATGATTCAAACAGTGATCTAGACTCGGTAAGTCCTTTCTTCATTTATTATTTAGGTTAGTTTAAGGCGCCAACTAAGATTTTTGGAATTATACGCATTAAACTTGCATAATACTTTTCAAAATTGACGTCTCTTTTAGACATTTTCCCCAAACATGTTGAGCTCTTTCCATGTAAACATGACCCAGCTTCTGTAAGTCGAATTAAACCTCATGGTCTTTCAGGAATTCTTAAGTTTGGCCAAGAAGAAGAATAGAAAAAAAAGGTCACCCAGCACTGCAGATAACTCAAAACCCGAATCCGACTCTGAGAGCGAGACCGAGAATGTCAAGGCGAAGAAGCGCAACAAACATTCGTCCGTGTCGTCGGACGACGCCCCCAAAGACGACGGAAAGCAAAATTCCGAGCCCGAAGAGGGCGAGGTATCCGACAGTAGCAGCTCCGAGGAGGAGTTCAACGACGGCTACGACGATCAGCTGATGGGCGATGATGAGGATCGTGCGCGTCTCTCCAGTCTCACGGAGAAGGAACGCGAGACCGAGATTTTCAAACGAATTGAGCAACGCGAGCTGATGAAGACAAGGTTTAGGAACGGTCAGAGTTGGCCTTGATTTCATTTTTGACATTTTTCAGATTTGAGATTGAGAGGAAACTGCGTCTGGCGAAAAGGGCGGAGAGGGCCAAGGAGAAGTTGGCAAAGGGCAGGGAGGACCAGCCGAAGTTGGTGCAGTACAGTTCCATCGATCACAAGGAGCGGAGCAAGGAGCGCAAGAAGAACATCGAGGAGAATCGCGGGAAGGTCGACAAGAGGGTGAACGCGATGGCCGAGTTGAAGGCGCGTCGCGAGGGCAAGCAGAAGCGCGAGGAGCTCGAGTCCATTCGAAGGGAGGAGCAGAGGAAGAGGGACGAGGAGGAGGCGGAAACGTCGCCCACCAAAAGTTCCATTAAGCTTAAGGCGTGCGATATTTACTCGGACGACAGTGAAAGTGAAGGTTAGTAGTACCCTAATTCTTTTCCTATCTATAAAACCGTAGAAATTATTGGAAAATTTCTTAGGGGCAAAAGTAGAAGGTTTCTGGGGAATTTTATGCTAAATAACTTAATGCGTGGGTGCATGGCCCCCACTTTTTTGACCAGGAATCACAATAACAAAAATTACCATAGTGTTGGCCTCTACTCTCCAACCAAATTTGGTAGGTACACATTCTTGGACATAAAAGCAACAACTTACAAGGCAGAATTGCGCATGCGCAGGTATTATATTGAGTGTGTATGAGGGTAGGCAGTATTGCCTTTAAGCACCTACTCCTCTTAAGGAACCCTTGCTCCTTTCAGAGTAGTTTTAGCCGATTAAAGAAGCTAAATGTTGCTCTGAAGTTGGCTTCCCCCATCTCATTTGTTATATTTTTATATTAAATATTATTTGCAATATTGCATTTTATACAGTGCGATCAATAATGAGTTGCTGCGCCGCTTCAATAAATTATGACGTTAGTAATCATTTGCCGCAACAGGCGTGGTGCACCAATACTAAAACATAACCTTAAAATTCAAAACAAAGTAAACTTTTGACGTCTTACCATATTTAACCTAAATCAACATTTACCCACCTTGTAAATATTTGAAAGAAACTGGTAGTCTTGAAAAAAGCCGTTTTAAAAAGGACGAAAGTAACAAGAATCACAAATCATGATTTGTGGAATTATAGGTTATGTTTTGTATTGGTACACATATACCTGGTTGCGGCAAATGATTACTAATGTGATATTTTATAAGAGCGGCGTAGCATATGATTATTAATCTCCCTGTACATTAAAATATATGTATTGCACACATGTTGGTTTCCATGGCGAACGTAAGATGGCAGGATTGTGTAAAAAGACAATTTCTTGCTTATTTGGAAATGTTTATTAGTTTTCAAATATTTTTAATTTCAAATAACACACAAAAAACAAAGAATGTGAAACACATGCGAATAAAACAAATACATAAGTCATATACAGGGTGGTGACTTGCGTAACGCATCATAGGGATTTCAATGTAAAATTCATAACATGCGATTATTGGCCCCCTAAATTATTTTAGAGCAAAAATATATTAAGGTTTTTTGTAGGAAAAAATTTTTTACCTCAATCAACCGTATTAGTTTTCAATTTGTTGCATAATAAAGACGGAAAATTGGAAAAATAAAACCCCCATCTTTTCCAATAATCTGTGATGCCATGGAATTTTATAATACAAAAACTACGCCAATATCCGTCATGCCATGGAATGTCTGCTATAAAGCAAATCAAATTCTATCGGGCGATCAAAAATGATTGGCTGTCGAGTCGCCTTTGGAAGTTCAAGTTAGATACGATTTCCCATGTAAACAAAAATTCCAAAGGCGACTAGAGAGCCAATCATTTTTGATCGCATTGTATCAAAAAGTATTACATACAGGGTGACAATTTGAAAACTTACCACCCCTCATATCTTAGTAAATAAACGAGATATTTAAAAAAATCAAAATCCGTTTCGGTAATTCGGAGGGGGAATCACAATGACATAGTTGGCGACGCACCCCCTCCAACCCCCTGCGCCCCAGCCACCCCAACTTTTAAATCTTAAATAGTGACCCCCCATGTGTGATACGTCGTTGGAAAGCTCTGAAAAAATGCTTTCCAACCATACCAAATAGCATTACATTTAGGTTAGTAATTATCGTGCAAATCAAAAAATAAACATGGAAAATCGTATTTAACTTGAACTTCCAAAGCCGACTCGACAGCAACTCATTTTTGATCGCCAGTTATAATCTATTCTCAAACTCTTGTCGAACCTTTTCAAATGTTGGTTTTGCAATATTTCGACATTCTTGAATTATTCTCTCTCTTAGTTCGTCTAATGTTCGCCGGTTGCGTTTTAAATACGACAGATTTCAAATGTATCATATTAGTTTATTTTTTGATTTGCACGATAATTACTAACCTAAATGTAATGCTATTTGGTATGGTTGGAAAGCATTTTTTCAGAGCTTTCCAAAGACGTATCACACATGGGGGGTCACTATTTAAGATTTGAAAGTTGGGGTGGCTGGGGCGCAGGGGGTTGGAGGGGGTGCGTCGCCAACTATGTCATTGTGATTCCCCCTCCAAATTACCGAAACGGATTTTGATTTTTTTAAATACCTATCTCGTTTATTTACTAAGATATGGGGGGTGGTAAGTTTTCAAATTGTCACCCTGTATATTTAGAACAGCGAATTCGACATAAAGAAAGACCAAATTACTAAAAACAGTTCCTCATATAACAATTTACAATAAATGTTCGAATAAGTCACCATTAAGTACAGTAACCAAGTCGATCAGAAAAGCCATTTCGAACTGCTCAGAAATTAGATTAGCATGAATTTACGTGAATTATTTTGAATTAACGTGCATCCATTTGAATTAGCGTGAATTAATTTGAATTAACGTGAATTAATTTTAATTAACGTGAATTAATTCGAATTAACGCGAATTAATTTGAATTAGCGTGAATTAATTTGAGTTAACGTGAATTAATTTGAATTAACGTGAATTAATTCGAATTAACGTGTTTCCTCCTAGGGTGCACCAACCCATGACTAGTTTGATGTTTCTCCATTACAGTAGCCTTTTTCTTCTCCTGTGGGTATCCCCCCCCCCCCCCGCCGAGTTCCGCGGGAGGTAGGCTGAGACCACCACTATGGCCCCTTTCCCATCCTCGTTACAGGTTACTCTGTGGAGATTTCTACTGCATCCAGGTTATGAAGTTCACTTGGGATTTCAGGTGCATTGCAGTTCTCGGTGCCTTATCTCCCTTACTGTAGATTAACATACCATTGATTGTGATTTTGTGACCCCCCATAGACGTATGAACGCAATCGTCGCATTGGTTGTGGCGAACCTCTTACACAGCGTTGCTCTATTGGAGGTTCGCCTGTAGAAGGCGGTTTTGTCGCCTGTGATGTTTCTTCGGCTAACGCCCTAGGCACATCGGCTCTCTGGGCGGACGACTGACTTTTCGCTAGTCGCGAGAACCTGTGCCTTCGGCGGGGGTGCCTGGCACTTCTCTGGTTATCCTCTCCAGCGGGCCCTTGTTAATGGCGCTACTAGCCTTAGGCTTGATTGTCACTTGTCCAAACCTGAAGCTGGCTCTTAGGCCTCACAGCCCCACTGTAATCGTTAAATTAACAAAGGCACCCTCCTGCTCTCTTTTCAACACTCGACATTCCTTAGTGTTGAACCAGATGCATAGCAAACGCCCCCTCTTTCTCGAAAGATCTCGAACGCATCCGACTATTCTAGAATGTTCTCGAACAAACACGTCATATCTACTTCTCGAAAAGATTACGTCTTTTTATTGCCAATGACTAATCTTTCCTGGGCCCTCAATGTCTTATCGGGATTTTACTAAAACGGCTACGAGCAAAACTTGGAAAATATTTTTAAGTTTCTGAAATGACCGCTAGGGGGCGTAACTGCAATCTGGAATATAAAAAAGTGATGTTTCTGTGAATTCCGCTATATTAACCTAAAAAAAAAATGTTCGGCCTTTGAAGTCGGCGATAATCTGAACAATTTTTGTTTGACAATTTTTCCTGTATCTCTAAAAATTAAGTGGTGGAGGGTATTCAAAGGTTTCCGTAAAGAACACCCTGTATCTTCGAAACGGCTAAGCCGATTTAAACAAAATCAGGTTAGTTCAAAAGAGCTATTCTTCGGCTACAAAGATTATACTATTTGAAGTTTTGTTAGTTTCACATATCACCGCTTGAGGGCCTTTTTCGACATTCGTACAGAAATGGTGAATTTTCTCAAAAAAATTAAATGCATTGGTTCGATTTTTTTTTCATGAAAAAGTAACTAAAGATAATTCCGGAAAAATTAGCTTAAAAAATTAAAATTTTGAGGGTATAAAATTTTCTTTGGCCTAAATTTTAGGTTGGGAACAAGATATCGAGATGCTGTTTTCGCGAACTTGTTTAGGCATCATTTAGCTACTTTTTCATGAAAAAAAAATCAAACCAACGCGTTTAATTTTTGTGAGAAAATTAACTATTTCTGTAGGAATGTAGAAAAGAGCCCTCAAGCGGCGATATGTGAAACTAACAAACCTTCAAATATTATAATATTTGTAGCCGAGTATAACTCTTTTCAATTAACTCGAGTTTGTTAAAATCGGCTCAGTCGTTTCGAAGATACAGGGTGTTCTTTACGGAAACCTTTGAATACCCCCCACCACTTAATTTTTAGAGATACAGGAAAAATGGTCGAACAAAAATTGTTCAGATTATCGTCGACTTCAAAGACCGGACATTTTTTTGTTAGGTTAATATAGCGGAATTCACAGAAACATCACTTTTTTAGATTCCAGTAAAGTCACTAGATATAGAAAGTACCGCAATCATCCGCCATTTTTGGGCAAATTTGCTGCCAACTTAAAAAATTGACAAATAAAATCTGAATAGCTATAATTTTTAGCGTAACACAACGAAGTTCAGGTAAAGCTTATGTGCTCGTGTTTCCGTCCGTCCGTTCGATCGAGATCTCGGCCCCTGGGCCACCTAGAGACTTCGGGTTTTCGCTAATTGATAGCTGTTATGGTCTATATTTGCCCATTTCGATCAGTTTCATTTAACTCCATATTTTGCGCAGACTGCGCAATGCCAACTTTCATATTTATGGAGATATTGCTTTGAAATTTCAAACATTTCGCACATGGTAAAAATTATGTGGGCATGCGCAGTGACTGCACAGACTGTTCATAGCCAAGTTTCTTATGTTTGGTAAGTTCTTTGAAACTTTATTTTACTTATTTAACCTTTCTCTTTCTCTGGACGTGGACGTACTTCAATATGCAGATTCGACATTTTGTGTGCTTTCGATGACGATGCATCGTTTCAATACTTTGTGTTACGCGGGAATATCCACGAGTGGGTTTTGGAACATTTTTTATAACCTAACTTCATAGTACTGTCATGTTTTATAAAAATATATACAGATATCTCCAAACAGGTGGAGCAATCTCTAACATTAAAGTTACTAGAATCTGGTAACTTAGCTCTGAAATTCTAAAATATTAATTTTTCCTAATTGACATCAATGGGATCAATTAGAAAACTGATATACGGCAACTGGTTTCCTTATCGGCGGCTAAGACGGCGCTAGAAATTAAAACGTGTACTTCTTTTTCTTATTTCTAGAAGAAGTAAATAAATCTTAAAGTAACTGCTTCTTAGTATCGAAGCGTCCAATTATTCCGATATGAAAACTGAGTGCTTTGTTTAATGACAAATGCGCTTTAACTAATCGCTAGTGTGACGGCTTATTCTGGTTTTTTTTTTAATTCGCGGCGTGTCTTGTGAAATTTTAGATACAGATGTTTTCAATAAACGTAGATATAGGCGCGCACATAGAAAGTATGAGTCGTTTTAACACTTAATGGGGTAATTATTCTGTTAATGGTTAGTTTTCGTTTAGGTGGTAAAAGTTCGCCCCCACCCACGCGACCCGCACCGCCCGTAACGGTGTCTACAAGATCTCGCTCATCGTCGAGCTCCAGTTCAAGCGATCAATACGAAGAGGAAGCGCCGAAACAGGCTTACGTGCCGTCTCGGATGGACTTGAATCTAATCCGATTATCCAGACACAAGCTGGAGCGCTTCGTCCACTTGCCATTCTTCGACCGAATCGTCAAGGGCTGCTTTATAAAGATCGGCATCGGACAAAACAACAGCCTGCCAGTATATCGCGTGGCGGAAGTGACTGACGTGCACGAAACTGCCAAAATTTATCAGTTGGGCAATACCAGAACGAATAAGGTGAGTGGGTGTGTCGCGCGCTCTCCGCTAATTGGCTTTTGGTTGCACAGGGCGTGCGCGTCAGGCACGGAGCGCAAGAGCGGGTGTTTCGATTGGAGTTTGTGTCGAACCAGGAGTTTTCTGAATCCGAGTATCTCAAGTGGGTTGAGGCGACGACCGCCGCCGCCATTGCGATGCCGACGCAAGAACGTATAAAAGAGAAGCAGTTAGACGTTAAGGAAGCCTTGAATTACGAGTTTAACGAGCAAGACATTGAACGCATCGTCCGAGAGAAGGAGCGCTTCAAGACAAACCCCTACAATTACGCAATGAAAAAGACGCAGCTGATGAAGGAGAGGGACGGGGCGCTGGCGAGGGGCGACGACGAGACGTCGCGCGAAATTTCGCAGCGCCTGCAGGAGTTGGAGGAGCGCGCGTCCGAATTAGATAAGCTAAGAACATCGTCTATCTCGAGTATATCGTATATTAATGATCGTAATCGTAAACGAAACGTGGAGGAAGCCGAACGGGCCATCATGGAGGAGTACAGAGCTAATAAAGGAAAAAAGGTAGGTATACATGGTGTTCATTTTTCGAGTGCCACTATGGGGATCTCACTTATCTTAAGAGATAGAAAGTTGGTTAAATGGGGGCAAAACTGCCCATTTTTGGCAACTTTAGTTTTACTTATGGGCGCCATTTTGAATTTTCACATTTTGAGATTACGTCTTTTTCTCTCTACAATGATATATCACACATGATGGTTCAGTATCACATTTTTCCTAAAAATACAATTATTAAATTTTTGGGAAGAGTAGGTACTTCTCTGACAATGCTGCAACCAGACAGATGGATCAAACTGTCAAACTTTTGTTTACAACAAAAGAACGTTTTGTTTTTCCAAAGCACTCTTCTCAAAAAAGTAAAAATTGTATTTTCAGGAAAAATCTGATACTAAACTACCAAGTGTGTTATATCGTTGTAAAGGGAAAAAAAGACGTAATCCCAAAATGTCAAAATTCAAAATGGCGCCCATAAGAAAAACTAAGGTTGCCACGTGTTTCTCCGTCATCTTGAATGTAATTAAGACCAGATGCCATATTTGAAATCTCCATTAAAAAGTGTCCGAATAATGTGTCAATTAGAAATGTTTACTACGATTAGTTTATAAAAAAAAATTAAAAACGAAAATCAAAAATTTTCGTTTTTTTGCGATATTTTCAAAACTATTAAAGATATTTCAAATTTCTTTTCCGATTCTTATTCAGCACGGAAATTGGCAACGTTGCCCCCATTTAACCAACTTTCTATCTCTTGAGATAAGTGAGATTCCCATAGTAGCACTCGAAAAATGGACACCGTGTATAGAGTGTAAGTGAATGTTTTCTCAAAAAGTTGACCTATAGTATCAAAATCATAGGTCATAGAACAATTTCCCCCCCCCCCCCAATCAAGTTTTCCAAATTTTGTTGACTACTGTTTTTCTCATCAAATTGTATTAACGTCTAGCGGCCAAGCGCGTTCTCGGAAAATGTGTGTTCAAGCAGAAGATGGGGATTCGACAGTCGCACCAATATCTTTGTGTAGATTTCAGATCCGTTCACGCGCCGCTCAACGAAGCCTCGCATGACATTTAAAGTGACCTCCGAGGAGAAGGAGAATCCCGTCCCCGTACCGCAAGCGATGGAAGTGGCGGTCGAAAAGGCGGACACGCCCGTCGTACCGATTCCGGTGGCGATCCAAGTTTCCCAAGAGGATTTGTTCTCGGCGCACGATTTTGACATTAAAATCGATCTCGAAGTACCTTTACCAAGTACCATATTTTGTTACTATTGTCGCACTTCTTATCTAATCATTTGTTTCCAGATACCTTAGTAAGCGTTACGCCAAAAACGGCTTCGAACAATATAGGGCCCAAACGAAGTTTAAATCTACAGGATTATAAGAAAAAGCGAGGTCTAATTTAGTATAGGTTAATTGTGATTTATATTTAGCGTGTTAGCGACTCTATGTATCAATTTTACATAGGACAAACTTAATAATAATAATAACGTTTGATTTATCGTTAAATACTTTAAGTCATTTTTTATTTATTTTTTTATATAACCTAATTTTTTCCTCCGTGTATATATTTCCGTTAGTGATAGTTTAAATTTTAATTTTAAGTATTTATAGCTTTTTAAGTAGATCGAAATCAATTTAAGTATTTACGCAATGTGCATATTGACTGTCTTTTATGCAAACTCTGTATTATAAAGGTAACTGCAATAAACTATAATCATAATTGTACAAATAGCCCAGTAGTTGTAGTTAAATCCTACAAAAGGTGATTTGTTTTAATAGCTTCATTTGTTACCCAATATTACTATCCTAGTTCCCCCCTCGGAAGAGTTGTGCTTTATCTCGCTATAAGCAAAGAGTAGGTACTCTTTACTATCGGGCGATCAAAAATGAGTTGCTGTCGAGTCGTCTTCGGAAGTTCAAGTTAAGTACGATTTCCCATGTAAACAAAAATTCCAAAGGTAACTCGACAGCAACACATTTTTGATCGCATTGTATAAGGTTACCTATCAATCGGAATTGGGTATTATCAAAAGTTTTAAATCAAACTAATTTTTGTGTTATTACACTAATAAACCATCATAGTTCATTTGTGTTTAATGCTACTAATTATTATGAACAAATCGGCGAATAATTAAACATAAATTTGAATAATACGAGAGGGACGTTAAACGACTGCTCATAGGCGGTAAGCAAAGTGACGTAATCGCTCTCATAGCAACACACCTTATAGCGCTTTCGATTGGCAAAACTCGTACTGCACGAGTGTTGCACGAGAAACTGAAGAAATCCATGTGAAAATTGCTCTCAATGGAACATAAATATTCGTAAATATTTGTTGTCATTTGTCCATAACCTCATTTTAGATTTAGGTAATCGACAAATCTCTATTCTAAAAAATGACAAACGATTTCAGTATTATTTATGATAAACGATGAGGAATATAAATTTAAAATTCCTGTAAAGGGCCAATTTTTGACGTTAGTTTAATGAGTAAAGTGCAACTTTTTGTTAAAATAGAAGTTATGGCTAGTTCATCATCTTCGCTATCGCTAGATGACGACAAAAAACTCTCCCAACACAAGAAACAAATTCAAATTGTCGCACGTTTGTTTTGAAAATTTGTTAACTAGCAGCTCCACGAGCTTTTGGACCTCGTGCGTCGCAATTTGCACTGAGTACGTTGCATCTCATTTGCCAATGGAACACAGAAAATTGACCTACAATTACCAATAGAACGTAAAAATTGCACTCGTGCAGCACGAGTTTTGCCAATCGAAAACGCTATGAATTTGGAGGTTTGGACACAAGTATTCGGCATCTGCGCAAAACGGTCGTTGGTTATATACAGAGCATATTATATTTTTGTTTCAGATGTAAATGTGTGTTGCCTAACCATCAGGGTGGATTATCACACCTGAATCATAATCTCCGTTTTAAACACTCAAATGCGTGCGAAAAAGGCCTTTAAATCACACGTGCTTTAAAGTTGCTAGGTATAGGTAATAATACTACAAATATGACTTTTGAAACTGTCATCTGGGGTTGAAATAAAAAATCCTCTTAGGTCGCTTTCTGTAAATGCAGAACATTTCTTTGGCTTGTACCTATCCTTTGGTTGAAGCTTTCACAAACGTACGTAATTTAGGGTATGCTTCCAAATCTGTTCCACTTCTTAATCGCAGCATTGTTTGAAGTTTTGAACGAATGCACCAAAAGATAGAAGATTTAAATACCTTTGACATTTCCTGCATATATGCCAGCATTATCGATGCACTTTATTCGTAAATAACTTCCTATTCATCCATGGAAACAACTTTTCATATTCATTATAATAGGCTTTACTGTATTTAGGTACCAACATTTGTTTAGATTTTACAACAAGCGATTTAATGGACGGTGAATTATCTTTTTCAACGGAAATCATTATATTTCCTTTTTTTAAATTATACTGCAGGTATAATAAAAGATACTATAAGATACACGTGCATAATTGATCTTTAAAGCACTTACAACGTTAAAGGCACTCCGCTTCGCGTCGTGCCATTAAATTCGTTGTGCGTGCTTTAAAGACTTGATACACTTGTATCTTAATATACTATTTTTAAATAAAATTTATAGAAACTTTAAGATAAATTTACAGTATGCGACACAGCATGGTTCATATTTTTTTCAATTAAAACAACTGAAATTTTTTGTTTTTAATTGAATTGAATTTAATTAATACTTGATTGACGTTAACATTATTATCTGTTCTCCGTTCTTATGTAAGGTGGGGCGAAAACCTAGCCAGGCCGGGCAGCGTGGGAATAAAGACTGATGGTAAGGCTTAATTTTAATGGTGCAACTGGGCATTCATTAGGGACCAGTTTATTTTGGACTCAGTGGCAACGAGCAACTGGAGTGGACTGAATGGACAGTCTAGGCCCTTCTTATCGGGGAAAATTGTAGTCTTTTTTAGGCTTCTAGCACCCGCTTTCGTGGAAGACCGTCGTGTATGGCTAAAATAAGCAACCTACACTCTGTGAAGTATCTAGACCAAATTAGTACAAGTTCATTTTATTCTAAAAATGTGCTTTTATAAGTTTCTACTATCATAATTACGCTAAATTAGGTACCTACATCAAAAATGGCGCAGCAATTTTGTGTGTGTGCGTGACCTAAATCAAACTCGTTTCGAAAAACCCATGAAAACCAGACAAAAATTAATAATTAATTACAAACGTCGCCAAAACAAATTAAATTCTAATCGCGCACCGACGGTTGCGCTGATTGGCGGCAAAATTTGAAAAACCGGCGGCCATATACAATGATTTGTTTGACCATTTATGGGCATTTCATGTAGCTAGCGTTAACATTGGCTAAAATATCTGACAAGATTATTCATTTAAATTTGCACAAGTGAAGTTCGAGCTAATCGTAAGGTGATCGTCTGAACCTTTTTTTATCGGTTTAAAGTGGCGATTAATATTACAAAAATTTACCGGATTATTTATATTGGAGACTATATCAGTCTGCGCGCACTACAAGTAGTACCACGGTTACGGCGGGACGAGTGAAAAGTGCTCGGTTAAAAAAGCTCAAAGTGCATTGTGACTAATAAATCGCAATAATTGCACTATCGGTCTGTGATTAATTAAATAGATAATTTTAGTTTTTTTCGCTGTCAAGTGCGTTCGCAGTGGCGTAGTAATATTGTACGCAAGCGCGGTGCTGTACCGGCAGATCAACGTCCGCTTCAGATCTCTCAAAACTGAGTAGTCATTAAATTGTTCGTGTAATTCGTAGCAGATTATTGTGTGAATATTGCAATTAATTCAATATGGTGAGTGATGTTTTTATTTCTCTTTAATGAGTGTACGCCCAGCGTGTAGGGTGAATTAAATTCGGGCGTTACATCAATAGGGCATTAATAGAGCCGGTCGCCATGATTCCAATTTTTAACAATCCCCAATTTTTAAGCGTTCCTTCGAAGTAATTTAATTGAGAAATTGTTAATATCGCTAACCGTTACAATATCGCCTTTGTTTCATTAAGTTTTTTCCTGAGATGACTCATTAAGCCTCGCCCATTCGTTTGGGGTTGAAGTGTATACGTTCTCGCTTTTTTTTTGGTTAAATTTTTTTCGGAAATCTGTGATTTATGAATCATAGAAATTCGTCACGTTTCGCCAATTCGACAACTGTAACTGATTTAATATCGTATATGGATGGGTGATATTTGAGCCATAATTTAATTTCGGAAATTTATTTAAAACTTTGGTTGTTATTGGTTCTAACATTAAAAATAACGCGTTACTTAAAAATAAACACCACGCGGTTTTTCGAAAATAGAATCAAAGCGTGAATCGATTGTACAAATTTGGAATTTACCTTAAACGCTCTCTGAACAAAATCACATCCACCTTTTTCAAATTGATCTTTTTCTATTTATAGGCATCAGGTGTAACAGTGGCGGATATCTGTAAAACAATTTATGAAGAAATCAAGAAAGACAAGAAGCACCGTTATGTAATATTCTACATTAGAGACGAAAAGCAAATCGACGTCGAGGTGATCGGAAAGCGGGACGAGGAGTACGAAAACTTCCTGCTGAAGCTGCAGGCCGGCGGCGAGGGTGACTGTCGTTATGGTCTTTACGATTTCGAATATATGCATCAGTGTCAGGGCACCACAGAATCTTCCAAAAAACAGAAACTTTTCTTAATGTTGTGGTGTCCAGAAAGTGCCAAAGTGAAAAAGAAGATGTTATACTCTAGGTGAGTCGTAGGTCGGCCGATAACAAGGGAGGAAAGTTAATTGTCGTGTTTCAGTTCATTCGACGCACTAAGAAAGGCGCTCGTCGGCGTTCAAAAAACGATCCAAGCCAATGAGTTAGCCGATGCGTCTCGAGAGGCGGTAGAAGAAAAACTACGAGCGACCGATCGTAATTGATCACCAATAGTTTCATTTACCTGCTCTCCATGTGTACTGTATTATTATCTACAACTTACGCACCAAACTTCGGTGTTAATAATAAGATTTGAATATTTAATAAAGCTTCTTTTTTGAACTGTATGTATTTTGTTGTATTTATTTTATTTCGGATGAATTTTGTTAATTTTTTATATTTATACTCCCTTATAAACGAGTAGTCCGTTATTTATGAAAAAATTCTTATTGAATAAACTCTTGCTACAACTTGAAATTTTCAATTCCAACTGAATTTTAGTACTTGATGGTAAGACAGTAGGTATGGGGAAGTTACCATTATTTGGAAAGTGTTACTATGCATCATTTTCCTCCCCCCATATCCATCTTTACCATTCACTTGTGGATAATAATGTGCCATTATATCTTCCGTTACCAATAATTACAAAGTGTCAAAGGACAATAAAGTTAATTTATTTTTACAGGTGCTGCCCAGGGGTCGGAACCCATATGAAATTTTGGTTCCGGTTCCGCACTACTTGGGTAGAATTATTTTTTAAGGGTTTCGGTTCTGTGGCTTCAGTAATTATCGGTTTTATTATTGGCCAATAAAATTTATTACTTGTTTTTTATTTTATTGTAGCGAATTTTCTAGAGCGATATCAAGGCGCCATCGAATCAATTTTGGATTAGTCACCGGCGATAAGGAATGAAACCGAATGTGACGGTCTCCATTCCGGGAAGATGTCAGGGTCGGACTGGTGTCTAAATTTCTGTGGGGAAATGCTTTTAGAAGGGCTCTCTATAAGGTTTTTTCTTAAAAAAAACCGTATAGAAAGTTTTACCATTTAGTTAGCTGGCAAATAAAACAATATACTTATAACTTCATAAATGATATTGTGTAAAGGTAACAAATGTTCTATTAAACATGTTTCTATCAAAACTAATTCAACGGTTGGTGCCTTTCTGGTTTTAAAATTATGTTGAAAAATCAAATTGGACTAAATGAACGCCTTACAAGAATTAAACTTTTGTATACGGTGTGATAAACCACCCTTATAATAATATAGCTTTATTGGGTGATGCAGCAGTTGACAAATACGATTAGGTAGTACATACTTTTACAGTTTAAAGATACAGATGCACGTATATGCAATAGACTGCAACCCCAAAGGCGAAGTTCGGTTGAAGAGCAATACTGAGGGACTGCTCTTCTCCGCTCTACCACTTAACCTCAAAATTGCTGCGAAAGAACCCATAACTGACAGAATGTAAATATAATCCGACCAGTGTTACCCTATAGACAGTGATGCCTACTGTGATTGCCATATTTGCTTTGTGCACGTTAATCGTCTAACATTAAAGATGTCATACGATATTTAAATAATTTTAAGGGTAAGCGTTTCAATTCAATGGTTAGGCTACACACCTTTACATCTGAAACAAAAATATGATATGCTCTGTATAAAACCAATCGACCTAGCGCGGCTAAAGAGAGACCTAGGCCTAGTCTCTCGTGAAGTTAGCAGATGTTATTGAAATGAATGAATTCTAACTTCAATACAATTCCATGTGTTTTTTTAGGTTATGTTTTTACTTAAAAAAAGGGTTTAAACCTTAGATCATATATATTCCGTTTAAACGAAGAACAGGCACACCGTCTTGGACCTTTTAAACAAAAAGTAACAAGGCACATAAACATGGAAGGCATAGGTGGAAAGGATCCATAAGTTCGTCCAACAGAGGTCAGTCGAGCAATGTAACGAGGAAGTAACCGTAAGAACTGGGGCCACAGGTTGTACGCACATCAGGTAGTTCAATTTGAAAGCATTCTCAAGTTTACTTAACTTTATTACAGTATTCCTCGATTTAAGCAACACTTCAGCTTTGTAATACCCGACATGGATAATGATTTAGCGATTTTGGATACCTTGAAAGTTTGCGATACAGTTCTCTTTGCTATTTCTGCTGTAGCCGAGTATGATTATGGTGACGAGCTCATTGACCAATGGCGAAATAAGGTTCTGATGGTTTCGTTTGCACAAGTTTGTTAGGTGCAATTACCGGGCGACAAATAAGTGTAATTTTGTATCGTTTGCCAACACCGGTAGTGGCGGTCATTCACTTGGACGGCATTCCACAAAAGAAACGTGATGAGCAAAAGCACCAAATTCAGAAGTTGGTATCGAAGTGGATGCCGGACCAAAAAAATTATGACCTGAGATAAAACTAGTGACCCTTTAAACATATTGCGTAAGATCGGCAATCAGAAACATAAATCAGTTATTAATCGAGATCACTAGGGGCCAATTCTCAACTTTTTTCGAAGTGGTACGTATACGAGTGACACAATTTTGACGTAATTTTGCAAAAACATCCTTGCAACTTTCACGATTTCATTTGAAACTTTAGTCACATTTGTATGTCGACCAGTTTGAACGAAGCCGAGAATACGGCCCCTCATAAATTGTCAATGAATTATCATAAAGCCTTATTTCTTATAATAGTGATAGTACCTACTTAAGATTAAGTGCAATGATCAAAGTAGGTATATACATATATATGATGGAATGGTGGCTTAATGTTTATATTAAAAATAAGCAAAAAAGCTCCATGTAAAGTAAAAGTATACAATCAACGAATGCTTATCATTTCAAAATTCTTGTTTCTTTTCTGAAAAACGTTTTGTATAGACATTTAAGTCGAGGTATAAGTATATGAAGGACTTTACAATATTGTTATGAGTGTGGGCCCTCTTAGTATAAATATTAACGTTAAGTCGTATGTAATGCAGCAATTAAGAAACTAGAGTGTAAGAATGTATCTAGCTAACAAAGGACCTATTTACAACCCTCGTATGATCGCCTTGTCTAGACATTTAATTTCTTTCGTTATGGATAATTTAATTGGCATTTAGAATAACTGAAAAGGGATAATTTATTGTCTTTGTTTTAAACTAAATGTTGTGTGAACAGAAGAAACATAAAAACCCATCTGGGGTGGAAGAATAAAAGTGTATGTTTAGATTATTTAAGTTAGTCTTGATTGCAACCAAGGAGGGGTTAGTCGCTTATTTTGTATTAAACGAGTCCGACAGAAATTTCGTCTTATTATAATTATAAATGTAATAATATACTCTATATTGTTTATGAGAAAAATACTTTATTGATAATCTTTTTTAATAGATCTACAAAAATCGTAATTATAAATCTATTAACTAGAAAAAAGAAGTAATCATTTTTACAATTACTTGTTTTCGATTAAACAACAGGGTAGTTTATTAGATGATGTCATTTGGGTGTGCTGTTTAATGAGTTTCTTTAATTCTAACATGCTTTTTTAAAAATAGTAAAATTACATTAAAATTGGAACTGTTTGTGCAGGTAACAAAGGAACGGGAATATTTAATTAGCATAAGCCTTAGATTTATTGTGACTTCTTTTTGTAGAAAAGAACTGCATTTGTTTGGAAATGTTTTTATTTGCTGGTTCCCTTTTCATTGCAACTGGAATGTTAAGTTCTTGCTCATTCAAATTTGATCCAATTTCTAACAAAGCATTTATTGTTTTCACTTGTTTTGTTGCAGTGGCTAGTATGCTGGTATCCACTGTTTTCTTTGCTAAGTTAATTAATTCCAGAGCTGCACTAACAAGCTCATTTTGTAAACTAGAAGTATCTGTTGGTGTTTTAAATAAACTTTTGGCTACTGTATTAATTTCATCATTGTCTATCTAATGACACACAATGGTGTCTGCGATTTCCATACATTCCTTATTTTTTGTCTGTATACAAACAAAATGTATATGTTTGCATATATTACTTTGTATAAAATAATTGGTACAAGTGCAGCTGTAAGAATGATAGCATATGCTGCAGTTTTGACATGTCAAACTACAACAAATGCCATGTGCTCGTTCTTCTACTGTGTATACATTACTATTGTCTATATTCTGAACCGTACATTTCTTCGAACCTTCTTCATTTACTTCATGTGCACTAAGTTTAGCGTGGAGAGCCTTTTGATGACTTTGGTTAATCGAATTAATTTTGTTGGTATTTTTTCCTATAATAAGGAGAATCTTAAAATAATAAACATAATGTACCTATACATACCTTTAGTTACTTTAATTATCCACTCCACTTGCTTGTCACGTGTAAATCGCATTAAATTATGCAGTGATTTATCTAAACGTTTAACTTTTTTGCCATCTAAATATTCATATTTTATAATACGGTGCATAGACTCCAAATACATATTTGTATTAATTCCCAATCCTTTTCTATGACAATACGCCCATAAAGAGTGATTATGTCCATAATAACTGGTAAAGTAGTTATAAAAATGACTAGTATCTGGATCTTCTTGAAGATAATTTATGAAGTTGTTGTACTGGTATTGAAATTCTTCAACCGAGAGACAAGTTTGAACATTTTTAAGGAACTTATATACATCTTTTCGTTTATGTACAGATTGTTCCGAGGTGGCTGATGAAATTTTTGCCAAATTCGTTCTCCATGCTCTGTCAATGTGCCATGAGCAAAAAAGGCGATTTGGCACGTCTCCCATTACAGACCTCCAAGCATTGTAATATGTTTCTGTTATATCAGTCATAAACGTAAGAGTATTTATGCTACCAGATGAATTTTTTATAACATTAAAAAATAGTTCGTATGTAGCTGTGTCTTTTCTATTGCAAATCATGAACGCAACTGGCATTCCTTCGCCAAATTCATCGGCAACTAAAACTGTTGTCAATTCAAAATCATAGGGATTTGTACCATGGGTACCATCAATACAAACAAACTTTGATGCATATTTTGTTAGTGTATCACTTTGAAATGAATTCATAATAATCAGACAAAAATCGGATATATTCAATCCATACTCAAGATCGTCTGACCCTTGTGGTTTAAAAAACCGAACTGGATTATTTTTATCACATTCTTTAACCCACAGAGCCACACTTGTGGCATCATCAGAATGGCGTAACCCATCTACAATGTCAATTTGAAAAGATTTTTTGATGTTATATATGTCTTTTTTTGTGATTAGATCAGAACGTTGTAAATCACCACCTTGTCCTATACTGTCACGAATAGTATCGACTACCTTTGGAACTGACACTCCTAACACAAGTTTGGCAGCAATATCGTTCCTTGCACTTTTTGGTATTCGGATGTGTTGAAGTTGTAAATCGTGTCCATAATGAGTTTTAAAATATCTTACTGATACATTATTTGTTTCATTGCAAACTTTCAGTTTTAGATGACTGGTACATGAAAAGCCAATTTTCTGAGTGCCCTGTGTTTTTTGATTCCGGATCTGCGAAGATTTGCTTTTAAATGTTCCTAAAAATTGTTATAGTTATAGTGCAATATACAAAAAAAAATAATCCAACATACCTGAACGATTACACTCATAATAAATCACTGTACAATTATTTTTCACACATTTTCCCTTCTTACGTACATATTGTGTTTTATTTTCTTGTTCAATATTAAGTATCCAGGACTGGAAATCTGAAATGAAAATTGTAGATGTAGAAAAATGCATTGAAATATATATGCTGATTACCTTTTAAAGAACAAAATGTATGTTCATACCAATCGTCCTCAAAATTATGCTTAATAACTAAATGCTCAATTAAAAGTTTTTTATTTAAGAATTTGCTGTTGCATTCTAAGCAAAGGATAGAGTTTTTCACACATTTATTTTCATTTAATTTGTGTACTTTTTGTAAGTGTCTATTTAATGTACTCATATCAAAGAAGTTTTTGCCACATATATCACACTGTTGGACTTTAGTAACACTTTCTTGTCCATCATCTTTTACATTTATCTGATTCTCTTGTGGTGGGTTAGGTACACTATGAATCGTTTTTAAATGCCGATTTAAATTACTTTTATCGTAAAAATGTTTATCACATATACTACAATTAAAGTTAACCCTTACACTAGTTTTTTTCACATCCATGATTAAAATGTTTCGTAAACCATACACTACAAAAGTCACAGTGAGTTCACAAATACAATAACAATTCCTGACTACGAGTAGTACACCGACTACTATTACTACTAAATAAAATCTGGCAGGACAACTTATTTTTATAAAAACAAAAACAAAATTAACAAATAGAGTTTATAACCTAAGAAATTTAAACTGGTTGCAAGGACTTGTGTTGAAGTTAGAATTCCTTCATATAATAACATCTGCTAACTTCACGAGAGACTAGGCCTAGGTCTCTCTTTAGCCGCGCTACAATCGACCGTTTTGCGCAGATGCCGAATACTAGGGGATTTTCGTAACGAAGTTAGGGGAGAACATATATATAAGAGAAGATATATGGGGGAGAATGAAGGAGATGGCGAGGAGGTCAACGGAAGGCATCACGCTTTACATTTTTTTTTTTATTATTGATTATTTTGGTGGTGGTGTTTTGAAGGTGTATTTACAGGTAGTAACCATTTTATTCTTTCTTGTACTAACTACCTATTTAATCATTGAATTTCTTGCCACAATTTGATATTATTTACATTTTGCTGATTTTGCATAAACGACGATATTTGAATCATTTCGTATTCCATGCCTTTGTTTTGAGTATCGTTATCTGAATCGTGTTTGATTATGCCATTGTTTTGTTTAATTAAGTATGTATTTCTGTTACCTATTTTGGATTATCAGTGCGATGTTGCTCTGTTCGATTGATCCTTAACTATTCCATGAGGGAAGTAGCTAATACAGTTTGATTGTTCGCTGTATCTGTTACTTTCTTATTCGTGGCGCGCTGCAGTTCTTGTGCGTTAGCTATACGAAGGGGGGCTCTCGCTTATTTGATGTTTCGATGTGTTTTTGTAATGTAATGATTTATCATGTTTTCCACTGCATTTAGATGTCTTGTGTATTTTGTTTTTATGAACTTGTTTAATTGCATTTGATTTGATTATCTGGTTTTTATCATACAATTTGAGATGTTTTATTTATGTGTATTTTCTCTTGCATTTGATTGCTGTAGGTGATTTATTTCATGTATTTGTGTGGCCTATGCTGGGGTTTTTGTCCCGTAGAAGGTTTCCCTGGCATGGTCTTGTTGTGTGCGTAATATATTTATTTGTTCTTGTCAATAAATAATAAACAAATTAATAAATAATAAAATAATAAAATAAATTTAATCAATATTTTTACTTACTAGATTGCGTTATAATACCTCCATTAATATTACTACAAGTGCCTATTTTGCCTATGCCCACAGTATTATGTCATATGCCATACTAGCATGGGGCCATAGCTCCCATTGGCATTGCATTTTTAAACTCCAACGTAGAGCTATTAGGGTCTTATCTTGTCTTGGTTATAGGGACGAGTATTGTAAGGCATTTATTGACCTAAGAATTTTAACTCTTCCCTGTATTTATATCCTTTCTGCAGTGTGTTACGCTAAACAAAATATGTCTACTAATGTAGGTACAACAGTCAAAAGTTCACGACCGTAACACTAGACTCAAGGGCAATATTCGCACTGACCTTTGCAGATTAGCAATATCTCAATTTGGTATACGATATCAGTCCCAATTTTTGTTTAATTGTCTCCCAGCTAATATACAATCATTACCTTTCTCTACATTCAAATTAAAAATTAAACAAATTCTGTTAAGTAATGCTTTTTATTCGTTCGACGAGTTTGTTAGTTATTGTAAGTCTTCTCCGTTCATATACCCAATGTTGCGTCCCCAAACTAGAATAAAATATCCTTTCGTTTTTCCTTTAATGAAAATACCCTGTACATAACCGTTTTGCCTTGCCTGTATATATTCCTATTTGTTACGTGTGCGCGCATGAGCCGCAGAAGCGCAATATGTGTACTCGTCGCGCAGAATTCGTCCCATTCTTCGCTTAGAAGCCATCAACTCAACTACGTTGAGAAGTCGCCGTTAATCAATGGCCGATTAGCCTTCGTCGTTCGCATATAGATCTCGATCGATCCACAACGGGTCAAGATGTCGCCGTGCAGTTCGCAACATCGTTATTAACAAGCAGAACGTCAAAGCATCGCACATCAATAAGAAGATTTCGTTGTAACAAAATCGACAAATTCGACAACTTCGTAGAAAAGAGCAATCTTCGCCATTGCAACATCGCCTTCGTTGTTAATGGACTTCGAAACAACACGTAAGTTCCTTTGTTTACATTATCCCTTCGTAACTTTACCATATTCTAGTAGCCGTCGTGCCTACGTCCAACCATGTTCAATAGAAATTCATTTACTTTGTATTTTTTATAATAAACACGTTTATTTATGTGTCTATATTCTTTCATTCCCAGCATAAACAAGGCCTTGGAAGTAATTCATAATTACAGTCCACTTACAATCAAATTCTTTGTTATCGAAGCCCCCTTGTACGGTACACCCAATGTGATTGTAACTATACGTCCGTTTTATTGTTTTATTGTTTATGTACCTATCTTTGTTGACGAGTGTGTATAAACACAACACACAATAAAATATTATTATTAAAAAAAATATATATATTATTATTATTTCTTACGCACAAAAGTTCTGTCTTTTATTTAATTCGCTTCCCGATTCACGTCTCAAACCATACCAGGGCATCGATTCCCGAAGTTAGTCGATATGCTCCGTGATGTGCATGTGATGTGACCGGCTGCCATGACGTCATGATCGTATACGATAGGGATAAGTTCAAGTAGCTGCATTCCCGAATCGTGGACAAACTTTATGCGCTAACCAATAAGAATTACTGTCATTTGTAGTTTTTATTTTGTTTTGTTTTTGCATTATGGATACTGCTATTAATAACCAGAAAATCGAACAATTATGTTTTATTTCACAGAAAATATGTGAATTTATAGGTTAGGGCACTGAATAACCTCTATAGCACAGCTGCAAGATCCGTCCTGTAGCTGAACTGCGCATGACTTTCACGCAACGAGTAGGTCTAGACCAGTCGTTGCGTTCGATCAACTTTTCGCTCGATGTGGTAGGTTCGAGAATGCAGTGACATTCACGTTCACATCAAGGTCAGTCGATGTGAACAAAGCACATCTTCGGGAATCGACGCCCAGAACCGATTACACAACGTAGGAGTTCATTCGTGCTACCCATATCGAGCCGACTGCCAGCCAAATTCACAAGTGCCGCGAAACTTCCATCGTTTCGACTTGTAAGATAGGTGGCTCTGTTTCAGAGACATGGAGAGGGGAGATAACGCATGAAACTGCGCGAAGTTACAAAACAAGGGGGCTGCCATTTTGACACCCATTGAAGCGCGAAATTTGAACAGGACTATAAAGGTTTACTGACGCAACCCAGAGACATCTAACGCAATCGTCATAAACTACACTCTATTCGGCAGCAGCTCCGTAGGAAGAAACTAATATCTCAATCCAAATGAACAAAAGAAAATGCCAGTGACGTTGACGTTACAAAATAAACACTTAAACCTCGAAAAAAGCTCTCCTAAACACGAACACACGCTAAAATAACACCACTATAAACACAACATGACACAAAGGGTGTAAAAATGGCAGCGCCCATGAGGTCGCATCCTTTCTTGGATGCGCACTCGTCGATCACCGATCTCCCCTCTCCATGTCTCTGCTCTGTTTGTAGTTTTTGCCCATAGATATATAATACCTTGCCAGAGTTGTCAACGGTAAGTATAGGGTAAGTCCACGTTTTCAATGTCGGCTTGATAGACCCCTAGGAACATTACAACTGAAACTACATTACCTATTGCGCACTTCGATTGTGCTTAATTGTACGTTTGTACTTCCAGCTTCCCCGGTTTTTCTGTTTAAAAGATCAATTTTAAACAAAGAGGTACGTATATTTTATGCCATCAACGGAGGGGGTTACCTTTGATTTCTTTTAGGGTCTTAGTTTTAAATTTTAGTGTTAATTGTAAGAACCATAGTTTAAATTCCGGATACCTTACGTTACATACTTATTACGTACATTTGTACACGCGCCACTTCCCGAATTTCCGATTAAGTACGTACCGTACCTGGTATAGGAGTATATTACTATTCAACTAATTATAATACCGAGCCCTGTGGCTTGGGAGGTTTTTTTTGATTGATTTCAGGTTTTGGAGGCGAGTATTGAATTTTTGTCCGGTATATCAATTTATTTTAAAGCGCAATTAATTTATTTTTTTTAATGGGATATTTAAACGAAATATTTAAAATTGTGTAACAAAGGAAACGATAACTGTAACAAATAAAATTCGTCCAACTGTTTTTCCGCCGGGAGAGTGCCCAGGATACATATGTGGAAAGTTATTTTATGATTTGGTAATTGGTTTATTAGTCGATCATTGTTGATTGGGGGCTTGTTAAACTGGGGAAAAACTGTAATCAAATGAGTTACGACACTAATCTGGAACTACTCTCGAGTCTCAACTTTAGGCTGGAAAATCCCGAACGAGAGCTCATGCTACAAATCTTGGGGGCAAGATTACGCTAACCAAAAACTCTTCGGTTTAGAATCTTGTGCGATAAATGAGTTACGATTTGCTAATTTCCACATATTGTTGCCGATAGTTGAATTTGCCTACAAGGCCATGTAATTTTCCATTTTGCTTTTAACAAAAGGACTTTACTGCATCAAAGATGAGTCACATCCTGTACCTTTCATTTTGTCTCAGAATTTAGGTACCTTGCCTTACCTTACCTGACACATTGTTCTCAAAATTTGTTTTAACCTTGAGTGTAACATTGTGCATATGCATTTACTATCTTTGTTAATTAGGTACTGCTTAAACGTTTACATTTAACTAACTTTTGGACCGTATTAATCAAACTGCAAGGTTTTTCTACGTCGTACTCTTTTTACCCCTAGAAGTTACTTTTGCGAGAGTACGACACCATTTGGCTTTGCTTGCTTGGCTTACATTAATGTACATCAACCAGTTTCCGGACTTTCACAATCTTAATAATAACGATCATTATTAAACAAACTTTTCACAATTTCAGTGTTTTATTTTATGTTCCTTCCCTAGTGTACTTCAGGTCATAGCGTTGTTTATAACTCACGTAAGGGGCCCTGCCTTAGATGTTTTATCACGTGCCACTTTTGAAATTTAAGCGGGATCTTATTTAGTTTTGGAGGGAATCTTCCGTCTTAAACGTTCCCGGGTTTACTTTATTTCCGTGTTCTTGTAGTGTGAAGTTAGCGTAGAACCTGGAGTGGGGGTTAAGTACACTACAACCTTCAAAACGGTATGCTGGTGAAGAGAATTCATGAGATGGTATTAGAAAATGGACATGTGGTGCTACGTGTCTCCCTACCATTGCGCTTCCAATCCCATCGAAAATCTAAGGGGAATTTGCAAACAACATTATATCCAACACATGAATAAAAGGAAGCAAATGCTTATACTTGCAAAATTCAAAGTAAATACTCGTAAGTGCCCCCCTTCATACTGGTTTGTTTAGCAGCGTTGCACTGCACCCTGTCCTGCTGCTCAGCAGCGCTGCTAAGTCGCCCAGTGTAAAGGTGCACTTACGAGTATTTACTTTGAATTTTGCAAGTATAAGCATTTGCTTCCTTTTATTCATATGGGCCATTGGCCAGAAAGTCGGTTATGGCAGAGAAAAGTGTTTAAAATAACAAGCCAACGTTACACCTGATCCTCCGCGAACTCACTGTAGAGCATAGCAAAACAATTATTTTAGATTGCTGGCACGGAGAAGTGAAGTATGATCGAGAAGCCCCACTAATAATTAATTTGGAAGATGATCAGATGAAGACGATATTTCCGGTTTATTCAGATCAGTCAGCAGCCTACAGAAGGTTGACTCACCATGTACATGAGTTCTTAATCCCCTAATGCAGTGCTGCCAAATCTAGTTTCCTTCCAGAGAATCTTTGAAGACATTAATTATTTTTATTTTTTTAAGATCAAAATTACCTCCAATTTATCGCGTAGACGCGTACTGCATCAAGTTAGTAAAAGTTTTTCGAAAACTAATTTTGACAACTACGAATACGAATTTTTGATTGAAATTTAAATTCCCCTCCCTCGCGATGAGCAATCGATAATACAGTTTACAGTTTAACCTATACCAAAATGGCCGGAAGATGATGAGGTTGGTATAATCGAGGTGCGGATTTATACTTATTTACCCTTGGAGAATAAAATTCGATAATAAAAAAATGGCAATGATTACTAAACCCATGCTGGCTATTGCCGCCGGCGTATGTGGCACAATTTTTGTCGGATATTGCATTTATTTCGATCACAAAAGGCACCAGGATCCTGACTTTAAAAAGAAACTGCGTGAACGTGAGTTACCCTATTGAATGTGGTCACGTCGTAACCCTCTTTTTAGGACGGCGAGCTAATAAGGAAATGGCGTCGAGTCGGAAACAGGCGACCTCCACGTTTCCAGACATGAAAGATCACGAGGCCGTACAAAGATTCTTCCTGCAGGAGGTGCAGCTTGGCGAAGAGCTGTTAGCGCAGGGCGACGTCACTAACGCCATCGATCATTTAGCTAATGCAGTTGCGGTGTGCGGACAGCCGAACGAGTTACTGCAGGTCCTGCAGCAGACTTTACCTCCGCAAGTTTTTCATTTATTAGTTCAGCGTTTACCGGCAATCGCGCCTCGCGTGCTCAGGCAAGAGCGGCAGTTGCAGGAGGAGGACGTTGAATAACAATTGCGCATGTTTAGTGAGACTGTAGATCGTTCTAATAATGTACATTTTCTCTATTAAAATATTTTATTCTTTAGCAATATTTTGTGACGATATTTGCTTTTACGAACTAAAAAGTGATAAATGGATTATGTCACCATTTGACCACTACGGTAGTTTAATTCTACGTTGCTTCGTCCTGTCATTAAAGGTAAAATCACCCCTTAAATTACTCGTTTATTTTCAAAATGTTCTTGAAGTAATTAAAGGTCCATTTGGATTTAGGTTCTACCATAGAGTAAAACTCGCCCACTACATGAACTTGTGCTGTTGGTGGCTTATTATTATTGTATTAGAGGGTGGTCTCAGTTGGTTCCTGCACTGTGACCTTTTGATCTATTGTCTACCGTTCCAGAATACCTCTATCTTTAACAAAATCTAGGAATTTGATAGAGCGAACCTTTAATTATTGTTACTGACTCTTGTGTAATTTTCGCATTTCCATGTAGCCGTTCTCTTGCCTTTATACTAGTGGTTCTCAAAGTGGGTGCTACAAGCACTTCATAAGGGTGCCGCGAAATTTTTTAATTTTACATAAATTAAAAAAGGAATTAAAATAATTATAAAAAATGAATATTCGTTTTTTATTATTATTCTGGTTTTTAATTTTTATTTTATTTATTTCTATTGTTAATAATTCATTAATCATGCATTCATATGATATGCTCTTATTGCATTACATCCATAAGTATATGTATAAAAGACCATATATGATTACAATTTACATCAGACTCTCCAGTCTTATAACCTCGCTTATAACTTATAAATTTGGGGTGCATAATATGATGGTATGGGGAGTCGAAAACGTGCTATTTTGGTTTTGATCCGTAACCATCTTCAAGGCTGTTGAGAGTATCAAAATTTTAAGTCATAACGGCTTAAAAATTTTTTTCGCATGCACTGGCCAAAATGGCTTAAAAAACTCTACAAAAAAGTTCATTACAATTTTTGTGTGAGTTCCTTTGTTTTTGATAAGTTTTGAAGGAAAATAAGTTATGGCATAAATATTCTTATAAATAAGAAACTTAAGATTTCGTAGTCTGCGCATGCACACACCTGATGTTAAGGTATGCGATATGTTTGCCTTTACTAGAAGAATCTCTGGTTAAAATTTACAAAAAATCTCTATAAATAAGAAAGTTGACATTGCGTAGTTTGCGCATGCCCACATCTGATTTTTACAATATGCGATATGCTTGTCTTTACTAGAAGCATCTGTGGTTAAAATTTTAAAGAAATATCTCCATAAATATGAAAATTGACATCGCGATCATGCGCATATTAATCGTCCAGATTCTTCTTGGTTGAGGTGCCAGAGCTATTAGCTACCGAATGCAAAACGAACTACATAAGTAGATGACCAATGTATGTTCTGGACCAGGAAGTAACGTCACACCAATCAGAAATGAGATCATAACGGCACAGCCAATCAGGGACGACTACGCCCTGTACTTTCAGGTTCGTATGGCGGTGCAACAGCTTTTTCAACTGGTCCAACAGCTTTTCCACCTAGTTCAACAGCTATGTGTACTGATACCGGTTCTAAAATATGTTTGACCTTACACCTGTGATTGGCTGTGAGGTCACGATCTCGTTTCTGATTGGTGTGACGTCACTTGCTGGTCCAGAACATACATTGGTCATCTACTTACATATCTTGAAAACTGTAGAAGTAGTTAAGACCTCGGACGGAGAAAGTGGCCATAAAGCGCCTTCCAACATGAGCTGGAAAATGCGCTAAAAATGCAGGTTGCTAATTAATGTCATGCAGATATTTCAGGGGGTGGTAGCACTCGTCAAAATTAGAAAAAAAATGCAAATATGTGCGTGGTCTAAAGGACGCCATTTTTGTTACCTATACAGGGTGGCGAAGTTCCAATTTTGTTCACGTATTTTGCGTTTTCTCTCTTATGTTCTAAAATAATTGTTTCAAAATTGATAGATCAATTATTTTTTAGAATCTCTACAACAAAGTATCAAAATAGTTGGTCGCATATACAGAGTCATCCTGTATAACGAAAAGACGGCTTTTAAGCCATGCATTTTTTCTTATTTTGGCGAGTATGTCACCCCCTGAAATATCTGCATGACATTAATTAACACCCTGTATAGAGGTTCATTTATTACTAGCGAACTTCGTACCGCCTATCAGACAATGGCCCGCGCTAATTCCAATTCAGCGGAATTGAACATTAGGTTACCTATTGAAAATTGCAAATTTAGGTATACAGTACGAAAATCATCATCGTTTGTAGTAGTGATGAATGAAAATGCGTAGGTTTATGTGTTCTCACATTTTTTTGAATAGCAAAGTTGTACAAAAATACTGCCTACAGAGTTTCCGAAGGGGTAACGGGTCTACTATTTGGGAATATGCTTCCCGGGTACGATTTTTACGTCTGTGGGCCGTCAGTCATTGAACATGAGTAATTTTTGCGCCCCTTCTTGTCTGCGACGTAGACGACCGGGTTACACCGCTTACGCCTAAAGCCGGCCCTGGACGAGACCGTCGGAAGAACTTACCGACCGGGGATTCAGTCCAACCTACGTCACAAATATTTAGGACCTGCGGCTCGTCATAAGATACGAGATCACGGAAATGCTGTACAGCTGTCGCCTGAAGGTACCTATAGAAGCTTTCCGCACCAGCCAGCACCTACCGCAGTATTTCGCGTGCCAAAGATTCGACCACTCTCGAGCGTCAACTGCGGCTTTGCACCCCGAAACCACCTGGCGTCGGACTGCAGGAGAAGCTAATAGGAACGGGCCACAGATGTGCAAACTGTTCCGGAGCCCACCCCGCCAACCGAGGATGCCCAACTTAATTTGCAGTGGCGAACAAGCGTCACAGACGCACCGAGGTGACCTTACCATCAACATTGTAGTGGCCTGCCGTATAGTCCACGCAACAACCTCGTCCTGCAAGGCCTCGGCGACATTATGGTACTTGCTGACCACCTCATCCTTGCTGGAGATCTAGCGTTTGGCATCTTGTCTTGAATGGCGGTCGTGAACGCGTCGCTCCATAAATGTTTGTTGTTATTTTGTGTTTTTTAATGCAGGTAATAATTTTTGCATTTCTTTATATCGTATTTGTGTTTTCTATGCCACATTTTATATTTTTTGTGTTTGAATCTTTGTTTTTGAAAATTACTTGGTTTAAGCATAATGCAAAATAAATGACATGTTTAATACCGTTTTTGCGCGATCGGTCATTTCTGACTATTTACCTACCATGGGTGTTTCCATGACAGTACGTAGAATTTACCAGTTGCTATGATTACGACGACGCCAAAATTACTTACCGATCTAAAAACAGAACAGCAAAAATACTTACCGACTCCTTTTTAAAAATCAACAGTCTTACATTACATTTAATCTTTAATTATTGTTAGGTACATTAAACGTACAATTTGTGCTGTTGTTTCCTATAGCAAGACGCCCATAAAGTCATAAAGGAAGTACAAAGCTAGTAAACTACATCAGACACATGCACCTTTTTATGAAATTATTAATTTCAATTTTGACAAATAAACTGGTTACCTAGAGATTGACACCATACCACTTCGATCATTTCGATTTATTCTGCTCGTTAATTTCTTAGTGCATATTTATATTGGTTGCATAATTTTAATTTCGATCGCGCAAAAAATGTTATAAGCACGTCGAACGTTAAGGGTTACCGTTCTCAGACAATTGTCTTCGAACGGTAAAAATCCCTTACCGTTCTCCATACTTAATATACTATATCCCTTTGTTTGTAATCGTTTACGTTTTTGGTGTAGGTAATGTTTGCTTATTTTATGTTTATTGATTTTGATTACTATGGTCTTGTCCCTGAAGTGAAGTTACATTCATATAAGTTTTGATCATTTTATTTTAATATGTGGAAATTACCGATTAGTTTGATTTTATGTACTGACTTGTTTGTAACTAACAATTTTCTCCCTAAATGAAGCAGTCACGGGGGTGGTAAAAATTGTAGTCAAAATTGAGCTACGACACCTAGGATTCCGTGATTGTCTTCGACTTTCAACTGTACGCTCGAAACCCCGAACGAGGGGCGACGTTACCTGACAGAATTCGTTACGCGCTAATGCGCAAGCTCATCACTTCCCAATACGGAACTATAAATCGTATTATTTTCGTTAACGTAAGATTTTACGGTTCCGTTCTTACGTTCTTACGGCTACGGAACTATAAATCCGGCTTTAATGTTCACAAGCAACAAGTAAGGTTTAATTCCAAACGTTACGCTTACGGTACGGCGTTGGGGGTACGGAACTATAAATTCAGCTATACTTTAATTAAATACTTACTTTCATTTTCTACTATGCTTAGTTCGGACCATGACTTTGAATTTCCAGCCAGTAGCTGCATGGTGCCGTGGAAATTCTCATCAAACCAGAGATGCCACAGGCATATGAATTATACATATATGCATAGATTGACTGGGCATGTCAGAAATATGTGTCAAAATTGCCAGTCGCGACAATGAACACATTCGTTTACCCCGCAATAACGCTGGGGTTGGCCGCTTTCGTTACGTATTCGGGTTATTGCGTTTACAAGCAAAGCCAAGAGAAATTTCAAACCAACTGCACATACAACCTTTTCGAAAGTATAATCACGGAGCCATTAAATTAGCGTTTACGGTTTGATTGTAGGTCGACTAATAGAAATCTTACATCAGGAGGCGATCAAATCCGATAGCTATCACGAGCTGAGCCATTGCAAGCTGGGCACGGCAGTCGCGCGAAGGGATTTCTTTATGAGAAAGGTTCAGGCTGCTAATCTCTGCATCAAACTGGGAGATTACAGCTCGAGTGTTGATTATTTGATTCAAGCAATGGCAGCGTGCTCGAAACCGGGGGCTTTGCTACAGTGCATGTCGAAGACGCTTCCTGTTAACGTGTATAAATTGTTAATAGAAAGATTATCTAGCTTAACGTGAAGCGGGCAAATGTAACGTGCAAACGCATAATAAATTGACCAGTTCTGATAATTTTAGCGATTTTTTTTCTTAGAAAAGGTGTGTACACTGGTCTTTGCCTCCTGTGGGAAACTTGTAGGATTTGAGTGTCACTTGACATTCTAAATAGACATAAAGCGTAGGGGAAGATCCCCATACGGTTTTACTCAACAAAGCTAAGAAAAAAAGACTACTTGCATGACGTCGATGCAAAAGTGTGCTGCCTATGCAACACTGAATCACCGATTCTCACGAGAATTACGCTTAGAAGAAGGGGGCGTGGCTAGAAAAGCTGTAGACGGCATTTAAAAGAAGGGGCGTGCCTATATAGTTATTTATGTATTAAGGGTATAATAGTGATGTTTATATTCTCGAGGGCGACGAGTTAAAAAGCTCGAGGGCCTATGGCCCGAGAGCTTTTTAGTCGCCCGATAGTATAAACATCAGTTTATGCCCGTGGTACATACACAATTTTATGTTTTACAAATAGTTTTCTTCGTCAAAATTCGTTTACAAAATAATTCATTATGTTTGATCGAGTATGTGTGGTTCGAATTTGTTCATGTGATTGAAACCATCCAAACGTCAAACGTAATTTTAAATAATTCAATTCATCATGAATGAGCAAGAAGTTCCAGAAACTATACGAAATAAGGCCAATCTTGTGATTTAGTAGGTATTGACAATTAATAATTGACGTTTCTAATTTTCAATGATCTGCAAATATTTGTTTGTTTTGTCATTAAGCATAAATGAGTTACTATGGTGATACTTTATGCCCTAGGGCATAAAGTGGTACTTTATGCCCGCTTATCATAGATATAAAATGTGCTATGATAGGTTAGTAAGACAAAAAGCTTTTATTTGTTACTCAGTTGTAAACGTTGATTAACAAGACAAAACGCAAACGGGTAAACGTCATGTTTAAACGCTACTGACTTGTAAAACTGACAGCAGACTTGTAAAACTGACAGCAGACCTGTAAAAATGTTACAAGTTAGTAATCTAGCAATTTCATTGGCCAGAATTAATGCGAAGTCTCTGTTACATATGGATCACATGATATTTTAGACATTTCTACAAGATCAATTTAAGAACTAATTATTTACGTTTACTATTGTTTACAAATGAGTAACAAATAAAATATTGTACATCATACGCCAGGTAATAGTTTTTACTGGCTCTAGGAGATGACAGGCTCGCCTAACGGCTCGCCAGTCAACTTCTCCTATCGCCAGTAAAAACTCACTTACCTGGCTAATAATGTAAAATACTATAGAAGGCGTCTAAAAGAAGAGTGCGTATCTATAAAAGCTTTAGAAGGCGTCCAAAGAAAAGGGGCGTGGCTATAAACGCCTTACAAGGCGTCAAAAAAAGAAGGGGGAGTGCCTATAAAATTTTTTAGAAGATAATGAAGGGGGAGTCGCTAGAAAAACTGTAGAAGACGTCCAAAATAAGGGGGCGTGGCTATAACAGCGTTTGAAGGCGTCTAAGAGGGAGCGGCAATAAAAGCTTTACAAGGCGTCTAAAAGGAGAGTGGATATAAAAGCCTTAAAAGGCCTTTAATAAAATAAGGGACGTGGCTATGAAAGTTTTTAAAAAAAGGAGGCGTGGCGATAAAGGCTTTAGAAGGCGTCTAAAAAGGGGGCGTAACTATAAAAGCTACAGAAGACGTCTAAAAGCAGGAGGAGTAGCTATAAAAACTTTAGAAGGCGTCTGAAAGAAGGGGGCGTGAGTGATGAAGCTTTAGAAGGCGTCTAAAAGATGGGGCGAAGCTTAATATCTTTAGAAGGTGTCTAAACGGTGGCGGAATAGCTATAAAAACTTTAGAAGGCGCCTAAAAGAAGGAGCCGTGCCTAGAAAAGCTTTGGAAGGGGTCTAAAACAGGGGGGAATTGCTATAAAAGCTTTAGAATGCGTCTAAAATAAGAGGGCGTGGCTAGAAAAGATTTAAAAAGCGTCTAAAAGCGGGGGGCGTGTCTATAAAAGAAGGCGTATAAAAGAAAAGGGAGTGGCTAGAAAAGCGTTAGAAGTACAGAAAATTATTTTAAAAAAGTTCGACGTAGCTGTTAATTGAATAAATGGAAAATAATGTTCTTTTGGTGGAAGTTATTTTATATTTGTGATAATCCACCTTTATGGTTAGGTAACACACCTTTACATCTGGAACAAAAATATGATATGCTCTGTATATACCCAATCGACCGTTTTGCGCAGATGGCGAATACTAGGGGATTTTGGTAACGAAGCTAGGGGAAGGGGTGAAAGAAGAAGAGGCGACGAGGGTTTTCCTCAGACATACGTAGCTTCGCATAATGCTAGCATTATGTTGAAATCTACGAGGCAAATGCTGGAGCAGTACTCTCCCCCTCAGCACCCTAACTCCGTTCCTTCCGTTCCCATCCCTAACTTTACCCATCCTTACACTCCCGTTCTCTGGCTGAAGAGGGCCAGGAAGCCCTGAGCAGCCCGCCTTCGGTATCCCTGTAGTCCGGGGTGCCGGAGGAATGAAACACGTTGGCCTTTTTCCTTTTCGAGGTCCGCGGAAGGCATCACGCTTTCCCGGTTTTTTGAAAAAATTATTCTTGATTATTTTGGTGGTGGTGTTTTGAAGGTGTATTTATTTTTTTATACAGGTAGTAACCATTTTATTCTTTCTTGTTCTAGCTATTAATAATTGAATTTCTTGCCACAATTTGATATTATAATGATATTATTTACATTTTTGCTGATGTTGCATAAACTGTGAGACAGGTGATTATGCCATTGTTTTGTTAATTAAGTATTTATTATTCACGAAGAGTTGATTATCAGTGCGATGTTGCTATATTCCGTGAGGGAAGTACCTAATACAGTTTGATTGTTCGTATCTGTTACTTTCTGATTCGTGGCGCGCTGCAGTTTTTGTGCGTTAGCTATACGAAGGGGAGTCTCTTATTTGATGTTTCGGTGTTTGTGTGAGTGGTTCATTGTGTCTCAGTGGAGTAGGTACCTAATACAGTTCCATCTTTCGCTGTATCTGTTGCCTACTCGTCTCGTGCGGATTGCAGTTCTTAGCATCTTAGCAATGCGAGTAGGGGCCCTCTCCTTAACATTTCCTCTATTTAAAATATGTTCTGCTTGAGCGATAATCGATTTTCACATGAATACTTGCTATTGGTCATTGGCATTCTCACATGTACTTTTCGTGTTAAATTAAATTATGTTAACGGAAGGCTGGAGTAGAGCCACACCCTATGTTTCCTATGTACATGCAATTTATTTAGGTATTTGGCGAGTTGTGTTATCTCAATTGATCGTACAGGTATTTTGATGAGTTTTTGTACTGAATTGATTTTGTGTATTTTGTTTTTATAAACTTGTTTAATTGCATTTGATTTGATTATCTGATTTTTATCATACAATTTGAGATGTTTTATTAATGTGTATTTTCTCTTGCATTTTATTGCTGTAGGTGATTTATTTCATGTATTTGTGTCTGTGCCAGGGTTTTAGTCCCGTAGAAGGTTTCCCTGGCATGGTCTTGTGTGTGCGTAATATATTTATTTGTTCTTGTCATTTCTTACACACAAAAGTTCTGTCTTTTATTTGATTCCCTTCCCGATTATGTCTCACCACATTATAAGAACCGATTACACAACATAGGAGTTCATTCGTGCCATCCATGTCGAGCAGACTGCCATCCAAATTCAAAAATGCTGCGAAATTTCCATCGTTTCGAATTGAAAGGTAGATGGCTCTGCTCGGAATACCAGGAGAACATGAACCCAGAAAGAGTAAAATTAATTAATTACCCTTAATTACTTAAGTTCTTCTTTGTAATGCTGGTTTCAAATATGGAAATAAAATCTCAATTAAGTTATTAATTAAAAATTATTAAATTAACAAAATCCCACAAAAAGCATATAAAGAACAATAGGGTTTGGAACATAAAAGTAGGTCTTGATATTGCCATTGACGCTATGGATCCGTTAAATTAATTTTATTAATTGTTGACACTCAACGAATTAGAGAGAGTAATTTAATTCATTCAGAATATGTGCAACGGCCTCGACAAAACTAGGAAAAACAGCGGTCGGATGTGGAGAAATCCTACTCTCATCACCGCTTCGATACTTTCCAGTCTGTACCAAATATCCCCGCATACCGATCTTCACGGCGCCGGCAATATCATCGTGTACATCCTAAACTTAAACATTATCCGTCAAATCATTAATAAACCCAACTCACATCGCCTATCATAATACTTTCTTCCGGCAGAATATCACAGATTGCCGACCGAAAAAAGACAGGATTCGGTTTACCAACGAGCTCGGCCTCGCACTGGGCCGAGTACTCTAGTCCCTTCAAGAAACAGCCGGGTCCTAACGCCAGACCGTCCGGTCTTTTATAGTATTTCGCGGCGTGTATGCCGATTAGTCGAGCGCCCCCTAGTAAACATCTACAAATGCGTCTGCGCTCATTTGTGAATCAGAGTAGACGAAGTTACCTAAACGCCTCCGTTAATTTTTCATAGTGAAATTCCGACGGTGCCAAACCAATGACTACTGCATCAGGTTTACCGTCCGTACATTGCAAGCCCTCGAAGTCTTCGAGTGCTTCCGGCTCTAAGAGCAGCATGGGTTTCAGGTTACGAGCGACTATTAAAGAGCGTGCGGCGCCCAAGGAACTGTGGATTTCATCGGGGCTAAGCTCAAAGCCCAACTTTCTTAATCTGTTATATAAATAACTTTTGCTCTCTTTTGTCGTATTAGTAACAAACTTAATCTGCAGGTTAGTCTTTCGTAATCTGCAATTGAGAGTAGTATGACATAAGTAGTTCGTATAGATGCAAAGTACTTTTGGAGTGCCTCAACTGCTCCCGCAACAGCTTGATCTTCGATGTGTAAAGTTCCGCTTAAATCGATCAGTACGGCTTTTGCCATGGTCTTCAGCTTAAATATGAAACATGTAAGGGAGTACAACAACTCTGCTCAATACGTACCATGGTTAAACGTACCTATAGACGAAAGTGCTTCGGATGAACACTTGGACTACGTAACCTCACTTTAATAATTCATTTGAGGCATACATTAAAATACCTTAGTCCATGGATAAACGGAACTGATTTTCTCTTAATTTTGCATTATGAACTTACATTTCAGCAACGCATAGTGTTAACAAATAAAAGTTAAAAAATTGAAAATACTTTATTGGTCATGTTGTAAATATGTAAAATGTAACCGGGTACTTAGGCACTTGCAGATGTGTTGCACACTGACTCCCTCGGTACTGCGCAAACGCAAGCGCGCTTAAATTTGAATTTGCTTTAACGCGCTACTGTATTTATAAATAGGTACAATGATAAAGCCTTCGGTCATCACTGTGAATTCCAGTTACATTATAGCCCCAACTTGAAAGCAACCGTAATGATCCTTTACTTTACAGCATAATATGGAATAAACAAGAATTGTAACGCTATTATTTATTATAATCAAAACCCTTCTACCATCATGGTGTAGGGAAAATAAATTAACATACCAGATAAGTCACTATAAATCAAGCTATAAACTATTGTGCTCCAGTTTTTCCTATCTCGCGTTAACTTCTTAAGGCGCAGATAGACTAGCAAGTTACTTGCGACAATCTCGCGGGAGAAACTTGTATTTACACTGTGAGTAATAATGTGTCGCGATATATTTTTTTTTTTTGTAAACTGTTGGGCAGTGTCGTGTATCGTGGGAGAGTTGGCAACGGAGCGCAGGGAATTAGGGGTAGAAGGCTACGCGTCTCGGCTGCGATATATTTTGTGACATGTGTTTATTTTATGTAATCAGTTTTTCCATTAAACGAATACTTCGTAGTCTGACAATTGTAAATACATTTCAGGCATGTTGGGTGAGCCATGCTGTCGCAAGTTCTCACAAAACTGTTTACACTAGCAGCACTTTTAGCTTCCGAAAATGCTGTCAGTTGATACCATGGTATTATATACACCATGGTTGATACCTAGCAGTTGTTTTCGAGAACTTATCTCACGTAATGGTGCCAATAGCACATCTTTGTGTTGCCGCGGCTGCAATATTTTATGCAATAATGTGAAGTACAAAAGAAAGTGTTGGGTGAGAGAATGGATTGCAACAAGAGAAAAGTATGGGGACTACTACCATAAATTAATTGATGACCTGAGAATCGGAGAATCAATCCCAACAATTTAAAAATTTTATTCGCATGTCAGCGATAGACCTTAAGGAACTGTTATTACAAAATTAAAAAGCAGGATACCTACTCATTTACGTGCCACAATATAATAAAACTCGCACGTTTACTCGCCAAAATATCGAAACGAAATGGAAAGTTGGCGAGAACTTGGTGAGCTGCACTTTTGCCTGTCTGTAAGTAGATTTCATTAACTATTTCTAATTAACTGTTGCAGTACTTACCGAAATAGTTTCTTTCTATCGCCTCTTTAGCATATTCTAGGAATAACAACAAAATTCATCTTGATAACATGGCATTAACATATACCTACTACACCTACTTACAATAGGTAAGCAGGTAAGTTAAATTATCTTCAATTATAACGTTTGCAAGTTATGTGTATTATTTACCCCTTAAACTTGACAGTTGTACGAAAATTCAAATTTTAGCGCGCTTGCGTTTGCGCAATACCGAGGGACTCAGTGTGCAACACAACTGCAAGTTTACATAGGCAACTCATCATACTTTAATGCGCAGTAAAAACGGCCATGTTTTTGAATACTATGCGATCAAAAATGAGTTGCTGTCGAGTAACCTTGGGAATTCGTTGTCTAGGCCAGGACCAGGCCCAGTGGCAACAAAAGCAACCGGAGTCAGACTTTTTTTACAGAGCTCCTTGGCACTAGCCTTGGCATATCTGGGTCTTCTAAGCTTCTAAAACTGAACAGAAGCCAGATTAGGAAGATCATTGGTGTCCTTACGGGGCACTGGGTGATCAAATATCACCTGCGCAACATTCGGGCTTGTAGCAGAACCCCGTGCAGATTCTGTGGCAAGACATATGAAACGACTGAGCATGTAATCTGTCACTGTGACGCATTGATCACAGACAGAATCAGCTCCTTGGTGACGGCTATCTGGAACCGGGGAGGATAAAGCAACTTAGGCTAAAGCAACTTAGGCTAAACAAGGTCCTGAGAAGTTCCCTCTGTATATACAACTTACGACGATGCATACATTTTTGAGAGTTTGCAACCATGCAATTTCTAGGTGAGAAATAAAGTCCCTAGATGGGAAAAAGCTGCGTGCGCCATCTAGGAAGCACGAACGCCGAACGGGGGTTACGTTTGGCACACGAACTTATAAATTAAGATGGACTGCTGATCAAACAGTTGCATAGAGGTAGAAATGGCCCTAGCATGGGCGCCGCCATGATGTGCACAATGGATGCGCACATTCTAGTTATTTTCTAGGGGAATTTTCCTAGTGCTCAAGTTTTAAGACTATTGCAGCCTTGGAAAATGACATGTGTCACAGTAATTTATTTAGAAAACGTGAGGTTAATGTTGGGTTAATGCTTGCTTATTAGTTGATTTGAATTTCGCGCCATGTGAGTGCACATCATGGCGGCCCCCATGTAGGTGTCATTTGTTAATTCAGCATTAGCAGTCCATTTTAATTTATAAGTTCGTGGTTTGGCATCTTGTCAGGAATGGCGGTCGTGACCGCGTCGCTCCATTGTTATGAATGAAATGTTTAATACCGTTATCCTTTTGTTTATAATTGTTTACGTTTTTGGTGTAATGCTTGTACAGATCTTAACCCAACCCCAGCCTCGAAGTGAAGATGACAGATTTCACGGCAAGGTGGCAACGTTGCAATCCCAGTATCAAAACACGGTTCCCGCTCAAATTTCAAACAAAAGAATGGCACGTTATTGAATCGTCTAAGGTAGGACCCCCTTACGTTACACGAAGCTAATACAATGACTCGGGACCCAGTCGGGCAGGAACCCTCAAATAAATCGCTGTAATGTCTGCGAGTTTATTTATTATAAACTTATTCTGAAAACCCGGGAATTTGGATGTGGTACATTAAAAGCAAAGCAAGCAAAACCTAAAGGTGCCGCACTCTCGCAAAAGCAGACTACCAAGGCGAAAAAGAGCGCGACCTGAGAAAAAACCTTGGCCTTGAATAAAACCCAAACTATGTTAATCAGTAATCACAAGCAAACTAAAACACCAACCACCTAAGCAAAACATGTAACACTGCCTTAATTAATGAATGAATTCAAGTAGCAGGGTACGTTTGAAAAGTATGCGTAGAGTATTCGTCACAACATGTCATGTATATATAATCGGGACACCGTTCTACCGTTAGGTGTACGGTGAAATACATTACATTACTATACAATACATTTTATACACTGTCATGTACGAATCTTGTCCACTCCTTTCTGTCTCTTGCCAGGTTTCTCGGTCCAGGATTTTCCTCTTTTCTTTAATGTCTTTCCAACCGTATCTTCCCACGTCTGCCTTGGTCGACCTCTTCCTCTCTTGTGTTGGATTTTCGCTTCCCATATTTGCTTAACTTGTCTCCCATCGCTCATTCTCTGCAGGTGGCCCCACCAACTCAACTGTTTGCTCACTATGAATTCTGTTATCGGCTGTACTTGCAACTCTTTTCTTACATCTTCATTCCGTATGTGGTCTCTTCTTGTGATTCCCTTCACTCTTCGCAGATATTTCATGTCGATTGTCTGTATTTTACCTAGTTCTTTTCTCCCTAACGTCCATGATTCGCTGCCATACGTCAGAATTGGTCTAATATTACCTTGTACACCATCATCTTTGTTTTCCTGGATACTTCTTTCTTGCTAATAAAATTCTTATTTAGTGCATAATACATTCTTGCCGCTTTTTGAATTCTTTCATTAATTTCTCCTTCTTCGTTTCCTCTGTCGTCGATTTGTACGCCAAGGTAGGTGTAGTGTGTCACCTGTTCAAGTTTTTCTTCTTCAATGTAAATATGTAACTCGTGTGGTTCTTGTGCTATTGACATTACTTTTGTCTTGTTTTTATTAATTTTCATTCCATTTTCTGCTAGAATTTTATTCCAAACGTCCAAGTTGTCTTGAAGGTCCTTTTGGTTTTTGGCAGTAATTACAATATCGTCTGCGAATGCACATGCTGCAATCTCTATTCTTGTCATGCTTTTGTATCCGACGTGTAGTTTTTTATTTATCTTTTTTTGACACCGTTTGATAATGTTGTCCATAAATATGGTGAATAATAGGGGACTCATGACTCCTCCCTGCCGCAATCCTGCTTTGGTCGTAAAGCTTTCTGATTTTAGATTTCCTTTTATGACACGATTCTTACTATTCTGATATAAACTTTGTACTACTCTTATTAATTTTCCATTTTCTCATACAAAATTTTCCAAACTTTCTTGCGAGGCACCTTATCAAACGCTTTTTCTAAGTCTATAAAGGCGAAACATGCATTACTTTTCTTTTGTGCCGTCTTTTGAATAATTTGCTTTATGGTGAATATGTGGTCTTGGGCACTTCGGCCTGGTCTGAATCCGCTTTGTGGCTCGCTTAGAGTTGTTTCGATTATCGTTCTTAACCTTCTCTCTAAAATACGCTCGTATAATTTTAGAGTCGTACTTATTATTATTATTATATTATTACCCCGGTAATTGCCGCAGTCGTGTGGGTCTCCTTTCTTAAATATTGGTACTACTAATCCCTCGTCCCAATCTGTTGGTACCGTTTCTTCGTTGAACGCTTTATTAAATATATCCAACAGCATTTGTCTGCCTTTTACTCCTAAGTTTTTTAACATATCTCCCGTTATCTTGTCATGTCCAGGTGCCTTTCCTAGTTTTATTTTGCGTATCGCCTCCATCATTTCGTTTAGTGTGATAAGATTTTCCTCTTCATCCTGTTCTCCTACTGCCCTTGGAAATTCTTCGGAGTCTTCTTGTGCCTCTTCTAACAATTCTTGAAAATATTCTTTCCATCTGTTCATTATGTTTTCGTCTGTTGTTAATATCTCTCCTTCTCTGCTTCTAATTGATACTGTATTTCTGGTTTTTCCTTTTCTTAACGTTTTGATCATCTTAAAAAAGAGTTTCTGATTGCCTTTACTTTCTTCCTCTATTTTCTCACCAAAATCCGTCCAAGCTCTCTGTTTAGCATCTATGACTAATCTTTTGACTCTTTCACGTTGTTGTTTATATTCCATGTAATCCGCGATAGTTCTGGTAC